TCCCCATCCACCCCCAGCTACACCCCAATCCTCCCCCTCCTCACCACCAAACGAGTCTTCCTGCGCGCCGTCCTCGCCGAACTCCTCTGGTTCATCTCCGGCAGCACCTCCAGCCTACCGCTCTCTACCGCGGGGATCAAAATCTGGGACGGCAACGCCTCCCGCGCCTACCTCGATTCCATCGGCCTGACCGACCGCCCCGAAGGCGATCTCGGCCCCGTCTACGGCTTCCAATGGCGACACTTCGGCGCCGAATACATCGATTCCAGCACGGATTATACCGGGCAGGGTATCGATCAGCTCGCGGAGGTGGTGCGGAAACTCCTCACCAACCCCTTCGATCGCAGGATTATTATGAGTGCGTGGAATCCCGCCGATTTGGGAAAAATGGCCCTCCCGCCGTGTCATATGTTTGCGCAGTTTTATGTGAGGTATCCGGATGCGGATGAGGTGTGGAAGGGTGGGGATCAGGCGAACGGGGAGAAGGGGAAGGGGCATTTGAGTTGTTTGTTGTATCAGAGGAGTGCCGATATGGGGTTGGGGGTGCCGTTTAATATTGCTTCGTATGCCCTGTTGACGCATTTGTTGGCTCATGCGGTCGATTTGGTGCCGGGGGAGTTGGTCCATACGTTGGGGGATGCGCATGTGTATTTGGATCATGTCGAGGCGTTGAGGGAGCAGGTGGAGCGGGAGCCGGTCGAGTTTCCCGAGTTGAGGATTAAGAGGGAGGATCGGGGGAGTGGCGTTGTGGATGGGTGGACGGAGGAGCAGTTTGAGGTCGTGGGGTATAAGCCGCATAAGGCGATTCAGATGAAGATGAGTGTGTGAGATGCTTAGATGGTGATGGTTAGATGGAGTATAGACTAGATGGATTTTATGTTGATCTGATAGTAATGTTACCCCTCGAAAGGAAACAAGACAGAGATGAGTATGATCCAGTAAACAAAGTATGAAACAAATGGGGTATGAGATCTCAACCAACATCACAAAAACCAACCAACACTCCGTGCTTCGCACGTCGCCATCACAGCACCACCCCCGCCCCCCGCAACAACACGACCGTATCCCCCGACACAACCCTCTCCCCAATGACATCCCCAAACTCCAAAAACACGCCCCCCTCCACATGAAACACCCGGAGTCTCTCCTCCTCCCCACCCCCCCGATTATTCACATTCGCCACCTGCAACCGTCTCGCCGCATCATCCAACACCCGTCCCACCTTCCACCGCCCATCATACCAGAACTCCCCGCGCGGCGGATCCGTCGCCGCCCGCGTCGTCGTCTCACTCGTCCCCACCACCGCCAGATATACCCGTTTGTCTACCGGGACGGTGGCGTCTCCTTTCGCGGACCGTTTCATGGCGTTGACGTGTGCGGTGCGGCTCATGCCGCGGCTTGTTCCTCGACTGGTTGATCCTCCTGAGGATGAAGTGGTAGAGGTGGTGGCATTCTTCCCCCACGTCCGCACCTTGGCGAACATACTCTTCAACGTCTCTGTCCCTGCCACTGCCACTGTCCCTCCCGCCCCCGCACCCGCCGGTCTTCCCCCCCTCGGTCGACAATCATGCCCCTCCCTCAACCGATGCCTCAAACAAAAACTCCGCTTACATTCCGGACACGTCACCCCCGGATCCGTCAGCGTATGGATCAACGTCTTGCACGACACCTCCGCGCACTGATCCGTATTATATATCGTTGGTTTTTGGCTCGACGTGGATGTGGAAGTCGTGCTGGGTGACGGCGATGAGGAAGAGCCAGTGTGCTGAGCCCGGGCCCAGTCCCCCGCGCGCGGACATTTATGGGCCGTTTCGGTGCGGTGGTCGAGACAGAAGGTGCCCTTGCAGGAGGAGCAGCGGAAGGGGAGGAAGTCGAGTTGGTGGCAGTAGGGGAGTTGGCAGTGGCGGCCGATGGAGTCGAGGTCCGTGTCGGGGAGTTGGGTGTAGGATTCTTTGGGGGTGTCGGAGCGGGAGATGGAAATGGGGGACATGGTGAAAGGATAGATGTAGGATTGCGGGAGTCCGTGGTGGCGGCGATGGGAATATGTAGAGAATCGGGGAACTTCTGGCAAACGCTGGAAACGCCTGGCAAGCATCAGTCATGCGGAGAAGATGACTCAGCGTGGCGGTGCTTAACTAGTTAGTTATCTGATGCGGAGATTGCTCGGAGATAAAGGACGGGGAGAATTTAGAATTTGGATTCAGATTACGGCTAACTCCAACCAGGGTATATCAAACAACGACACGCCAGATGCCCATCCAGGTCAACAGAATCAGTAGCCACCTCATGCATTACCTCCACGCTCCGCATCATCTTCCCCAGGCGGCATCCCCGGCACCGTCGCAAAAGGAATCCGCCCGCTCGACATCATCACCGGCAATCCGTCCCGCGCCAGAGTCATCCCCGGTGGAGAGAACAACGCCGACTGGGCTTGGCTAGCGGGTCCGTCTCCCGGTGTCAGCGGTGGTGAAATGACCATCCCAGAAGTTACCTCAGGTCCTGCACGGGTCCAGCCGCTGTCAGCGCCCTCGGGTCCCTTCTCCATGGCAGACGGGGGCGACGTTGCCACTGGCGTCAAGCGATTCCTCTCGACCTCTTCCCCTGCTTGAAATGCCCCTGGTGGACTGGCCACAGCCTTATGACCTCCACTCACCCCCGAGTGAGGCCCCGAAGTCGACGTCGGCAGCGCCCGGCCAGCGGGCTTCCGAGGCTCCTTGGATAGTTTCGAACCGGCCTTGGAAACTGCGCGTCTGCGTTCCTCCGCGACCCGTCTCTCGCGTTCTTTCTCTCTGGCGGCATTCTCTTCTGGGGATGGGACCTTCAGTTTGATGTGCAGCTTGCGCACCCCGGCCGCCAAACTGTCCACGTCGGACGGTCCGCTGTCGGCGGGCTGATTCGGCGTCTCGGGTCTGGCGCTCTCCGCGGCCTCCGGAAGGAACGCGGGCGGCACTTGGGGCACGGGTGGGGGATTTTTCGGACTCGTGGAACGCCTGGGGGTGCTGGACCGCGACGTCCCAGTCTTCCGCACCGCGGCACTGGACGCGGGTCGCGGGCCCGTCTCGGCCGGCCCCGGCGACATGACGGCGGACGTCGCACTCGCACTCTTTCGGCGGGCCATGCGTCCTGGCGACTGAGGGGTCGTGGAAATGGACGTGTCCGGTGCCGCATCGATGGTGGTCCGTCGACTGCCCCGAGCTGCTGGGCGTTTGACCGTCTCGGCCGGGGGCGACGCGGGCAGCAGGGGCTTGGGCTTCCGCACGCGGAGCTTCATCCGGCTGTCCGCGGACGCTGTCGAGGTCGTGGCCGCAGCGGGGGTCGTCACCGTGGCCGCCGTCGCATGGTCAGCCGCCGTTTGGCGCTCCCGTCGCAGGCGCGACGCCTCCGCGTTAAGCTCCTCCGGCCGACAGCTCGTCGTCTGCCGATGGGTGGGAATCAGCACCTTGGACAGTTCGTGTGTGGCCGTCGCCCACCCGACCGGTGGCGGCGGCAGCCGTGCCTCAGGCTCCGGGCTCGAGTGCGACCCCGTCGATTTGCGGTCTCGCGGCGGGTTGACCACCTTGGCGGAAAACGACTGTGTCGTGGCAAAGTAGGTGGGCGCTGATTTCTCTCGGGGCTTGACGGGCGCCGCCGGCGGGTAGACCAGGGCCTCCAACTCCTCCAGCACGGCGGGTGCCCACCATTCCCGGTGGTAGCCAGGTTCGGTCACCGACTCTTCCCTCGGTGCACGGTCGGACAGGCCCAGGCGATCTGTCATCTCCGATGCGAGCCGGTCGACTTGCTGGTCATCCCCGTCGTGGATGGTTCCTAGAGCCTCTCCCAGCCCCGACAGGTGGCTGAGAACACCGCTGGTCAACGCACGATTGCTGTAGCCGCCCTCGAGGACACTGATGATCCGCCCGTCGGTCCCCAGCCCGTCCTCGTTCGCCATCCGCACTACATCCGCCGTGAACCGGGCGTAAAAGTCGGTGGGGACGTTGACCTGGTGTCGCTGCATGCCGGCGCCCTCCCACTCGCTCGCGTCAAACCCGGCGGAAATGAAGATCGCAGCGTTGGGGGCGGGGCCATTGGGCGTGCTCGCGAGTCGCTCGGTATGCATGCGGAGAAACGCCCGCGCCTTGTCGATCAGCACGCGGTACTTGGCAGCGTACAGCTCCCAGAACTCTTCCGTCGACTTCCACGGCTCCAGATGGACGTTCCAGATGGACTGGCCGTGTGCCTTGTCGATACACACGCTCGCATTGCGCACCTTCTCCGGCTCGCCCATCTCGCAGGGATAGGAGTTGATGTCGTGCAGACTGAAGTATCCCACCATGGTCTTCCGATGGGCGGCCGCATTCCGCGGCGCCGTCACAGCCTTGTGGTTCTGCTCCCAGGCGATCTCTTGCGAACCGTCTCCGTGATGCAGATCGAAGTCGAGAATCGCGGCGTGGGTCAGGCCATGGGTCATCGCCGCGTAGGAGATGCCCACGTGGACGTTGTTGATCCAGCAGAAGCCCGATGGATGGCCCGCGGAACAATGATGACCGGGCGGGCGGATGCAGACAAACGCACGCTTTGTCGGGCCCGGACCAAGGACCGCATCCACACCATCACTGACCCCTCCTAGGGCGCCTTCCAATGCGTTCAAGGATTCGGAACATAGATAGAGGTCTCCTTCGTGGAAGGCGGGGGCACCGGCAGCGGCACTGTCCTTGCCCGCACTGCGCGGGCGGACCAATTCCTTCCCGTTCAGCGCCAGTCGAGATTCTGCGGCATCGCACATGGTCTTCAGGTCCTCCATCCACTTGGTCCCATGCACATGAGTGACGGCGGGGGCGTTGAGCGGCAGGGTGCGCGTCGTCTTGCGGATCTGGAATGGCGGCACCGGCAGCTGGTGAGGATCCAAGTCGGGATGCGGGGCAAATGGGCCTCCCGCATGTCGACGGGCTAAACGGACATAGGCGGCCGCGATGCCCAGCACGCCGGCTTGGATGCGCTCGGGGCGTTCGACGATGGAGTTGAGCGCCGCGCGGGAGGCTCGGGGGCGCGCGAAGCGATGGCCGTAACACGCATCATGGACGAGCACGAGCGTCTGCGACTGGAGCTCGGCGGACTGGTGCCAGTTCAGTTCCTTTTGAAAATACTCCGACGCAATGGATGCGGCGGTGGGGGCCGGGTGCTCGGTCATGGCCGTTAGGGAGGGCTTTTTGGACGGCATGTTGTGATGGTGGGTGGCGGACGTGTTCGTGGGGGAGGTGCCGAATGTGGAGGAGGAGGAGTGTCGCGACAAGCTGGGCGAGGTGGACGCTCCCCGGTTGGAACGCAGCGACGCGGTGGACGAGCGTTTCTTCAGGCTCGGAGAGGACTTGCGACGCTCGTCAGCCAAGGAGCTGGAGCTGGGGATGCGCCGGGGAGCGGAATGCGCCGGGTTCGCGACCGCACGCGCGGGGGGGTCGGCGGGCGATAGCAGGGAGGTCGATGAGAATCCGGATGGAGAGGGTGGCAGAGGAGTCGCCTGTATCGAGGGATAGCTCAAATGGTGGGACGAAGGCGGCGTGTCGCCGAGGGGAGGCATTGGAGGGTCGGTTGCCGGGGGGTTTGACGCCGCAGTGAATGACGCGGGCTCACGGCGCTTGGAGGGGTCCATGACGGGCCCATTGGGGGGGGGGGTTATTCACGGCGGTGAATCGGCGGTGGGGGGTTGAAGTGACAATCTGACTCGGTTGCAGGTGAGACGTGTGCGTGGAGAGGATCGCGTGGAGATGATGGAAGATGGATTGGTGTCAAGGGAGAGGCAGAGAGCGAGGAGAGGAGAGGAGAGGAGAGGAGAGACGAGCTCGAGGGAGAAAGAAAGAAAGGGAGGAGCGGAAAGCCTAAGCTTTCCCCTCATTCCCGCCCTCCCTTAAACCCGGAATCCGTCAGGGGTCTGGGATCCATCACAATCCCCCCTCCACTTCTGGCACCGTCGTCTCCTCCTCGGCTCCTACTTTCGCCCTTTCCGCCGTGACAGGTGCTTCTACAGGCATTCTTCGGGCCCTGATCAGACAATAGTTGATCGTCTTATTGCCCCCATCCGGGGTCGTCCCTCTCAAGATCCGATCGGATTAGATCGGGGCAGACTAAATACAAAAAGCTCACAAAGCACCGCCCCAAGTCCAACACCGGAAGGGGGTATGAAGTAACGCCGGTCCCGTCCCACCCAAGTAGATAATAAATCCATGCATCCCAGAAACACCGGTGCTGATGATTCACAAATAACCCGCAAGACAATGACAAAGCACAAGACAACGGAAAAAGAGAAACCCATGCACGAAGAGCCCCGCTAAAAGGTCCGCGACCGGAGGCTACAGAAATGGTACCATTTCTTCTTCCGCGGGGCGAGCACACTCTTCTCGCTCTTCTCGCCCAGACTCAGCATCGAGAAGCGCTTGCGCTCCTTCCGCTGCAACTTCCGCTCCGACTTGAAGCCGTGGGTGGCGTGGCCGTGGCAGAAACAGTACATGTGCACCGTCTCGATGGCCATCTCCGGGCAGTAATGGTTGTCATTGCGCGCCGGACACACCTGTTGGCCGGCATCTTCTTCGCACCGGCACCATTCGTAGACCATGAAGTATTGGCGGCACATGTTGAGGGGAGTACCTGGGTGGTGGGCGATGGGTGGTGGTGGGTGGTGGTGTGGTGAAAGAGGGTAAAAAAAAGCAATCACACAGGCCCGGAAGTTAACCTGTCGAATCTCGGTCCACTGAGCAGCAATTCGTGCCCAAAGGTAACCGAGTCGGTGTGGGTTTTGCGGACTTGCACAGACTCCGCGGGCTTCCGGTGAGGATGCACCTGAACCCAGGGGACGCAGAGGGAAGAGAGGGGGCCAGCGGCGGGTTTCTTTTCTTTCTTTTTGATTTTGGCGGAGATCACTGCTCTCAAAGCAGAATGCAAAGGTCGGCCGTTGATCGTAAATGAAGGTTCGCAGATGTGATCGGTTGTGAGGGCGGTTTATAGATGGATGGAGATCCCCCGATGGTTCCGCGGGTCTGGATCGGCCGGTTCAGACGAGGAACCGAGAAAGATGATCGGATATGACGCACTTCCAGCGCTGGCAGGCGACAGACACAGTCTCCAGGACGGTCGGTCGGTTTGGTCGGTCTGGCTGTCAAGAGTAAGAGTTGGATTTAATCTCCCGGGTTCATCAATGCGAGTCCAGAGGCCAGCGTCTAGCAAGGAGGGGGAGGGGAAAGGAGAGAGACACTGAGAGGAGCGAGCCCAAGTAAATTTAGACCCGCGAGTCGGTCAGCGGAGCAGCGCCGAGTCAGGGATGACAAAAGGAGGGCATCAATGAATGAATGGACTGCAGTCAAAAGGACTTTTGGGTTAAAGAAAAAACACTAAAAGAAAAAAAAAAAATGCAACGAGCGACAATGCAGCCTGCAACTGGTAAAAGAGTGTTTGACGTCAGCCCCAAGCGCTGGGGTGGAGTTCGGCGGTAAAGAGAGAGTGAAGATGGATGGAGGGAAATGGTTGGAGATGCACAACCCTGGTTCATCATGACGAGGAGCTGCAGCGCCCCGGTACTTCTAGTTCTACTTCGACTACGGCTACTGGCCCGGCTACGGCGGAGGAAGATCGGAGGGGGCACGTCGCATCCATCATCGATCGAAGCCCAACCCGGTTGGCTGCATGGCCTGTTTTACCTGGCGCTTCTTTGGCCGTTCCGTGGCTGCTTCACGGCTCAATGCCACGCTGCCCGGCCAGTGGTCCGTAAAAATATCACAAACCGACAGCCAGACTCTTCGAAAGTCCAACCCACTGAATGGCTACCCATGAAAGAAAGAACAGAAACAAACCCCTCCCAGGGGGTGCCAGGAGTCGGCGGTTCATCAGGGGCAATCAAAGGAACGGACCGGCAAGGCCAGGCATCGATATTTCGCCCATGTCGGACCTCAGCCAGTGGTGCTAGAGCGGCGACTATTGCGACGACGTGCTCCTCATCAGCCGAGATGATCAACTACTGGCTGCGGAAGACTAAGAAGTAATAGTCCCTGGCCCAAATGGAGCCGAAATGGAGCCTCATGGAAATTGGCAGTGGGTTTGGGGCGAAGGTGTGACAGCGCCGGGCGGCCCTGCAAACCCAAACGGGCGTCTAGTGCGCTCTATGGGCATGGCAGTGGCAGCGAAGGGGTGGCTCACTGGCTGGGTTGGGTTGCTTTGTGATGACATCAAAGGATAGAGTAGTTAACTAACTAACAATGGCTCAATGCTACACAGGATCGACTGTGTACGGAGTACGGAGTATACGAGGACTACCAAAGTATGTATGTAATCGGCCTGCAGAATGACGACAAGACCAACGCACCTTCCCCGGCGCGAACCATCTGCGTGCTTCCTTCCGGTTTAGTCTCCACTTAGTCAGCCACGTGCTGTTTCCACGGAACGTCCGGAGCCGATCTCCCGGCCATCACGTGTCCACCCACCGTGTACTACTAACTACTATAGTAATAGTCCGCACTAATTGGTGCAGCTCAACCCGCCTATCTCGAGGATTCTCTCCACGATCTACACCCCATCTACGCAATCAATTCCTTCCTCGCCAATTCCCATTCCCCATTCCCCATTCCTCCTCCTTCCAAAACCACCATGTCGAGCCCAATCCGCCCCTCCAGTCCCGCCCGCACCTCCGTCCTTCTCTCTAACCTGGCCTCCGTGACCGCCCGCGTCAACGCCGCCGCCGCCAAACGCACCGCCGACCCCTCCCCCTCCTCCCCCCCACGCCTCATCGCCGTCTCCAAACTCAAACCCGCCGCCGACATCCTCTCCCTCCACCAACCCCCCACTGCCCACCATCACTTCGGTGAGAACTACCTCCAAGAGCTGACCGAGAAATCTCGTCTCCTGCCCCCCACCATCAAATGGCACTTCATCGGCGGTCTGCAATCCAACAAATGCGTCACCCTTGCCCGGGATGTTCGCGGCCTCTGGGCCGTCGAGAGTGTCGATTCCCAGAAGAAGGCCTCCTTGCTGGATAAGGGCTGGGGCGAGCGGTCTGACGAGGTCCGCGCCACCAACCATGAGGAGCGCCTGCGGGTCTTCGTCCAGGTGAATACCTCGGGCGAGGAGAATAAGTCGGGCGTGGAGCCCGGTAGCGATGCCGTCGCGTTGTGTCGCTTCATTCGGGACCAGTGTCCCCGGTTGCGCTTGCAGGGGCTCATGACCATTGGGGCTATTGCGCGGTCCAAGGCCACCGCCCCCGACAAGGAGAATGAGGATTTCGTCTGTCTGAGGGAGACGAGGGATCGCGTCGTGGCCGAGTTGGGCCTCGTCGGAGAGGACGCGCGCTTGGAATTGAGCATGGGCATGAGTGAGGACTTTGAGGGGGCCATTGCCCTCGGCAGTGATGAGGTGCGTGTCGGAACTACCATCTTTGGGGACCGCCCGCCCAAGGATCAGGCCAGGGTCATCTGAGCGGGTGGGGTCCGGCCGAGATCCCCGGGCTTGGTGTTACGATTCACGACATGTACGCTACACAGAGGAAGAAGAAAGGAAAACGGAAAAGCAACCCAAGCCCACCGGGGCAGCCCCGACGCCGGGCCTCCCGTCTGATGTTGCACTGCCTGTACATTAAGAAAAAGAACAGCTTCCCGCATGTCCCAGGTATATACGTGGTTGATATCAATAATAAATACACCCCCGCCGACACGCCGGTCGCGGAGTAAGAAGAAGGCAAGACGCATACGGACGGCCAACGGGGATACAGGCAACGACCCATCAGCGTCCCGTATCCCACCGTTCTCCCTGCGACAGTTTCTGCTCCATCTGTTTCGCCAGCGCCCCCGGCACCGATTCCTGCGTGGCTCGGATCGTGATTCGGAACATCTAGAATCATGTCGCGTCAGCCCTAGATCAAGAAGGCTCTGGGAAAGGATGCTTACCGATCGCTCATAGTTGGGCTCCAGCCGCAAGAGACAGCCCGTCTTACCCCCAGCAAACTGATACACCGCGCATCCCACAATGTTCTTCGGGTTCGGGTCCACATTGTCCAGGATCTTCCACCCAAATCCCTCCACCACTCGCCGCGTGAACGGCTCGCCGATTTCCTTGTGTCGCGCGGTGACGCCGAACGTATTTTGCGTCTCCAGTGGGCCGCCGCCGATCTGCCGCCATCGCTTGAAGAAATCTTCCGCCGACAGCGCCGACGGCTCCATGTACCGGTGCATGAGGATGGGAAGCCGCAACGTATACGCCTGCAGCGCTCCCGCCAGATACGAGATGCGGATCGTCGGCGCCTCGGTGAACGGCCCCTGCGCTTCGATCAAAAACGTCTGCTGCGTCTGCCCAACTGCAGGCACTGACGGCTCGGGGAGACTCTTCGAGTCAATCTTAAGGTTCGGTGCGGCCGGGTTATCCAGCGTCGTCGTGAGGGACCCGATTGAGTAGGACGACTTGTTAGAGATGTAAACCTTGACCACCCCCATGTGCGCACGGTACTCCGAACGCAGTCCAACTTGGATTTGCGCATCCTCAAACAGCACTCCTTCGTCGCCAAAGTACAGTCGGTTGTACCCGATGTCCCAATCCGGGGTGAGATGGGCCGCGCTGGCCATGTTCGGTGGAGGAGCTGCGGGGGCGCTCAGATCCAGTCCTGCTAGGTCACCCGATGCGCCCGGCGTTGTGGGCGTGCCATTCGTCCCGGTCTTGTTGCCATTCACAATGGCGGTGAAGCTGCGCTTGAGCCCGGTGTTCTGCGCCATGAGCATCTCCTGTTGATCGGCGTTCGCATCCTTGCCGCCCACCACCCACGTCTTCTTTTCCGTCGTGCCGGCTGTCTTCTGGTGCAGCCGAGACAATAGGATCGACGCTCTTTCCGAGAACGGCGGCATCTCATCACACACCGTTCGAAGGAGATCGTCGCTGGGAAGCGTCGCCAGCGACAGGTATTCAAAAGCACGCTGCTGTAATTCGGAGTCGGGGGAATGGCTATACAAACGGAATATATGCAGGAGTTGGGGTTTAATTTCGGGAAAGAGGTTGACGAATTTCACAAACGACGATAGGATCATTGCTCGCGTAGTGTCGGTGCTGGTGATCATCTTCCCCTGCAGGGCCAGGAACTGCTCGATGGGGCTTGAGCCTTGGTTGTCGGCGATCAGATGCCCAAACTCGCCCAGAACATAGCAACCAATCTTCACCAGGCTCTCGTGGCAATCGGTCTTCATATACCCAAGAAGATTGTGTGCTGCGTAAGCCTGCAGTTCTTCGTTGTTGGTCACAATCTGGATCACCCGCTGCCACACTTCGTCGTTGACATGATCTCCTGCCAGCGAGAGGAGCTTGAGCGTCATATCGATATACCACTGGGCATCGGTGGCGTATTTTTCCGTAAGGATAGCCACTTTCAGCACCATCTCCTCTCGGATCGCATAATCGGCCGTCTGAAGGTAGCGGAGCAGCTCGTTCACGATCGGACCAGCGTTTGTCGTGTCACACATACTGTACACCAGATCCAACCCTTTACGCCGAACACTAATATCGCGGTCTCGAAGGGACCCGAGAATGATATTCTGGTGCTTTTTGATGGGATCAAGGGTTTCGGCTCGGGCCGCGAAATGCGTCATCGCTTCCAAACCCAGGTACCGGACATTCGTTTCCCGCGATTGGATGTACTTCCCTAGACGAGTCGATATCTGCAGCATCAAGCTGTGCTCGGTATCTAGGTGGATGAGGAGATTGATCGCCTCGAAGAGTACTGCATTCTGGGCGTTGTTCTGCTGGACATTCTTAGGTGTATCCATAGCCAAGTGCATAATCTGCTGCAGAGACTCGCGGATAATCTCGCGGACATGGCTATCCTCTACATCGGATCTGTTAGTCATGCGCCTACAACCGAGGATGGCCGAAAAGCCTACCTGAGGGGGGGTAGTACTGCAGCAACCGCAGTAATTTGACTTGAATCCAAGGACAGGGCACACGGTAGTAGAGGTAGTCCGGCGCGATGTCGTTATCAACCACAATCCTTTTCAAACGATGTGCGGCCTTCACATAGCACCCTCGGTACTCCTCGGGCTTGTCTTGGGCCAATGCCATAATAAGTGATGTGACCGATAGCGTGACACCCATATCGGGGTCGTCCATCAGAGAAATTATGCGTTCTGCCCAGGCATTCTGTACAATGTCCGGGAATTTGCGATATAGTCGGAGGAGTGTCAAAGCAGCCTTCTTCTTAACGAAAGCCTTGGAGGTCCTATAGAACTGTGAGCCACAATCTCAAATGTCGGCAAGACGAAGGGCCACCGAGTACTCACGGGGAGATCAGCAGCCGATGAACATCCGTAGAGAGCGCCTCGCCCATCTCTCTCCCGCCGACATTAGCAACCGCGTGCAATGCCAAACAATTATTCAGCTCGTTGTGATCTAACAGATCCTTTCGTATGCTGTTGACGACCAGATGGAGAAGCTCATGTTGCTCGTGCAGGAAGAGGGTCACGCCCAGGTATCCGATTTGTTTCTCGGAGTATTTGGTGGAGGAAATCAGGTTGACGGCCTCCAAGTGCCCGAAATCGACATCGTAACCTTGAATATACACGTAGAGCAGCTTGCAGACGTATTTCTTCTTCTGGTAGCCGTTCAGGTTGCCACCCTTGAATTTCTGTCGAATGTTGGCCAGTTCCTTGTTCACCCGCTTCTCTTCGAGCTCGCGCGCTCTTGCGTTTCGCAAGTCGGCGATGAACTGGACTAAGCCTCGCATGGACGACATGTTGATCGATATAGCGTATGGTGTTGGGGTAATTGGGAATACCACTATTCGGGGAATGTGTAAGTGCCGCTCAGAAAGTCAGATCGAAAGCTGTCAGATGCGTCGTTCCTGAACCGCTCGGACTTGTGTAAGCGCAGACACCACACTAGTCGGATTCAAGGAGTGTATGTCATACAACCATGTCCAGTCCCTCCTTCCGGGTAGTTTGTTGCCAGTTCGGTTCTAGTCGCTATGGTGCATGGAGCATGGCGCAAGGGCGAAGGCGAAAGAGGGTATGGTGTGCCGCAATCGGGAGGGAGGGGGATCGGAGAACGCGCGACAGGGGGGAAGGACTGTTCGATTCGCAGATGGAGGGAGGGGGCGGGCCAGGTAGCTGAGGAGCCCAGAAGACAGCAAGCAGCCCGACTGATAGCTCCAAGATGGAAGCCGAGCTCTGTGGCCGGGGAAGAGAAGACCGATGGGGAGATCCAAGTCGTGATGATCGGGAAAGGAGGGAGCGAGACGAGACCCTTTTGGCCCAGGAGGGAAGCCGCTCCAGCCACTTCCGCGGGCGATCCGGCGGAGATCGGGAACAACTTTGATGCGGTGTGGCGGTGCGGCTGCGGTTTGCGGTCTGCAAGTCGGCAAAGTTTGGTGGTACAGTGTACTCCTTACTCCTTAGTAGGATGTCACCACATCCGGCGTACGAACTTGGGGTCTCGCAAATCACAGGAACTGACCAGGGCTACTACGGAAGAGGCGTTTACCCTTCCACCCCCAGCACACACGAGCTGCTGTCTTCGTGCTCCCGGAAGGGAGGCCCTTGTTCATGCAAACCTTATCGGATTCATGGCTGCATTCAGGTGGGGACCGCTGCAGCAAAGACTCCGACTCGATCTATTTATGTTCTCAAGATGTGCAGGGAGTTAGCTCCCCTTGCTACATATATAGTACTAGGACAATGTCAGTCAGAGACCCCGCATCGAGCAGGGGCCATGCTGAACCAAGGAATCACCCTACAAATGCGCCTCCTCGTCCCCACCCTAGATCTGCAGCTCCAGATACCTAGCATGAAGCATAATTCTAACAATATGACATTTGAAGTATCATCACTGATTTTCCATAACCTCCCGCTCCCCTATGAAAACAACCTGAGCAATGCAAGACAACCCGATGTCAAATATCCCACACCCCATGAAGCAAATCAACCCCTCGACCTCCCGAAACTCCGTAATGAACACCGATTCCCCAGGTATACATGCCATTAAAAGCCTTTTAAGTAGAAAACGACCATTGCCCTCCGGGCGAAGATGAAGAGCGGTGTTTAAGCACGGGTGGTGAAATCAGTCTCGAGCTGTCCCACGGCCTCGTCAACCGCGCGGGCCTTCTCGCAGGTGCAAGAAGCTAATGGAGGATATCAGTTCATATCCATTTCAGAAAAACGGCTCGCAATTCAACTTACAGGAGGAGCGCTTTCCGCAAGGGCAAGTTTCTCCCGTCACAGGGTGGTTCTCACTGGCGGCCCGTTCGCAGGTACATTCTCCGGCAGGGCGAGCTCCTGGCGCTTGTGTTAGTCATTGTTCCATGAAAGCAGTAGAGCAGAGGCAGGAAGACATACTGCAAGAGCATCGAGCCCCCGCAACGGTGTTCTCAGTGGAGGCCTTGTTGCAAGTGCAGTGGAGGGCGTTTTCCTTGCCGCAGGAGCACTTGGCCTGGGCTGCGCAGACACAGCTTCCGTCGCCGGAAGTCTTGCAGCAGGTAGAGGACGGGTGAACCATATTGACGGGATTGATGCTTTTGCTAATCGAAAGGACAGACAAGGGCCGTGGTGATGGTCAAAGTACTTGGATGGTAAACCTGGAGAGGAACCAGATATGACGTAATCAAAGGGACAAGGCGGAGTGCGTTCGGGTGCTGCCGAAAACGAAGGGTTCTGAATGCTTTTTGGCGGCAAAGACGATGGATGGATAGATTGAGGGAATTGAACGAGGCAATGATCGCAATGATTGATTGTGGACAATGCAAGAAGAATTGCTCGATGGTGACGGGCTGCGGTAGGTATTTATACTCGGTGTTGTAGAGTCACGCCCGGCGGCGGATCTGCAGCAATTAGCAATGGAGGCCCTGTGATTGGCCGACGCCAGGGCCATCAAGCCTGAACGCTGACCATCCCCGTGATCGAGCTTGGTTTGGGCGTCTCCTGATTCGACGCAGCCTCGAGGTGGATATGCAGGGTCAGGCAATACAGACGCCTTGGGTTTGTAATCCTTGACCTTTGAACGGTGGGAGGTCGGTTGCTTACAATCAAGGCCTCCTGAATCGCGAGCCTTGTCATTGGACTGCTGGGTACGAGGTGACCGTCACCCGGGACTTCTTCTCTACTCTACAACAGAGTACTGGATATCCTATGATATCTACTATGTATACTGCGTCCTCCGTAGATCCGGGGACAAGCCACGGCCTGCTGGATCGACGCGGGGAACGGCACCCGAGCCCTAGTTGGCCAGAACATGCTGCGCTTACTAAGACCATGGAATAAAGACAGTTGGACAGCCGGGACCACTAGCTGTGGTGCTCAGCAGGTTGTGAGACTTGGTAAGATTATCGACTAGAATTTAATGTCCTTATACACGGATATAGAATGACGAGAGCCTCCCTAGTCCAAAAAGAAACAGCACAAGCTATGTGGGCTGAAAGACAGTAACAGAAAGGGAAAAGGAACAGGCGGCCTGCCTAGAAGATGGCAGGGGTGGGGAGAGAAACGAAATGAAACCAATCAAAACAGACGCCTGTGAATGTACCGCCGCCCAAAAAGCTGATTTTGAAAGATGCACGCAATTTTCTCCTTCTCAATGATGATGATAGATGCAAAGCAGAATGAAGTGGGAGTGGACCGCAAAGAAGAGAGAAGAAACATTAGGAAGTAGTATGTTAACCTCCGCCGAGTCAGAATGCCCGTATGTCGAATATAAGCCAGGAGCGGAAATGAATGTATGTATCCGCAACCGATTAAGGGAAGATAGAGTTCCGTGAGAATTATAAGATGCAGTGCAGTCGAAGAGGGGAAAGAAGGCTTCCATATTCCAGAGCAACCTCCATATTATAGGTAATTCGCATATTCAAATGTCTGACTGCCGTACTTCGCCCGGAGTGGGTCTAGTAATTGGGGAGGGTGATTCATCCGATCCTCGGCAGATGTGACGACAGACCCCTGAGAAACGCTGTTGGTATCGGAAGGAAAAGAGGCGGGAAGGCTCATGCTGGAGGCATTGGGTTGAGAGTACGGCATGGCGTGGTTCATGCTATACGGGTGGTCATATGAGTAGTGACGATAGTCTGGGGCATCCGAAACCGGTACGGATTGCAGGGCAGGGATCTGCCGGCCATGTTGCTGTATGTGAGAGTTGATTTCCATGCCACCATATCCCTTGGGAGCTGGCATTGCTAGCGAAGAATGGTAGTTAGGTATTTGCTGGTCTGTTGCCGACAGTGTCAGTGGGAACTTTTGATACCCCTGGGGCAAAGGACATACTGTGACTGTCTACATTGTATTGAATGGACTGGTCCGATGGACCCGTTGGTGATACAGAGCCTTCCAAAGCACGCTGGTGATCGTATCCAACGACCATACCGTTGGGTGGTCGACCCAATGCGTAGTCAACCGGACGGCGAGCATACGTCATGCTGGGATGGCCTAATGGCTCCACTCCAGGTCTTGTGAATCGTCCCGGGAAATGGAGTCCACTATTGTAAGAGGATTCGGAGAAGCTGCTGGACCTTGGAAACGGGAAAGCACTGCGGTTGTTTCTGTGTAGCTCTGACAGAGCCGGTCCTCCCCTACCCGGGATGGCACCAGGATGGGCATAGCTTTCGAAATGCCTGTCTGCGGCCGCTGAGAAGCCATTTGTCGTCGAAGCCGAGCTTAGTGGTGATATAACGTAGTCATCGTCGTTCAGTCGAGGTAGGCCATCGGTGAGTAGCATCTTCAAAGAATTAGAGGCAACATAACGGGTCAGATGGGGTTGGGGTAACGCAACTGGTGCCTCTGCCGGCGTTTTATGGTCGAAAGGAGTGCGTAGGACCTGAGTGGTATCGAAGTCATCGGGTAACGCTCTGGATTTCAGAATACGCTCTCGGTCGTTGCTGGTAAGCCGCTTGAGTTTGGCTCGTCTGAAACACATGCGTTAGTCGTCATCCAGGAGTAATTTCCCTCAATAGGGACAGCTGTCAGTACCTGTTTTGGAACCAAACTTGCACTTGCCGCGGCGTCAAACCGGGAATTTCTTTCGATAGTCGCTCTCGATGGGCGGCGTCTGGGTGAGCCTGACGAGTGAACTCACTCATCAGAAATCGAGTTTGATTATGAGTCAGTCTACCACAGACCGTTAGCTTAGTAGGTAATCTTTTGTAGGGGCCAATCAATAGCTTACCGAAAGCGCTTCATCTTCTTCTTTTCACTCTTGGAATCGGAGGACTGTTTCCTGTCACCACCTACAGACGATCCAGCTCCATCATCAGATGAGGCCATCTCTGCATCACCAATATCTTTCTCCTTTTCTTGCTGGTCCATGACCTCTCCTTCCTTGGGCTCGGGAGTCATCTCTTTTGTGGTTTGAGGACTGGCTGTTGCTTGAGGTCTCGGAAGGTGGATATCACTTTGATTGAACTTTTCCAACTTCACGCGTGATAGGTCACCCTCTGCCTGCGTGTGTCGGTTCTCGGGAGGGTGGAAAGGCGTAGGCGCCGCAGAGCGCTGTGCTGGACTCGACGTCCCAGCCAAAGCCACGGCTGTGAAGGCATTCTCAGCCTTCAGCACAGGCGGCTGCATATCGGCGGCGGGCGTCTTTGCTGACTCGCCTTCTTTCTCCCACGATCCGGGCAGCCTAGATGAAAGGGCCCTTGACCTTGACGAGGCTTGCTCACTGTTCCAGGAAGCTGTCGACCAATGGTTGGTTAGGGCGGGTAAATGTGAAGTAGAGGGTGGCGACAACGAGGACAACCAGACACACGGTCCGCTGATTGACATGGTAGACGCAAGTGCTGTGGCACCGTAAAAAGATCACAACACTGGCACTTGTAGCGCAGGTATATTCTGGAAGCTTGGGAAGTTCCGGGCACTGTTGTATGAATCGGGATATGGATAGAAGCTGCGACCAGGATCGCAGCCAAGGGAGAACTGGGTGGGTCTGCACGAGCAGTCGGGGCGCCTGCTGAAGAAGCGCAGGATCTCCGAGCCGTGGGCCGTGAGATGAAGGACGGAGTGAAGTAGAGAAGAAGAATCCGTTGATCGGTCCTCAGCGGAAAGCTAGGGAGTACGGGGTAAGGGGACAGAGAACAGATGGACAGGCAGCGTTAGCTGTGTTGATAGTAGTCCCGGTGGTGGGTGAACCGCAGCAGATGAACCACACTGTCTTCCTCCTTTAGGTTGTTCCCCTTGGCTGGCTCCCGAAACGATAAAGGAGAATCTCGGCCACCGCTAGGGCCAACGACGAACGGCAAGAAATGAAGGTCGATCCCTTTGCTGGGTCCTGAGATACGGCCGGGGCGGGGGGGGGGGGGGGGGGGGGGGTGAGGTTACCGGAAGGTGGGTAAAAGGTTATAGAGCAGATTAAACCGTGCTTAGCCCAAGCTGGAAACAAAAGCACGATCACGGCAGTGGAAATAACGCAGGGCGTTAGACTAGACGAGAGGCCTTGGTCACGACCAACCACTGATCCACTTTCAAGTTGGCCACCAAAAAAACGAGAACCACCACAACCACCGTCGTTGTCCGGTCAAGGATGCAGCGGAAGGGCACACGACGGATGGGTTCGTCGGTGGGCGAGGGAGTGCTGGAGGTCTGAAGGAACGAATCGCCTGCAGTCTTGGATACAGGGAGTGATTGCCAACGATAGGCAGATGTCTGATGCTAACGCGGAGGAGCAAACTCAAAAGGGAAAAAAAAAAAAAAGACAAAAGAAAAAAGAATGGGGGAAATAAGATAGAGGAGCGAGTGTCAAAAACCAGGAAATTAGACTGAACGGGCCACAGCTTGAATGTTCGGTACACGGAGATCTCACACCATACTACAAGTGTCAGCTCGACTTAAGGCCCCGGGGACGTGTACATCAGAGCCAAACCAGAGACGTGAGAACAATGGAGGTGGGAAGGAGAGGAACCGGGATCGGGGATGTTTCCAGTGTTGGATCAGTTCCCAGTCCAGTGCCCTACTAGTAGTAGATCGTAGGAGTACTAGTAGCGTACCCTCTGGGCTAGACAACAAACAGCAGCAGCAGTGGTACTACTGATGGGGGTTGTCATCAGACAGACTGGCCAACGAAGGTGCTTATGATCACCACGCCTCCAAGGGCCAGTGGTCCGTAGCTTGAAGGCTGGAGAGGGGAACTATGAGGTTTGCTTTACAATTAGAGGTTTGAACCACGGGTACACAGCCTTCGATCTGATATGGAGGACGGGAGGGGGGAAATAAAATCAAATAATAAATAGAGAATAGAAATCGAAAATAAATAAAATCGACATAAAAAGGAAGGAGTAAAAAAAAAAAAAGAAAACCACCAGGGGAAATAAAATTAAGGTAACAGACGGGAAGAGATCGAGGATGGCATGTGCAGTGGGTATAGAAAAGGCAGCACAACTGTGCACTACAGTCAAGGTGGCGAACGGAAAATCCACGGAGTCCAGACAGATTCAGACGAACCTGTGCAACAGCCCTGTAAACGAAGGCTAGGGACTAGGGACTCGAGAGGGTGTGGCCCATGGTCGAAGTGATTCTTCAGTCTAGGTAACGGGGTAAATCTCTCATGCATGGAGTGGACGAAACAATCGTCGACCGTTTCCAGTAATCTCCATCCGGCACACTCTATTGCTTGTAAAATTTCCGACGTGGAACCGGCAACCCCGTCCATTGCATCGCATCGTGTGGGTCATTCGAAGTCTGGGACGCTGAGATTACCCTAGCCCGAAACCCACAAGCCAGCGTGCTTGTCAGCCAACCGCCGTCCGGAGGGTGAATAGTTACTGAAAAAGACCCTGGTCGCCGGGCTGGAGCCCGTCCTGACTCATCCGAGACAGCCGTCCCTGCTACAGAGTACAGAGGCGGCGGCAGTAGGCACACCATGTGGGAGACCTAGTCTACCGACAGCACTAGTCGGGCGTTGGCTCCATAATCCGCCGGACACCGGTCAGGAATCGAGGCAGAGGGATTAAGTTCGGAGCCACTTAGCGAACTACCCGCCACCGGCCAGGGAAGACGTTCAGGTGATTCGTTGACTTGGAGAGGCATGAGAGTCCGAGCTGCTGGATGAGCCTTGGGGAGCCAAGAGAGATAAACAGGGGTCAGGATTTGATTGAGGGGGAGGTTTTAAAGAACATAATTAAATGTAATAACAACCCAGAAGCGACCCCCCTCGACAGGGGGCAGTCGATACCTCGATGGACGATGGTTAGTAGGGTAGGACTGGGCCGAAGCGGTTGTAGTGGAGGCCAACAGCCATGGATTAACCGGTCATCTCATCTTGGAACCGATTGAGTGATACTGGAGCGTCTGGCTGTCATCCCAGGTACCAGTATGGATAAAAACTGGGTACATGAGGACTAGTAGTAGGCCTGTACCGACTACCAACTACCAAGCAGTGCTACACAGGAAGTGCATTTCCGTCGGTCCCACTGAGCCAGGCGGACGGGCAGGACGGAATACCGACGTCGTACGTACGTAGAAGTGGTACGTGGAGTTGTCGAGAGGAGACCTCTATCTCATACTAGAAGTAGGTCGTCCAAGGACCGGCAGATGGGTCAAGCCAGACTCGACCCCCTTAACCCAAGAAAGCCTAGGGGAGGGGGGAGGGGGGTGTTGGATAGGCAGGGTTTGCGGAGAAAAAGAAGAATTGCCTCCGAGGCTTCGAACCTCTCGCGGCCGAAGCAGAAACGGTACGGCGTACCGCAGTCGGCGTGCTGGTTAGCGTCAGTGGATGATGGACTAGAGGCTAGCGTGGCTGTTAGGATCCTGAGGAACGAGGCTGGAATGCGCCGGAACACGGGCCAGGGCCACCCAGCGGACCTTGCACCAGGCGAGCTGAACGGGCTCTGAACCGAGCGTGACGCTAAAGCGGCGCAGTCAACGGTTGTCGAGCGTGGCGGATTTCATGTGCTCTCCACCGGGCAAAAGAGGGGTGGGAATTGTGGGAAGGAGACGGATGGATTGGAAGAGTGGGAGGCTATCCTGCTCCACTTTCGACGCTTGCATGAAACAATCCGGGTGATATTCGGCAGGGAAAAGAGATGAGGATTGAGGATACATTTGGACTCCCGTCGATAGCTGAGGAGTTAGCCGAAACAGGCATTCCAATGGAGGATGGAGGATTCGGGAGCTCTGGGTATCCCCGGCGGAGAGGAGAGGGGAGGATGAAGTTGAAGGCTGTCGGGCTGCAGGGAACTGAAATGAGATGGATGGCCGGGCCAGCAAATTGAGGGGCAATCGGCAAATCAGAAGGCGGCATGGAGAGGGGGTAACAATACTCCGTACGGAGTACATCGTACCTAGTGGTACCTAACCATACCTATCTACTAATAGGGGAGGAAAGTACCCAAGCAAGTACTGTGGGAACTGGAAACGGAAACATAAAGTAACAACTACTACAGCCGCCAGACAGCATGCTTAGTCTTTCACAGCAGTGGGAATAATGGCCTTCTTCACAGGCAAACAATGGAAACCTCAAGTGAAAGGGAATCTAAGTACTCCGTACTCCTCGGAAATGATACCCAAGGGGATTGGGTTTGTATGTTTCTTCTGGGTTCTGTGGAGAATGACAGGGTAAAATAAATAAAGGAAATAAAACGAAATAAATGGATCAGGAACAAGAGGGCGGGAGCAAATTGAACTGATCCAGAAACAAAATCATGCCTATTTTGACCCAGGGAAAGTGATCATTGGTCCCGATCGTGCCTCCCGTCGCAGGTACTTTCTTCCTATCACAGCAGAGAGACAAGCAAAGGTTAAACCCCATTCCATGGAACCTGCTAATGATAATCCGCCCGATCAAAAGGGAAGACAAAGGGAATGAAAGGAGAAAAAAAAAAAAAAAAAAAGAGAAAGGAAGAAGAGAAAAAAAGGGCACCACCGCAGGGACTGGGACACAGCCAGCCATTGAACGATTCCGACAGGTGGAAATGCAGTGGGGCGCCGGGCTCCCTGGTGCGCACAACTAAAGAGAGACTAAGATACGTCCAGCAGGGCGTCCATCGTACTTATTGGCTAATGGTTATTTACGATAATCAGACAATCGACATTGGTGAGCATCGTCATGATGAAGGATGAATGGTGGAATGCATCGCAGGCTGGCCCCGACCTGCCATCCTAGCCTGCCTGGGATCAATCACTCTATCCTGCAAGCACTCTACCTGAACTCTGCAATAATGCCACTGTCTCGGTAGTACACGGGCTGACAAAATCTGGGCTATTGTATAGAACGAATACATAAAGGCGCGCTACGTCTGCCAACTTCGGCGGGAACACAGAGACTAAAATCTACAGAATATCTGGAGATTCACGCATCGATTCCTGCCGATCTATAACTACGACCGATCCTTCCAAGTCGGATGATGTATCTGCTCCTGGGCCTAGGTGTCCAAATTGTTTCGAACATCGCCGATCAATGACGCACATACACAGCCCAGCTTGGTCGAAGTGCACAATATTGGGATGGCATTCTGCGGCCAGGTACTATGCTCGCGGAGTACGGAGTACGCCGGAGTATTCGACACAGCTGCATCTGCATGAGCATGCATCGAGATATGGTACCAGCTTGGTCACAACTATAGGTCAAAGCCGAAAGTATACCACCTAGTGCGGCAGCCAATGAGATGCTTGGGAGTGTACAGAAGAAATTATACCTGGGTACTGGGTAGGTTCACTCGGACCCAAATAAGCGGGGAACGAAAAGAAAAGGACGTGGGACCTAGGGAATAATAGGGCTGCCATGAACAATTGCGCTTGTCATGAGTAAGTAAGGTACGATGTACCTGACACTAACTCAGTGTCTCAGATACTGCTTCTCCTCAGACGGGCGATGGCATGGTGCGCGTCCCACGGTAACAGCAACAGTCAACGATACTATCTAGTCTACTGGACTCTGGGCACTAGAGTGTGCAGAACCGAGAAAGCCTCTGTGCGAGAATGTCCCAATGGCAAAATCATTTAGCCCGGCTGGAAGCGGAATTCCGAGTAGCAGGTCTGTCGAACTGAGTTGCGTTTCGATCCATCCTTAGACAGGAAACAACCGAGGCACCGGGGACGAAATGCAATCTCTCGGGGCTCGCTTGAGAGTTCGGCCGCATCTTCGAGCATGAGTACTAGTACTATACCGTCCTGTCTATGACGATTACTACTCGGCTGTGTGAGTTGCTCGACTTTCTGTATCTTGTTTTCTTTTCTTTTTTTGTCCTTGCTCCTCCAATGCCTGAGCTGCTGGGCCGTCAGCTCCTCCCTCTAGGTGGATAGTGGATACGTCACAACTCCATGATCTCCTAGTCTTGGGGACCTCTTGGTAGTTGGTACTCCGTACTTTAGGTGGCATCTCGGGAGAGGCCAGGAGTGGAGTGGATAATCCATGGCATGATCCCTCAGCTCTCGGTCAGTCGGTCTCAGCTCAGCAGGGGAGCCGCCACCGTGCGGTACCTAGCTAGGTAGCGACGGCGAAGGAGGGACAGGAACAATCTTCGCGGGTGGATCAAAGGCCCAGGGAGGATCCCAGCTGACGCCGAGCGAGTGGGCGACTCAGCGAAAGCACTTTTTCGCCGTGTAGCAGGTTAGCAACGGTGCGGGGAAAGAAGATCCCAAAGCAAATCGCGGCCGATCGAGCGAACCGAGTGGATGCGAGGAGATTGGGGAGGACCAACTTTAATTTCTGTCCCAAGGCTTCGTGTCATAGGAAGTGCCATCGGAGGCCCCTTCAATTTTACCTGGAGCAGGCGACCAAGACCATATCATCGATCATTAAGATCGCGGGAGAATGCTTGGTGGACAGGAACGGGGGGGAGACAATCAGGAACGGCTAGCGGTGAATAAGCGCCAATGCCTTCTTCCATAATCCATTACGCAAGCTCCGCGGGGGCCGGCCGTCAAGTTTCATTACTCTTTCTTCCACCACCGCCGGCAGCCAATTTAAAATTAACATAAGACATTGTATCGGCTCAAGTGGATAGGAACGGCCTGGGTCTGGGTCTGGGTCGGCTCACCGTGGTTCCCTCACTGGAGACGAGGTTAAAGTACGGAATGGTCAGGCCGACACAACGAGGAGCCGAGCAATCAATTTCAATATCCCTCCCCTCCTCGGTCGCTACCGGGTCCATCCAATATCCAGGATCCAGCCTAGGCGACTCCGTAGGGGCATTCCTAGTCCCTACGGAGTTTCCTCTCCGGCCGATGCAGGTTCCGGAAGCCATTCTTCCATGGCTCCAGCGTATCTGGTCCGTGCGGGTCAACATCGGCTTAGATGAAACATCGTTTACAACGGGATTCCATGGACCGTTCATGGAACCTTCCCTGGTCTCCAGATGGTGATTTCCTTCCATCTGCCGGTCTTAGATCCCAGCTGTGCCTGAATCCTGGCGGCTCCTCTCTCTCTCTCCCACCCTCTCTTCCCCCCCTGAACCCCAAGCGGGTTTGCAGCCTGTCTCCTCCGGATAGAAAGGAGACCGATATTAAAATGTCTAAAAATGACTTCATCTGAGCCACCACCACAGAAAAAGGGGGTTGAAAGGGGGAAGTGGAAGGAAGGCCAGGTGCAGTGAAACAGGAGGATATCGACGATACGTACATACGATCGGTAAAGATGGCGAGGACCTGGCTGGGATGACTCTCAATAGTCGGTATACTATCTACTCTGTGCCATCGGACAGCGTCTAGTGCTCCGGCCACGATTGATCTGGCAGCCAGATCCCTGATCCCGGCAAGCCAAGCAGCGGTTATTTGGCTTTATCCGATCAACGTCCAGCGCCAGTCTCATAGTTCGTTAGGCCTCTACTGCTGCCCGGGTTACATGTATCGCACCGACCACCATCGGTACACGATCACACTTATCACTACTCCGTACAGTCAGTCTATACTACACTAGGCCTACCTCGCCTGGTCCGTGGATGTCCCGGGGCAATGACTGAAAACGATCGCCCTCACAATCCGGTCAGGACCCTGACAAGTCATACGTATCTACCTACCGCTGGCCTCTTCCCGGCAGGCCGTCACTTAATTTCACTAGCTCGAGCCAGAGGGATGGAGTAGTCTTCACGCTTGATTGCATTATTGCTCTTTGAAACATAAGGCAGCATACTATATGCGCACTGGCCCCAGCCATGACACTGCAATCTCGCATGACAGGTTTTTCGGGGGAGGCCCCAACCCATCCGCGAACCCACATCGCTGTCAAGCCGGCGTGCGATTGCCCTCCATTCTCGAACAACGGGACCGAGCTTGATGAAATTATGCAGGAACTCCCCGGTGCAATTAAAGTTGCTGATCACGGAGGATTTGTCCCCTCATAGCTTAAACCTCTGGGTCGCAAGAGACATAGGGGGGGGGTTCCATTCGTTTGTACGCATTCTACCCTGATCACCCGATGAGGGCCCGATGTGGCCTGCTGCAGTTGTGCACGCAACTTCGCACACTCTAATTCGAAAACATCAGAGGGGTCCCCAGTCGCGGCTGCGGTGGATGCCCGGTGACCTTCAATTTCCGGCGGACGACGCTATCATGCACTTCCCAGCTTCCCATCATCTTCTGACCCCCTCCCCTTAATATGTTCGCCGGTGCGACGCATCCCTTTTACCCATCCAACCGGTCCGGAAACCCCCTGACAGACAGAGGCGAACATGGAGGGGGGGGCGAGCGTTGCTGTGCCCCGCCTGGAGACACAGAAAGGAGGGGCAGCGAAGGACAGCAAAGCAAGAAAGAAAAAAAGCAGGCGCGGAGGCTAGCCATAGGAAAAGCCCAACCTCGTTGTCGCCACAGGCTAGGCGAAATATTTCAAAAAGGATAAGGTGGGAGTTGGTGCCGCCGGCTATGAGTGGCCGTGGTGGTCGCGACTAAGCAGGTCCTTGTGGTTCCCTAGTAGAATGCCACAGTCAGGATGCATGCCAGGCTCAGGATAGGGCGCCCCAGGAGGCCAATCAACCTGGCCAGAATCCCCGCTGTAATTTCCCAGTTTCCCTCGTGACAACCACCGCCTTCCTTCCATCCACCTGATTGTGTGGCCCTCGTCCTCTTCCTTCGTCCTGACTGGCATTAGGCCAAAGCAAATGCAACGCACTGGCTAGACCAGCAGTGGCTCAGGCAGCCAAGGTGCTGCGAGGCATCCCTCTTAGTGTCGTGATTCGGTTGCATATAGCCAGAATGACCATCAACCACTGACTGCATCAGATCAACGCAGGACCGTGTCCGGCCAGCCCTCCAAAGACGTCAGCTAGAGCCAATCATACCCATACCTACCCCCTCCCCTCCGTTCGTCACTGCTTTTCACAAGACGCTAAGTGGCGTTCTTCACATCGCCTTAGTAGTGTCCGGGGCAGCTGCGTCCTTCGAATCAGCTGAAGCCTGTTCGGTGGCAACTGCCGAGTTTTCGTTTTCCGCGTTGGTGACTACGTGATCTTGCCCCGGCCCAGTGGATTCATCCTCCGCCGGTGGCTTATCCGAGGCTTGAGGTGTACCTTCGAGGGCCTGCGGTGTACCGTCTGACTGCTGGGCAGTCTCGAACAGGATCTTCAGGTTTTTGCCGTCCTCAATCTTGTCAAACGCCGCAAGTTTGCTTTTCGCAGAGAGCCGTAATATGCGCCAGGTTTTGCTGGCTTTCGACCGAGTCGCATACTCTTTGTCCTCTTTTGTCTGCGCAGTGTCGATATCCAATTCGTCGTCCATGATTCCCAACATCAATGAGTCTGCAGCAGGGACGGAGAATCTTAGGCACTGTCAGCCCACCGCTAGCGGATAATCCAAGGCTCCTGGGGCTCCTACCTTTCCGACTCCTTGAGTCTTTCGAGTCCTGCGAGTGATTCGCCCTCGGAGAGAAATTTAAGATCAAGTGACCCCATAGGTGAGGTGCGAAGGCGCTTGTTTGCGTAAACCTTGGTCGCATGCTCACGAGCGCCGAGATACTCGGATACAGTAACAGGCGCTCTCTCAATCAATGGACAACCTTCTGCCTTCCACCGCACCCAGTTCTTATCCCTTGACAGGACGGTATCCACCATACGATAATAAAATTTCCCTCCGACTCCTTCCTGGAGATACTCCTCGATCGCCTTTCTTATCTTAACCGCCCACTTGGCCTGTTATGGTTAACCACCGTGCTCAATGACTTGGCTTCACGCAAGGGGCCTTACATCATCGTCATTTAACACAAACCCGTAAAGGACGGACTTGTTGGTCAAGTCAGCTAGCTTGGCTTTTGCTTTGGGCGTGAGAGAAAGCATGAAGTCGAGAAGAATAAGGGCTTGAACAAGAACGTGTCTCCTGAACGCTGTATCATTGACCTGCGATGGACTATTAGCAGACAGCTCGGGGCAACCGACCACATGTCACATACCTCGAGGTCGAACAAGTCCCGGCTTGTCAGATACTTGGGGTTGAAACTGCTCGCGATCTCCTGGCCATCGGTAGTCCGCTTCCGCTTAGTGGATTTCCGGATCTCCTCTGAGGTCTTGCTGTTGCTCGAATTTTCAAGGTCTGTGTTGACATTCTTGAAGGTAGAAATGGTGGCTTCAAGTCCAGTTTTGAAGGTGGCGAAATGCTGAGGGTCGAACGTTTTCGTCGGGGCAGAGAAGTAAGCCTGCAGTCCCCAGAATATGGGATATAGGCCATCCAGATCCACGGCCTCCTCTTCAGATTCGTCTTTGGCCCTAGAGACCACCACTCTTGGTGTTCTCGGGGTTCCTTGTGCGGGTGTCTGGGAGCCGCTCGCAGCTGCTGCTTGAGCTTCACTTTCCTCTGGGCCTTCACTTGTTGTAGGCTCCTCTTTCCCGTCTGACATCTCCACATCTAGATCGGCAGTTGCCTTTGCGACCGCCTTGGTGAGTTCATCATATGTAGTAACATTATCCGTGTGGTATTCACCCCGGAGGTTGACGGCGCTCTTGTCTCCCAAAGGGAAGCTCTGGAACAGAAAGATGAAGACGCGTCCGCAGAAGACTGTATCTTCGGCCCTTGAGAGCCTTCGGAGTAACTCATTACAAGATCGTAGGATGATCAAGCTCTTTTGCTTGAAATGTTTCTTCGGCCGGGGGTCAACAGATGCGACGAAAAGGATGGACCAATCGCAAACCCACCTTTGTATTCCGCTCTCGTCGCGATTCCAGGTAATCGAACACCTTCCGGCAGCCATCAATGGTTTGGCTATCAAGCAATTCCTCGGTCAGCCAAAAGATCAGGCCGGGCTCACACTGCTCTGTAGGAATGTCAGGGTATCATCCAGCACCAACGATTGGACCAGGCACTGACCGTTGTCCGAAAAGATTGAGATGATATCGAGTAGGTTCCATATCCGGATGAACGAGGGATCCTCGATTGAGGTAGAAGCCTGTATGCCAGTCCCGAATTAGCCATGTTGTTGCGCATGCGACGTTCGATATCAAAAGCGGCGTGGAGGGACCGGAGCGCAGGGTGTTATACAAGTAAGCCGTAGAACTTCTCCCTGAACGCAATCTCCACCGCCGCAAACTGAGTTTGTTGGCCGAGTTCCTGGACCAATTGCTTATCCTCCCCTTGGATGAGCCAGATCGAATCGCCCAGATGGGTTTCGGACAAAGGCGGTTCGATCTGCTGGTCGGGTTTGGCATGCTCTGCGCGGGTGAGGAGATCGTCGATCAATCTCCTGTAGGCGTGAATCGCGCCGACATCGACATCCGCCATGCTGTGAAACCAGGAAGGTGAACAACCGACAGCAGGAGAGGGGGAGGGGAGGGGAGAAATGGAGGGGAGAATGAGAGGACGAGTGAATGATGGAAAGGGAGGAGGGAAGCAAAGGCACCGCTGCGGCTCTGCGGGTTCTAGGCGCCGGAGGTTCACCCAAGCAATACTAGTACTAGACAGTTAGACACGCGCGCGCCAGAAGCTTTCCCAATCCCGCCGCCCGCCACGGACCACTTGCGCAGATAAAGATCAATCGGATCCGCACCTCCGGAGTCCCCTTTGAGCAACTCCTCCCCCCCCCTCAACGTCTCGGAATGGGCCTCCAAACACGTCAGGCAATGGCGCAGGGCCTTGATTCCAGACCGACTGTGGAGGACTTCCGCGAGGACAGTGCATGGGTGCGGCTGGCCAAAACCCACTGGCTGGAGGGTTCCAAGGCCCGCAAAGTCAAGCAGGATGTTATTAAAAAGGATCTCTGGGATCCCCTCGAGGCCGAGAACTTCAGCTTCCGGTCGCTTCTGACGCTCGAGAATCTCAATATCCTGGAAAAGTGCGCAACCCTGCCAGCTTCTGAGACTTCCCTCGACGATGCCTAACTCGCGAATAGGTTCCTTTGGCCGACCTATACGGAAGATGCGTCGAACTACCATGTGCTCCTGCTCGCCCTGATTGTGAGTGTCAAGCAACGGGAACATTTACCAATCTGGGGTAGGCCAATGGGTGCACTATTGAAACAATTTGGATTGCTGACGAGGGATTAGACATCTTCTCCGATCGCCCCGCTGATTTCTCGAATCTTTTCCACCGGATCCTTTCGATGAGCGTCGATCCATCGCTCGGAACCTCTTCGCGCTTGTCGATAGTATCTTTCATCATCAGCTCCTTCCAGTCTGTCGAGAACCCGTTGATACGCAAGGAATGTGCGCCGCTGGTCTCAATCTCTATCTGGCACAACCTGTCGAGCGAAGAAGCACGAGAGCGCTTATTGGCCAGGAGTCCGGGGTTGAAGAAAGCATGGAGGGCTGCGGCCAAGCGATACGATGCAGGAGACGATGCAGCTAAGGCTAAGATGCGCTTTGAGCGATCGTGGCTATACACCATGCTTCTGGATTTTCTGCGGAGGTTAAATGGACCCGAGAAAGACCAGGCAGATAATCTGCGATACTGCGAGAGACTCCTTGAATTCCTTGTGGACCTGGAAAGCCAGCCCCCCACTAGACGCTATGTGAACACGCTCTTGAAAGACCTGAACTTTCTGTCGATTATCCACCTGTCGCAATTATACCGCTCTCCCGACAGTGCGCTGCTCCGCGACCTCTGCAACCTTCTGAAGCATTTCAGCGCATTTGCCATTGATGATTTCACCGGAGAGGCTCTGTCCCCCCAGGTCATATACGATACCCACTGCCAGGAGCTAGCACGCCTGCAGCGGACTTGTATGAAATACTTCAAAGACAAGCTGATGATCTTAGCTCTATCGAACTACGGGTCCATTGAACAGCGCTCCGAGCTAGAAGGGCAATTAGCGACCTTGGAGGAATCTGAGCTTCAGAGCCTGTGCTCCCATCTTGGTTTTCGCACCGACTATCCCAAACAGTGTCAAATAACCCCTGATCGCCATCTATACATGGAAATCCTCTTGTCATTCTATGAACGGAAGACGACGTTCCAAGAAGCCGCGTCGCAACTCAGCATTGTTCCCACCGAAGAGAACCTCTATGACCCCACCCTGCTACGCAATGAGACATACGATGGGTCCAGACCGCTTGCGATACCCAAGCTGAATCTCCAGTACCTTAGCCTTGGTGACTTCCTGTGGCGCTCGTTCCTGCTCTATCGGTCAGAGGCATTCTTCCAGATCCGCAAAGACATGGAGTCCGTTGTCAAACGGATGCAACCCCGTGCAAGCCGGGATGGCAAGACGCTGACATTTGATGGGTTCTCGAGAATGGCCATCCCTATCACGAAGCCGGCGATCATCGAGGTCGCGCCACCCAAGGTCGGTTCGGCAAAGCCTGCCTTCGTCAGGGCTGAAATCGCTATCGAGGTGGGTAGGCTGGCAGATCACGTCCGAATGGAGTGGGAATCACTTCGTCCGGATGATGTGGTCTTCTTGCTGGCCATACAGTCTGATGGGGGGGCGAGTAAGTCGGGACTTCGAGATCCTGAAACTCCCAGCCTCAAGCATCTTCGGACAGCGGAAATTGTGCAGGTGCTCGATGAAAACGGCCGCCCACTGCGCGAACCAGTGTCGGGTCAATCGAACGGGCACCGGTATAGGCCGCGCGTTCGGAAATTGTTGGTCAACCTCGATTCTGCTGCATTCAAGGCAGACAAAGACGGTCTTACGCAAGGGAAACCCGACGTCTACCCGTTGATCAACGTGATAGCGAGACGGAAGGGACGGGAGAATAACTTCAGATCCATACTTGAGACCATGCAGAAACTCATTGTCTCGGACATCACTCTTCCCTCCTGGATCCAGGATATCTTCTTAGGTTACGGCGACCCGGCGGGAGCTCGATACACCCAGCTGCCCAATCGACTCAAATCGGTGGATTTCCGAGACACGTTCTTGGACTGGCAGCATCTCATTGAGAGCTTCCCCGGCTTGACCATAGAGCCACCGAAGGAAGAAACGTCCAGCTTTGGCCCCCCATACATTCTCGAGTACGTGGAGGAGCCTACCAAGTCACCCTCGGCGGCGGAGCCGTCGAAGAAGCGACGGAGGGAGCAAGCCGACCGAGGGACAGGACCCAAGTCCCTTCGTGTCTCAACGTACAAGCCGCCCAACCCCGGTCCCTATCCGATTGATGCTCCCAAACTCAACGCGGTCCGCTTCACCCCAGCGCAGGTGGAGGCCATCACCTCGGGAACCCAACCTGGGCTTACGGTTATTGTCGGGCCTCCTGGCACAGGCAAAACGGATGTCGCAACGCAGATCATCAATAACATCTATCACGATTTCCCCAACGAGCGTACGCTGCTGATTGCGCACAGCAACCAAGCCCTGAACCAACTGTTCCAGAAGATCGTCGCGCTGGACATTGACGAACGCCATCTCCTCCGCCTCGGTCACGGCGAAGAGGAGCTGGAGACCGAGACCAGCTACAGCAAGTACGGGCGTGTAGAGTCCTTCCTGGAGAATCGCAACTACTTCCTCAGTGAGGTCAGTCGGCTAGCAGCATCGATCGGAGCCCAAGGTGCCCATGGCAACTCCTGCGAAACTGCCGGCTATTTCAATACCGTGTACATACAGCCGGCGTGGGCCAAGTTCTGGGATCAGGCCCGCAGTGAAACCGCGTCGACCGAAGAGATCATCGCATCGTTCCCATTCCACCCCTACTTTGCCAACGCACCTCAGCCCGTCTTGGATCCCGCGGCTACCAAAGATACCCTTCTGGACGTGGCCGAGGGCTGCCAGCGGCACATCGACAAGATCTTCTCCGAATTAGAAGACATCCGTCCGTTCGAAATCTTGCGCCAGCCGAAGGACAAGGCTAACTACCTTCTCGTGAAGGAAGCAAGAATCATTGCCATGACGTCCACCCATGCTGCAATGCGTCGCCAGGAGATAGCCAATCTCGGGTTTCACTATGACAATGTGATTGTGGAAGAGGCGGCCCAGATCACGGAGATTGAAAGCTTCATCCCTGCTGCCCTGCAGAACATGAAGCAGGGCGAGCTCCCCCTGAAGCGGGTGGTTCTCTGTGGTGATCATCTCCAGAACTCCCCCATTATCCAGAATATGGCCTTCCGACAGTACGCTCATTTCGAGCAAAGTCTGTTCCTCCGTTTGGTGCGATTGGGCGTTCCAGTCGTCACACTTGACCAGCAGGGCCGCTCAAGGCCCAGCATTGCAGAGCTCTTCCGGTGGCGTTATCAGCAATTAGGAGACCTCCCTGCCGTGGAGACAGGGCCGGAGTTCCAGCGCGCCAACGCCGGTTTCCAGTTCGACTACCAATTCATCAATGTCCCGGACTACCAGGGCACCGGAGAACGTGAACCCACTCCCCACTTCATCCAAAACCTGGGAGAGGCGGAGTTCGCGGTTGCCATCTACCAATACATGCGTCTCCTAGGGTACCCGGCCTCGAAGATATCCATTCTTGCCACATATGCAGGTCAGACGGCATTGATCAAGGATGTCTTGAACCATCGTTGCGCCAAGAACTCGCTGTTTGGCTTGCCCAAGATTGTCACGACGGTGGACAAGTACCAGGGTGAACAAAATGATTGTAAGTCTCCCCGGTCTATCCGGCTCATCTGAAATGACCCGCCCACCCCCGACTAACCCGTCATCCATCCAGACGTGATCCTGTCCCTCACCCGCACCCGCACCGTCGGCTATCTCCGCGATGTCCGTCGCCTGACCGTTGCGCTCTCTCGCGCCCGTCTGGGGCTCTACATCCTCGGCCGTCGCGAGGTGTTCGAGTCATGCTATGAACTCAAACCGGCGTTTGACCTGCTGTTCCAGCGCCCGGACAAACTCATGCTTGCCCCGGGGGAGATGTTCCCGTCTGCGCGCTCTCTGACGGAGGAGGTCCAGGGCACACCGATGGAAAGCGTCGAGCATCTCGGCCAGTACGTGTTTGAGATGACCCAGGCCAAGCTGAAGGCCATGGGTGAAGAGAGCGTTGTCGACAATGAGATGTATGTGGGCGACGAGGACATCGGGTTGGACGAGGATGAAGTCATGCTGGGGGCCGGGGAGGAAGGCGACGATGACCCATTGCACGAGCATACCCTCGCCTGAGCGGGAGCTACTCTTATCAGCCATACCTGTGCCTTGACCATTCTGTACGTGTGCAACACGCTCTAGCGTCTCATCCACTCGGCGAAGTCGAGTCACGAATGGGTGAACTCATGCTGGCCACTTGAATGGCTAGATGATCATGATAAGGCTATCTATTTACACTTTCACGTATCTGCATTTTGTTGGTAGTCTTGCCTGGTATTTGGATAAAAAGGCCTCGAGATGTGGCTAAGTCGATTGGACTTATATATACAGATTTCTATACCCCATTGTAACGGCCAGTGCTCTCTGTTCTATAGGATCCTACTCAAGTTCAGGGGCTAGCGAACGGATAAGTTCACTTGAACGGACACCAGACTAGGTAGTCTAGGACTCGCTCTTGGACATCTCCTCAACGATGTTTTGAGGGTCTTTCCAGGCGAGTGCAACGAACCTAGGAGGACATCAGTAAGCGATCCCAACGGGAAGGTAATTCTGGGAGCGCATATCGACGTACTTGGTATGGCTTCCTCTTGCGAAGACCTCGCCCTTGGTGTTGGAGAACTTGATCGAGGTGTATGCAAGGGTTTTCCCGACTGCAGATCTATGTAAGATGACAGGTCTCAAGTGCCTGCGGGGAACCTACATTTGTCACAGCTGACTTCCTGTAATGCAGCGGATTAGTTTTCATACAACGGGCCATCCTATCGATATCTAGGACTGTGCCGAGTACGGGGACATACCGCCAGAATCTTGTCGCCGACTTTACCACCCGAGCTGAGATATGTCACTATGTAATGGTTAGAACCCTTTGCGAAAGTAGCGAGATGGGAACCTTGCGGACTGCGTACCATTGAGATCAGTCGAGACGCCGGTCGCAAACAGACCCCGGGAAGCCACAGCCAGGGAGCCACCTAAGTCCACTGCATATCCAGGAAGTTAGCGATTGCGGTGGAGTGAGAATAGGTTGCCATTCGACCTACCCATGCTAGCGATGGTGCCGCCATGGAGGATGTTCAGGCGGTTCTGGGCACAAGTAGTCAGTCCCGTCGACAGTCATGGGTACGTATCATAAGTCTACACTTACTGTGTGCTCCTTCTTGATGTCGAGTTCAAAATTGACCAGGCCGGGTTTGGCAGCTGTCACACGAAGCTGGTGGGAGATCCATCATCAGTATCATCGGTATATATATATATAGTAGTCAGTAGCATTATTCCGAAGCTCCGTCTTGGCCGAGATGAACGAGGGCCTTCGGGACCGTTCCATAGGGACTATGCTAGAGACAGAGTGTCTTGAGATGAGGGCATACATTGTCCAGCAATCTACATCATCACCATCAGTGACTGAAATCCAGACCGGCCAGCAAGCATGGACGCTGTCACTTACCGAGGCTCTAGCCCCGAAGTGGCCCGAAAGGACTCCCAAACCTGGAGAAGCCGGTCAGTAGATGCGGACGGATGGGGGAGGGGGGGATGCCACAGACCGATCGAACAAAACGCAAGGAGGTCATTTTGACACTATCAAGTACAATGCAATGGAAACCGGACCGAGAGGGAATGGGACGCGGGGAGAAGAAGAAGAAGTGCTCCGTAAGTAAGAGACGATCCGACTGCGCTTGCGGGTGTTTTGGCCCGCCGGACCGCCTGGACCGTGACGCCCGGACAGCTTCTTTCTTCAAAAAGCTTCCCCTTCGGCTTGCTTCGAAGCTGCCACAGCCACTCTTCCCCCCCGTCGCATCATGCTGCAGCGGTGACTCTTGCAGACAAGATGGCTGCTGCTCCATCGTCCCGCCCCTTTGAGTATCTCGAAAGCCTCCCTGGTACAGTCTTTTTCAAACTCTACCAGCAGCCATCAACCGCCCTCGCCATCTTCAGGCGCATGCTGCCTGACCTGGGTACGTGGTCGGCATCTGTTCCCCCGGCGCCGCTGCGTTCTCACTGACTGCATCTTCAGCCAAATGCTTTGTGATGGCGCTTCTCTACCTGAAGGATCCGCTTCCCGCAGCGGATCTGGAGGTTTGGGTCAAGTCCGAAAGCTTGAAGTGAGTGCCGCTCCAGCAACCTGGCAGTGTTCCGATGGTTAATGTGAATATTGCTGCACAGAGAACGGGATAATGCGCTCTCCATTCTAGGAAGGCTGCATATCCTGTCCAATACCCTCACAGCGGACAATGTTCGAGCCTACATGGTCACCGATCCGTTTGCCACCTCGTTGCGAAACGCGCTCACCGGTGCCGACCAGACCCAATCATTTGGTGTCCTCTCACACGTCCCTAGTGGCTCGGAAGTCTCGATCGCCGGCTTGGATGAATACGCGCGACGGCAGTGGGAAGGAGTTCTGGGATACATGGTCGGGACCGGCGGCTTGGGCGCCCAGCGTGAGGTGACCCTGAGCAAAGGCGTGAAGGAGCTCCTGCAGGCGGGCCACCTGGTGGAGATCAGAGACCGTCGTGTGGAAATCACCCAGGACGGCTTTGCCTTTGTTTTGCAAGACGTCAGCACCCAGGTGTGGCATATTCTGATCCTCTACGTCGAAAGCGCAACCGCCATTGGGATGGACAGTGTTGAGGTCCTCTCGTTCGTTTTCCTTCTGAGCAGTCTCGAACTCGGAAAATCCTACGAGAAGAACCACCTTACACCCAAACAACTCCGCATGCTCACCGACCTGGCCGACTTCGGTATCGTCTACCAAGAGTCGCCTGATGCGCCGCGGTTCTACCCCACCCGTCTCGCGACCACGCTTACTTCCGACTCCAGTGCTCTCAGCAACCCGATCCTGGGCGCCCTATCCGGTCCCACTGGCGATCCCTCCAGCAAGGCGGGCACGGGCTTCATCATCATCGAAACCAATTACCGTGTCTACGCTTACACCTCCTCCCCGCTGCAGATCTCTCTGATCGCCCTTTTCACCACCTTGAAATACCGCTTCCCCAACCTCATCACCGGCAAGATCACCCGCCAGTCTGTCCGCCGCGCCGTCGAAATGGGCATCACCGCCGACCAGATCATCTCGTATCTCTCTACCCACGCGCACCCTCAAATGCGCAAGCACAACGTCTCCCGCTCCACATCGAACCAGGCGGGGATTCCTCCCTCGGTTCTCCCGCCCACGGTGGTCGACCAGATTCGCCTGTGGCAACTGGAGCGTGACCGCGTCAAGGCCACATCAGGATTCCTGTTCAAGGACTTCGTCAGTATGGCCGAGTACGAAGCCCCGTGCCGCTATGCGGAGGAAATCGGCGTTCTCGCGTGGAAGTCCGATCAGAAACGGATGTTCTTCGTGACGCGACATGAACAAGTCGCGGCGTTCTTGCGGAGCCGGAAGTGAGGGGCAGGATATCTAACCACCCACGACGGCGTTTTTCCTATGATCTTGTGTGCTTTGGCTTACTGCGTTGCATAGAGGTACGGCCTGGCGTTATGGCTCCCGGGGGGGACAATTTATGAAATGATGATGCATGGCTCTTGATCCGGACATGGATATCGGGGTTCTCGAATTGTACATTAAATAGCAAAATCCCAAACGAAGGAAACGGGACACAACAAAACCATACAAAACATTTGTTGAAAATTTTTCTTTTCATAGACCACTGTGATCTGAGATGATATGATATGCATGATCCCATCTGCCTGAACGCCTCCATTACCCGCTCCCAACCCTACTTTTTAATTCCCGAATAGCAGAACAAACACACCTAATCCATCCACCGATCTCCATACAGACGAACATACTCGTCCCGAAACGCCCGAAGACTGGCACCCGCCTCATCGGTCACGCACACGTTCTCCAGTACCATAAAGGCACGCTTGACACGATAATTCGCCAGATCGCCATCCGACCCGCCCAAGGGCCGGGAATAGCTGGACAGCATGCCAAACCCGGTCGCCACGTCGGGCTCCTGGAAGGAGTCTTCGTAGTGAAAGGCGTTGGTGAGGGTCATGAATCGGCCGAGCCAGTACTCGCGGGGTTGGGCTTCCTTCACCTGTGAGAGACCAGAGGTATGTACCGTTAGTGTCGGTTTTCTTCTAGAGACAGCGGAGGGGATCCGAGAGAAAGAAGAAGAAGGAGGAAGAGGAGGAGGAGGAGGAGGAGGATGAGAAGGCTGGCCTCGTGGTGACGATACCATTCTTTCTGTGCGTTCTCTGTGTCTGAGTCTTGTTTCTGGGACGAGATCGGCGTCTGCATTTGGCTTCGTTCGGGGCGTGAGGCTCTTCTCTCCTTCTTTGTCTTCGGGCGGAATCGTGGCTGCTTCTCTGGTATCTTTTGCCTCCTTGTCGGGTCCCTCTGCCCGCAAGTCCTCGAATTTGCTCGTCCATCGGATCCGCTTCGGGGGAACCTTCCCGGATGGCATCTGTGGGGGATGGCGTGCATGCGGTTGACAGTCCTTGCTGGCATCTCGCTCTTGCTCTGAGTGTGGCGAGTGCTCATCGGTTGCAATGGCGCAGGTTGGACTCGAACTTGGGCTAGGACGTGCTTGCTTCACGGGTCGATCTGGGGCGGTTTCCTTCCGACTGTATATCTGGGTCGAAGGACGGCCTGCCACCATGACTGGCAGGGACCGGCGAGAATTGCTGCTATCATGGGTGCGCGAGATCGAGGTCGTTGAGGTAGTGGGGAGCACGTTGGCCCGTCTCAACGAGACTCGCTCACTGTCACGGCCTTTGTTGGTTCGCAGCGGAGCTGGCAAGCCGGTTGTCTTCTGCTCGGACGGTTTGCTCTCATCGCGCATTCTATCTCGCTGATGCTGCTGGCTGGATATGGTGCAGGTTCCCTCTGCGCAGGCTTCTCCTTTCTCTTGACGTCTGATACCGGCAAACCGTCTTCCCAAGGAGGAGAGCACACTGCGTCTGCCTTCTTGCTGGTACACCTCGTGGGAATACAGATCCGAGGTTGGGGGATTGACCGGGGTAGGCAGTCTGGAGTAGAGAGCACTAGTCAGGACCTTTCCGCTCGTCGACTGGGCAGGAAGCGAGATCTCTTGTTGAGTGGGGTGCTTCTCCTCGAGGGGCACGGATATCCAGTCCTCATCCTCGTGGCTTTTCTCCTCAGGGTCAGCGGGGGAGGGGGGTGGTGGAATTATGAGAGGTTCTTCGAGGTGAGGCGGAGGCGTAGGGGGAAGTGGTGGCATGGTTGCTCGCGAGACTCGCTCTCCACGAACGGAACGGAGGGTTCTAGTTGGAGGTGAGGATGAGCTGCTCTCCGTCACGGGGGACTGGGAGTTGGGTGAGGGAGGCATATCGGGACGAGGGATGTGGGTGCTGTTGCTGCGGCGGCGGTGTTGGGGGTCCGCATTGCCAGAGGCCCGGCTGAGACGGCCTCCAAAGGCGCTCTTGAGCACCTGCAGAGGACTGCCCAGCAGTGCACGGCGGCTGGGCTTGTCTGGCATGGTGCAGTTGGGGCCGTGGAGTCCGGATCGTGCTGTGAGGACCCGCCAGAGGGGGGGTGAAGTGATCTGATAGGGTTGGGAGAAGAGAAGACAGGCCGAGAAGGAGAAACACAGCCAGATGGCCGACAGATTCCCCTCTGGCAACCATCACTGTCATTCACTCCAACTGCCTGGGTGATGGTGATGGTGATGAAGTGGATGCAACAGAGGTGCTTGTGTAAGTGGTCAGTGCACACATCCTCTCTTTTCGAGTCGAGGATGGCTCACGCATGGAGTGGAGGGCTGCACAAACGATGCCATTGTCTATCCATGTGATTTGGTTCCATATACAGATGCCCACCCATTGCCCTTGCCCTTGCCCGGATCCATGCTTGACACCAAACTCCGCATCATCAGTCATCATGCCTTGAAGATACATAGGACAGACATGCTATTCCGAGTCACTGTCCACCACGAAGCCCGCGCGCACCCGTCTGCGACTGGCTGCAGCCATCGGGACAGCTTCATCCTCGTCCGGCGCCATGACATCGTCGGGCTCGTTCGAGTCCTGATTCTGGTCCCCAAGCGACCCCAACCCCTTCCCCCGATCGCGACTGAATGCCAGGTCATCATCGAAATCGAAGTCATCCTCCATCTCGCGAGACGGCGTGCCCTCTCTTTCCGACTGCGGCGGCGACGAGACATCAACGCCGCCCATCACCACATCGTCGTCTTCGTCCTCCTCATCGGTCTCCCCACGCCGTTGCCGCTTGCTTTGGGCCTCACCCGTCTGGGTGCTCAGCCGATTGTTTTGGCGCTTGCGTTGGCCTGTCTTGCTTGATGCACCGGCCGCATCCTCCGTAATCCCAGTAAGCAGCGCTTTCTTCACTCGCTGGGCTTGATCTTTGCGCCTCTGCTCCTCCAGGAGGAAAAATTCCTTGTCTGCTTCCTCGTCGGTGTCCTCGTCACTAGCGTGCACGTACAGATCACTCTTGATCTTTGCAAGGCGAGCGCGTGTGTTTTCCAACCGGGCCTGACGACGCTCCTCCAACGTCTCCTCATCCACGGCGTCGTCCTCATCGTCCTCATCCGCGTTGCGACCCTTGCGCTTTTTCTTCTTCTGGGGTTCCTTGGCCGGGTTCGCCCGGGATCGAGGGTTGGGTGGGAACAGTGGCCCATCCGGGACCTCCTCCTCACCCTCCGAATCGGACCCGAAGTGAATATCAGGGTTGTCGTGATTGTCGGCGAGCTTTCTGCCGCCATATTTGCGTCGGATCAGCTCACGAGGGTCGCGCCCAAGTGTTCCTCTGAAGGCTTTTTCCAAGTACTTGTCGATGAATGATTTCATCTCCCGGAGATCCTGAGCCCTCGTCGTTGAGGGGATGACCCAGGATGCGCCGGGCACATCCTCTACACCGAGCCGCTCGAACTTGACCAGTGTCATCAGGAGCCGGAGCTTGGCGTTGGAGAACATCGCCTGTTGGCATGCCTCGTCACGCGCTTTCACCGCTGCACGAAGGTTAGAAGATATGGAGCTGTGGGACGGGCTGATGAGACATACCAATCATGGGGTTGGGGATCTTCGAACTCTCCGCACCTGCGTCGCGCAGGGCCTTCTCCTGGGCTTCCCAGGCCTCCCTTTCTTCAAAAGCCGACCCCAAGACCTCACTGACCCAGGTGACCAGATCCGCCTCCCCATCCAAGACCAGGGCAGGCACCATGATGCTGAGCTTCTCCTCGATTGTACTTGCTTGTCGGGGGTCGATTTCAAGCTCAGCCGGAGCCCTTCGGACGGTGGGGAGAGTCTGTCGCTCGTGTCCATATTCGAGGTAGAATGTGGTTGAGTTGATCTTGCTGAAGAGCAGCTCCACAAACAGAGCCGGACGCTGATCGAGCTTCTTGGTCAGCCGCCTGATGATCTGGCGCACTAGCTCTTCCCACTCCTTGAAGATGGGTTTGCTCGAATCCAAGGCGCCTGGCCCTTTGATGATTCGGTAGAAGAGATTGATGATGTCGAGACGGAATAGCAAAACGCTCATCTCCTGCTTGAATGCAATCCGGTAGAAATAACGGTGGGCGCGTTTGAGCTGCTCCGAATTCAACTCCCGGTAGTGCTTGGTGAACGCGATGAACGTATCAACACATTTCTGGTTGCAGAACCTGGCAGTAAAGCGTCGGAAATCGAACTTGCGCTCTTTCGACACTCTTTCGGCTTCCATCAGATCCTCATCTTCCGAGCCATTTCCTTCGTCATTCTCTTCCATCCCAGCCCCCTCTACTTCCTTGGCTTTGCGCCTCGCACGTCGCCGAGATCGTACTTGCAGATCGACGTTCTCTTTCGAATAACGTTCCAACATTCGCAGGAAGACATGGGTAAGTTCGGTGCATGCATCCAAGTAGCCGAACCCTTGGTCATTGTATCCGCGGATGACGGCTAGGACGCGGTCATGAGTAGTTTCTTCGTAGAAGATCCGGTTTTGGATGTTTTCGGCGATCTCTTGGTCTTCTTCGAGCGGAGATTGGGCCATGTCCTGCACGGTCAACAAGATCTGGGTGAAGCAGCGCATGCCGGCATTGAGGTCTTCCCAGTCCTTGTTATCCAACGCGTACTGCATGGCGCGATTCAGGAAGACGAAGGTTTCTTGGTTAAGCACACCAGCGACGAGTCCAAAGCTATCTGGCTCCAGTTCCTTGGCTGGCTTTTCGCTCTCCGAGTGCCTTTTACGTTGACGCGCGCGCCGTGCACGCTCTGCCTCGAGAAACCAGGCAACAGTGTAGAGAAACTGGCGGGTATTGATATCCATGACACGGTCCGCTTCACGCTCAATTGCCTTCCGCACATGTGTGAGAAGAGGGTTGAAACCCGAGTCGAGAAACTCTTCCACGAACATCCGCAGGTTGTTGGAGGCGGTCGAGTTCAGGTGAACCGGGGTGTTGAAGTCATTGTGCACCGTCAGATCCTGTGGCTTCCGTCGAAACTGGGGCTTGTTCCACTTCTTGCTTTCGTCCATCTTCTGGAGGGTCGCCTGGCTGTCCTTGAGGACGTTTTGCCCTGACACAGTCGAATACTTGGCGTCATCGCGCTTGACCCAGATCATCGTTCCGAATCGGCCATGTCGAGTTGGGGCATTCTTCGCGTACTCTCTCCGCAAAGATGACTCCTTCCGTAGCAAATCATCAAGCTCGTCCGTCCGTTTGGCCGTTCGTTGAGCATCGTCCATGAATAGTTTCTCGACATTGACTCCCCTAATCAGATGGAATAGTATCTCAAGAAGGGCCACATCTTGCATAGTGAAGTCGTCGCCAACGTTGGAGCACATGGTAAGGAGAAGTGCGAAGGCGTCTTGGTCCTGGAAAGCATTGATGGTCGCGGATCTCGATGTTTCCTCCTCATCGCCTTCTGCCGCGAGTCGGGTATTGGGGGTAATCAGAGCGATATTTCGAAGCAGGTAGAGCATCAGTTTGAGGATACCTTCGTCGCGGGTCGTCCGTTCGGAGCGTGGAATGGCCATGCTTGGAATGCCAACACTGATAATGGTTCGGAGATAGCTGGTGCTGGCATGACTGAGGAGTCCTCGCTTATAGGCGACGTGGACATGTTGTATGTATGGGATATGCCGATGATGGTTGACCGTCATCTCACCGTGCAGCTCTACCGGCCATGTCAACGGAACAAGCAGCTCTACTACTCACGGTTAGGGACCACCATCGCAGCCGCGACCACGCCACGGGGAGCATGACCAACTTACAACACGCCAATGCAATCCTCGACATATACTTGGTTTGTTTTTTGCTGTTGGCCCAGACCGACAGGATGGGTAGCAAGTCGCCGTTGACCAGATTGGCCTCTCCCAGACATCGGGCCACATCCATCCGATTGTGTTTTTCATCGTAGAGTTTCAGCCAGCGCTTGATATCCCGGAGACAGGCCAGGGCATCATCACCCAGCACATACTGGTCGGCATCTTCTCCATTGAAACCACCCAACTACCACACCACGAGGAATTAGAGGAGAGCTTCTAACAATTGGATCGCAACGGGGGGAAGGGTTCTCACCGCAGTGACAAGACTGTAGACATGGGCGCGGACATCCGGGTCCACGACCTGGACTTCCGATGCAGACAGCACAGGTTCTTCGGTGTCCATGCTGACGGGGTGTGCACCTGGATCCTCATTCTCCTCGCCGTCATGCTTTTGCTGGGGTAAATCTGGTGCGCGGCCCCCTTCAGAGCCAGTCCGCCAATGGGGGCGCGCCATTCACGCGTCAACGCGTCTCCGCCTTTCAAACTGCCGGACAGCCGAGGCTAGCCGATGACGTCGGGGTCGGAGCCGGAATCACATGAGAGAAAGTGCCGCGGAGTTTCGGCTCCAGACGGTCTCTACAGAGTAGATTCGTACTCCGTACATTACTGGATTCCTCCCCTCCTCACTGGCTCCCCTCCAGTTCAGTTCCCCGTCACCGAGATCATGTTGTCGTCGTCGCTGCGCTCGCTCTGCCACCGAGGGCCCTCAATGGCCTCTCGGGCCTTCAGCACCTCTTCCGCCGCTTATGCTGCCGAGGTTAAGTCGCTGGGCGTGATTGGAGCTGGCCAGATGGTACTTGGCCCTTCCCACTCAGTCCGATGCATCGGTGCACCTAACAGGATATAGGGACTAGGAATTGCTCTGGTAGCTGCTCAGAAGGCCCAGGTTCCGGTGACTCTGATCGACAACTCCCAAGCCTCCATCGACAGGGGCCTCAAGTTTGCCGGTACGCAGACCGAGCCCCCCCTCCTCCCGGCTGAGACCCCATGAGTTAACCATCCGAGCCTCCCAGACAAGCTTCTCGAGAAGGATGTCTCCAAGGAGCGACTCACCCGAGAGGCGGCCGACACTGCCCGGGCCCGCATCACGCCCAGCCTGAAGATGGATGACCTCTCATCCGTCGACTTCGTGATCGAAGCCGTCCCCGAGATCCCCGATCTCAAGACCTCCATCTTCACCCGACTCGCCCAGATCGCCCCCAAACATGCCATTCTCGCCACCAACACCTCCTCCATCTCCATCACCAAGATCGCCGCCGCCACGACCACCGACCCCACCGACCTCCAGGCCCCCTCGCGCGTCATCTCCACCCATTTCATGAACCCCGTCCCCGTCCAAAAGGGCGTAGAGATCATCGCCGGCCTGCAGACCTCCAAGGCGACCATCGACACGGCTATCGCTTTCGTGCAGCGCATGGGCAAGGTGGCGTCCGTCTCCGCCGACTCGCCGGGTTTCCTCGCCAATCGCATCCTCATGCCCTACATCAACGAAGCGATCATCTGTCTAGAGACGGGCGTCGGCGGTCGCGAGGATATTGACAATATCATGAAGACTGGCACCAATGTCCCCATGGGCCCCCTGACCTTGGCCGATTTCATCGGTCTCGACACCTGTCTGGCGATCATGAATGTCTTGCACCAGGAAACCGGGGATAGCAAGTACCGGCCATCAGGGCTGTTGAAGCGCATGGTCGATGCCGGCTGGCTGGGCAAGAAGTCCGGCAAGGGCTTCTACGACTACTGATCGAATGTCTATGTATACGCTGCGATATCCCTTGTTGTTGATGACTTAGAGACTCCCTCGTGAAATATGACAATGCAGATTGGACCGGGGTATAACACACTGCATGATACACACCCATCTAGGCTACGTAGTCCACTTCTTTCTAGCATGGTAAAGCCACAATGAATATGACTTCAACAATCTCCCCACATTATCCCACTCTCCGTCCCTTCCCATCCCGTTCAGCCGGGTCACACACCCCAGTCCGAAGCAGCCGACGTACGAACCCCGGGCTCCCGGCAAGGCTGCCTACATCAACACCAGACAGCCACGATCATCTTCATAATCCACATGCACATCCTTCCTACCAAGCAGCGGATCAACCATCTCGGTCGCTAGGGATAGATAGGGGCATTCGCTAGAAGGAATGCACCACTTCGGTGGACCACATCAGCGTGTCCCTCCGTGGCTACCCAGAGGAGTGACGAGCTGTTCCGATGCTAGATGTTAGGCTGGTAGAGAGAGAGGTGTGAAGAATCCGGCGGACATGTCGACAGGTCCGGATTAAAGCGCAGATGACCCTTGCGAGAGAAAGAAAGCCGACTACGGGGACAAGCAGCTCACTGGAAAGTTCTAGTGGGGTCAAAAGGACCAGGGCCAATTTAAGTAATTAATTTTCATTTTCATCCGACAAAGGGAATATATAATTGTAGTATGAGTTGGATAGGTCAATCTGTTGCGGCCCGACTGTGAGCCTGAAAAAGCCTAGGACACTCTCCAAGTCGCGCGAGTCTGCGGTGCTATCAGCAGACTCCCCCGATCCCGGCACTTGTGGCTGCCTTTGTCCACGCCTTGCGTCTTTGCCATTTCCTCATCCCGCAGCCTTTCGTTGCATAGGATTGCAGCCACCACGGCGGCCAGTTCTGCCTCCTGATCTCGGTTCACTCCACTGTGCCCAACAATGAAGGTGAGGAAATCAATCGGTCGTTGGCCTGGCTTCGCACATGTACACGACAACCAAGGATTGCGACACATGTTACTGTGCCCAGTTAGCGACTGCACGCGGAGTTTGGCTTGATGGGACGGAGGCTTACCAGACTTGTGCTTTGCATCGACATGTAACATGATCGCAGTTGAATAAGAGGTCCACCAAGGAGCCACATTTGAACCCTCTCGGTCCTTTGCCGAGGCGCGGATCTTCGAAGACGGCCACCAGTCCAGGGTCTGGGAAGTAGTGTTTCGAAGGGAGCCCCGGGAATCGGCAGCCGGAACAGAACGTCGTGCTGCAGTACGGGCAGCTCTGGGACGTGAGCTTGCTGTTCAGGTGCTTTGGCGGGATAAATCGGCCACACGTTGCCGCGGGGCAGTAGCAGCGTTCTCGAGCTGGAATCGCATACTCCTGTGTCTTGGCCAAATACACCGTTCTTTCCTTTGGTGTCAACACGGGCAGGATGACCTCGGTTGGGATCTTCTGTTTGCAGCATCTGGGTGGGAACAGCCCTTCATCCGGCATGACTGTAAACACCATCTGCTTCAAACATCTGCTGCAGTACTTGTGCTGACAAGGCATACTGATCAGGCACTCAGCAGGCATGATATCGAGGCAGCTCGCGCAAGGTCTAGGCATGGTCAGCGCATCATACATGGATCAGGAGCGATGGGGGCGCATTGGCGGGACTGACTCGTCTATTGCCTCCCGCTTAACCAGACGCTTCGAGAACTTCCCTCGGACTTTCTCCAGGAACCGGCCCATCTTCGACTTTGGGCAGGGTCCTTCGCTATGGGACAGAGTTCTCATTGACTCGGTGTCTACGGCCGCAAAAGTGTCCGTTGGCAGTGGTTCTGTGCTGAAAGCGCTGCTGCGCGCCTCGGTTTTTGGGCGGTGTTCAGCGAGGCGCTGGGCAGCGCGCGAGGCCAGATTGCGAACGTTGAACGCGGTCATCTTGGGCTCAGGCAAAGCTTCTGTAACTGGCGCTGACCTTCGAAAAAGACCGGTCGAGGGCACTACACTTCCGGGCAGGGTCGGTGATGGAGAGGAGCAGATCGGACGGATAGATTGCTGGGTGCAATTCCGGGACGCTGGAATCCATAATCGCTGGTCTTCGTCTAGAAAGTAGGGCACGAGAAACGAGAAGTAGACAGTAGGGACATAATACTGAGGCCGATGGGATGTATCTTGAGTCTGATTTTCTGGGTTTTCGTAAGATAAATTTGAGTTTGTAGGAGGAATGAACCAGCATAAAATGGCCGGAGCAGGAGCGCCAGATGTCAGACTTTATAGACATATACACCCGGTAGTCGGACTGCTCGGCATATCATGCCGGAGGGCCATCGCATGAGGGGGGTGGGTAACTGGGTATATCGCGCGACAACTAAGCGGCCATGCCATGGGTAGGGCGGTCGAATGCCACATGTCCGACTCCATTATTTGCTAGAGATGCCTCCCAGACAACGCTTCCTGTCGAGAGTCCGTCATCATTCGCCCATGCAGCTGTAGGATGACCTCGAAGAGGGGCACCACCTGCTCCTCCCTGGACCAACCATGCGAAACGGAGAGATTAGGGGATCATGGCGAGCTTGCTCGGGTGGACGAGTAAACTGCGCACCGAGCAGCACCATGCGGTTGACCGACGCTGGAGGTGTCGACGTGTTCGAGTGCGGGGCGCGAGGGACGGAGACGAGAGGCTGGCGGAAGATTGATTAGGTAGCAATGGGAGGGAACTTCCTCCGTCCACCACCAACCCCCCAGCCTCACCGCAACAATCACCAATCCCACCCCATGACTCACCCCCCCCCCGATCGCCCACAGCCACGGCCCAACAGACGTCCCGAGCTGTTCGCCAATGCCTTGATTGCGTTGTCGAGCAGCGCCCGAACGACTAGCTCATTGATGGCCATCACCGCCATCCCCGCCATCCCCGACGGAAACCCATCCTGAGGGTCGATTGCCCAATCGAGGCCTTGGACATAATGACATTGTTCTAGGAAATCCACCGTCTTCTTCTTACTGCGAGGGTATCACGGATAGACGCTAAAGAAAGATCAAGGCAAGCATGCACGCAAGCAACTCCTATCAAACCCCAGACGCTCCAATGCCACGGACGGCCGTGCCGACCGAACTTACAGCGCACCAGTAAACTTCCGACTAGCCCAGGAAGAACCGTGTTCTTGGTACTCCTGCCGGGTGATGGCAACTTTCTGAAGGTCGTCTTTATTCGTGGCAAATCGGGACGCCCCCAGCCAGGTGGAGCGAATCGGACTGTGCACAGAATCTCATCAGCTTGAAGCTCAAGGAGATTCGTAGACGGTAGGGCAGCGCTTACTCTTGAGGACTTCGAACTCGTACAGCGCATTCCGCGGACGCCAGTTGGCGCAGCTCAGTCTCCCTGCACCGGGTTAGCAAACTGCCAATCCGTAAAGATATGATGCCACCTTACAGTCTTTCCACGAATCCGGGGAGTAGCGCATTGCCGCCGACGACCAAAACGTTGGCCAGGAAGGCCGGGTGCAGTCCGGTAGGCAAGACAGAAAGACTCTGCATGATAATATCCGGTATCCCCGCCTGCTTCATGCCAATGTCACCGGGGGTGAACAGGATCTCTGGAACAGCAAAGCGCTCGTTGCCCAAGACCAAGGCGTCTTCGGATAGTGCTTCCGTGCTGGCACCCGAGAGAGCTCCCTTCCTCTTCTTGGCGTTCAGCAGAGGATCGTGCGGTCGCATAAAGCCCTTCTTGCCTGCATTGGGGTCGGGGAGGACATAGTCTACCACCACACCCTCGCTGAGCTCCGGCAGGCCGCGTTTCCGACTGCCTTTCCACGTTTGTTCCATGTCGCCAGCGAAGTTGTTGCTCACAAAACAAACCGCCTCTTTCACTTCGTTCATGATATAAGTCTCTTCCACCATGTTGTACTGTCTTACCGAGACAATTTCTTTCAGATAGTTCGTAAGGTGCTTACCACCGAGGTCGAGTCGGCGAATTGCACGTTGGAGCGGTTGCCCCTTGTAAACCGGTGTCACGGTGGTGTGAGAGTAGCCAGAATCGACCACTAAGAGACATTCTCTTGGAGGCACAGCCGAGTTTGCCTCCTGCACAATAGGGTCCCCGAACAAAGACTGGACGTCATTCCAAGCATTCAGCGACGGGCCTAGGCGACGCATATTCCAATTAGCGACGCAACGGACAAATACGGCTATCCGGCACCCTTACCAACACATCTCAGATAACCCCCAAACCCCCATTCTTCCATCACGATTTCATCGGCATTCTTCTGCAGCGCCGGCAATGCATTCGGTGCCTCCGTCAACAGCAGCGTCGTGTCTTCCGGGTCCGTGATGCGAAGGTCCTTGCTGCGCACGGTCGTTTCGTCGAAAAACGAGTGCTCCCATATTTCCTTCTGCGCCTCCCAGTTCACAATGTATCCCTTTTCAACGGGGCGGCGAAACACCATCTCATTCCAATCCGTCACATGCGTGTTGAGTTGAGAACCGACGTAGATCTTGTTGCCACGGGTCTTGACGATCGCGTTGGGAATATCCGAGCAAGCTGAGAGCGCCTTCGATTCGTCGTCCGGAGGCGAGCTATCCGGTGCATAGCCCGCTTTTATCGTATACGCGCCATTGTCAATGATGAATGTCTTGTCCGGTAGAGATTGGACCTTGGCGACGGAAGCCCTTCCGGAAGGACGAGGTTTGGTGGTGCCCATCTTTTGGGAAGGGGGCTGGGGTATTAGGTCATTAGAATCGAGCTCTCAAACTCTCTGCACGACACATGGGCGGAGACAATAGGAAGAGGGAGTCCGCGCTGTTGAGTGGAAGGGGTTGAAGAGGGATGGAAGCAGATGGTGACGGAGCTTTCGGTCGCTGGGCGGAGATCGGAGATGCCAAGCAGTCAAGCTCCCAAATCGGCAAATGAGGGCTCAGGCTTAGGGCATGGCTGTCCGGCCAATTGATGACCCTGTGAGCAATTCCGGATTTATTTGCCGGTGAAATAATGGGCCTGGACACTAACTCGATGCTGTGTGTGCTACACAAGATAGGATCACTGTTCATTGAAGTAGGAATTAGTCAGTATGGAAGTTCGAAGAGCAATTACACGGTGCCATTTTCAGAAAGCACAGGAGCAAGGAAGAACGAGGACTAGAGAGCAAGAAAGACACATGAGCCAGATATCTGGGTTCTTGCCTGTCGTAATATTCTTAAAGATCTAAATAAACGATGAGTGGTGCATGTTATCTCTTGACGTAGAGAGTGATGTCTTTCGGGTATATATTTCAATGGACCAAGCGGCAGTAGGCAAGACATACCGTCACATTTGATTCTGGGATACTTCTATATCTCCAGCAGCGAGCTGTAAGCTCCCGTGCACACCCCTTATTCTCACCCACCTACATACCCTACCGTGGTGACTAGAGGCCATCCTGGTCCAAAGAACTGGTCGCAGCATGTGTATCCAATACCAAGCAGAACTTAGTATCCATCCGCCCGCAGGTGACCCCGCAGAACCCTAATCGGAATGGAAGTCGCCCCGCCGCAACAACAAATTTCTCCGCCCGCCAGCTTCATTCATCAGCCTCAACTTCGCTCCCATTGCACCGATAGCCCAACCGTGCCATAACAGAGAAATTCGAATCAAAATGTCGAAAAAACTCCAAGCCACCCTCACAACAAGCCTGACGCTCGTGGAGCAATTACAGGGAGTCATCTCCTCTCCTATCGGAGATGCAACGTCCGTCGAGCTCTCCGGAAAAGACGCCTTACCCCTCCTATCGGCCTCGGCCACGACTCTGAAGTCGCAAGCTACCAAGCTCTCGCTTGTTGCGATCAATGCCCCCTTTACCCCATCGGCCGTGGCAACCGTTCTCTCCGCCGTGAATGAATCTGTGCTTCCATCCCTCGTCACGGCAGCGCTGCTCGTTACCCCAGCCGACCACACCAAAGCGTTCCAGACTGAAGTGCGGGTTCTCGTCCAGACGACCCTGAAAGAAACTGCAGCCCTCCTCCAAGAGGTCCAGGATATCGCCAAGAAGGACGAAGCTCAAAAGAAAGAGGGCGACCTGTCTCAGTCGGAGAAGGATGCTGTCACGATAGCGGCAGGGCGCTTGTGGGAGTCTTGCGACGTCTTGATCGATATCGCGGCCAAGGGAGTGGTCGGGTTCGTGATCCAACGGGTGGAGGAATGGAGGGATCTCGTGCGGGACGCGGTCCAGGAAATCGAGGAGTGGGACCCTGATGAGGAAGGCGATGAGTTCTTCGACGAACTTTTGAGCGATGACGGAAAGGCCGAGGATGATTCAGAGGAGGATGAAGATGAAGATACCGCTGCTCTCCATGCGCAGAAGAAGTCGACTCTCCGGGTTCTCAAACCCGTCGCCCAGATATACCCCGCTATTGTCGCGAACCGATTAAAGAAGACTTCCAACGCTTCGGCATCCGTCAGCAAACTTGAATCCCTGATGAAAGAACTGCAGCAGATTCCCGGACATGTCGATGAGATAGCGGGGACGTTGTACGAAGCAAACCTAGAGGGATCGGTCCAGTATCTCCGCAAGACGAAGGACTCTGCCGTCAAGGCCGTCAACCTAGTCACTCTGCCCTTGGATGTGACGGGCTCGGCCGACACTCAACAAGACAAGGAGGACAAGTTCACAGCCTGGGCCAGGACCTGGCTGAAAGTGATGGAAGAAGTTAGCAAGCCTGTTAGTGACTAGTATTCTTAGGTACTAAATATGATTCAAACACCGGCTCTTTGATTAAGGACGGGAAAAGAGTCAAAGAGGTCTGGTATCTCCCCGGTTTTGTGTAGCCGGGTCGAGGGATTCCAGATACCAAAGAATTATACGTATGTGCGTTTGGGATGAAATAATATACATAGTTTAATAATCCGAAACCGAGTCTTTCCCCAAGCACATATTCTGGGCCATACCCGGGTGTCTCCCATGTCACCACGCCGCAAGTTATCACTCATCAGAATCGTCGCCTGATTCCCAACTGCGGAGTTCTTCAGCAGGGATGCGGTCTTTCAGCCATTCCAGAATCGCATCGGTCCCCTTTGCGACAATTTGCCAGCGGGGAACCCGAAAGCTGTTTCCTGCTACTTCGAATCGTCTCAGGGGTGCGCCGTTGCCCCAGTTCTTGCTGGAGCCCTCTCCCCTTAACAGGCCAAGCTTCGGCGGAAGAACATCAATATCATTGTTCCCTACATCGAGAACCTGGAGGCCTTGTACGGAATCAAAGTCCAGACTGCTGATTCGGTTATCGGCGGCCAAGAATGTTGTCAGGCTCGGGTAACTTCGCCGCACAGCAGGGAGAGGGCCTGAGAGGCGGTTATATGAGACATCTAGGAAAGTAAGAGCGGGGGCCGTAAGGTTGCTTAGTAGCGGCTCAAGTGTACTCAAGCCAGCAGCATTGAGGTTGAGATTTTGGAGGTTGGGAAGAGTAAGAGGTGCCGAAAAGAGAGCCGCGCTTTCGAGCGGGTTATTCGAAAGATCCAGATCGACGAGGTTGGGTGCGAGCATGCTGAGGGCAGGGACAGGGAAGCAGCGTAGCTGGTTGTGTTGCAGTTGAAGGCATCTGATGTCGTGAAAGCTGATACGTTCCAACTGCTCTACCTCCAGCTCCTGTAGCTCGGTGTAGGACCTGTCAACGACACCGCCCGGCTTGATTTGCCAAGAGGCTGTCTGAGCCGGGGTTTCTGGCGCCAATGTAAACTGGGTTGCAACCGAGCCTTCATCGTCGGTATCTTGCGGTTCAGGCTCGCACCGGTTACGCAAGTCGCGCTTCAGATCCTCTGTGGTCATACTCAAGAACCTGCGTTCCCGAAGAGGATTGTTGGCTATGCGGAACGTGAAGAGGCTCTCCATCAAACCGATCTTCGCATCTAGCCTCGAGATATCGTTCCCGGTGAAGTCAACATTTCTAACGCTTTTCAGACCAGTGAACCCCTGGGGGAGATCTGATATACTGTTGTCCTCGGCCGACAAGGTCAAAAGGGCCTGCCATGAGGAAACATCGGGTAGAGCCTGGATGCGGTTTGTATTGATTGCTAGAGTCTGTAGGTTGGGAAGCTCCAGGCTTTCGTGATCCGAAAGTCTCACCAACGCATTGCTGGCTACATCCAAGATATGCAGTGTCTCGAACTTACGCACAGAAGCTGGCAAAAGAGTGTCTTTTAATTTATTTCTCGGGGCATGGAGCTCCTTTAGCGGGAGCAAGCGCAGTGCTTCGAAAGGCAGCGAGCTCAGCGCATTATTGCCAACGTTCAACACTCGAAGTGAGGCCAATTCGCCAACCTCCTGTGGGAGGTCTGTGAGGGAATTCTCGTGCAAGTCCAAGACTTCCAGGTTGCTGAGACGTCCGATCTCCGGGGTAAGCACCCCTTGCAACCTGTTCCTGGCGAGCTTAAGGTCTCTGAGAGACGTCATGTCCATGACAATTCGGATGTCATCCATGGTGAGATTGTTATTCGATAGGTTCAGGGTGTGCAGCCGCTGCAGCCTTCTGAAGCCCATTGGCAGAGATTGCAGTATATTCCCATGAAGGTCCAGAAGCTCAAGACCGCCAAGTTGATTTCCCTTTTCATCAATGTCTGGGTCGAGCTCCTGGGCATCAATATCGGGGAAGGCCTCGTCGGGGAGTTCCGTGAATTCGTTATCCGCAGCGACAAATCTAACAAGGTCCACACTCTCGTACCACTCAGTAGTAGAATTGGGATCGAAGTCGTACATCGTCATAACTTCTTTTGGAAGTTCTTTTAGCGACATGGCTGCGATGTTGAGGTGACCAGAAGTTCGGCCCGCTTCAATGCGCTTCCGCAGAAGCCCATGGTTTGAGTCCTTGGGTCTCTGGTTGAACGGATCCTGCGTATCAAAGCTACTCCCCGGATCAAAAGTCGGCGCTTTTGAGATTTTTTGTGCTTCGGCCTTCCGCGCGGCCTTGGCCTTTGCAATACTTTCCCTTAAAGCGCTAGAAGACCTTGAAACCTTCCTAGTCTCGATTTCAGTCTGCTGTTCTGGGGTCAGGTCGGATGTAGTAGATCTTGCGGATGGGGATCGTGACCCTATCAACGACGGCTTCTGACCCGAAAGCCTCGGTTGCACCTTTCGTGTTTTCTTCACTTCCAGGCGTTGCTGCGGGACATTGGCAATAGATTCGGCGGGCCTTGAATGCGGCCTGCTAGATGCAGGACGAAGATCGGATGCAGATGCCAGGTCGTTGGTTCGGTCGTAGGGGGTTATTCTAGCAGATGGCCTTTTCAACTTCGACGGGCTGTCTGTACTGGGAATGGAACCTTGATCGCCTGCTGCAGTACTCGCAGACAAAGACGGACCAGACCTTGACGGGAGGCGCATGGCAGACGGCGGACGGGAAAGGAAATCGCCTCCGCTAGGTTGACGAGAAGACGACCTCGATGGTGACCGGGAGTAACTAGTCAATGCAGACGGCGGACGAGATGGGGAGCGCATTGGGCTAGTTGCGCCAAAGAAATTGGACTGTCTCCCCTGAGGTCCAGGCGAAGGGGGAATCTGAGAAAGGGTCTCGATCGTTCGTTCGGACAGCGATGGTCGTGTGCGGCCCCGAGTTTCCACATCCTCGGCGTCCAGATGAAGGGATTTGTTATTCGACGCCCCTTCAGCTTCCCATCCCCCCGCGTCGCTTGTCCTGGACTGCGAGACATCTCTTGGCGGTCGCTGGCTGACCACGGGCTTTTTCGGCACGGTGTACTTCGGTAATGGCTTCTTGAACACGGGTTCCTGGGAGGGTCTGCGCAACCGGCTGGCGTTGAGACCTGGGTCGGTTTGCAGCTTCTCGCGAGATGGGGACGGACGGATCGCTTTATTGGCAGCAGATGTCGGTAGAGGTAATCTGGAGGCCAACCGAGGGATACCGCTCGGTCGGCCGGGCGTTCTTTGTGGGTTATCCATGTTTCGATCGGTTGCAAATGGAGATTGTCCTTGCGTGAATTGGTGGTGCGGATTTTGAGAGATTGAATGGTGGCACGTTCATAGGTAGAAGGCCATGATAGTCCGACTTCAGGAGAGGGATGCAGAACCAACCAAGCCAGGATGTTAAGATATGGGAGCACGATGGGGCGGGTCTTGTCGGGGTTCGATTTCCAGGGAAGACCTGGCGGCGCCGTGCTGTCGGGATTGATTGTTTACAGCTTCGCACGAGGGGGAGATGGAATCCCAGCGCCGCACCGCACCGCATGGACCGCTGCCTGAGGCTGCAGGGCTCCCTGGCTCTTTGATCCGCCCCCCACATCGGCGAGATCGTCCCGATGGAACTGGAGGAGACCAGGAGGGGTTCATTCCTGAAGGACCCATTACCAAGTGCTAATTCACTCACTGATCTATACTCCGTACGTCTTGACAGTTCCACTAGGGATGGGAAAGTGCAATGCTCTTGAATGTGACCTGTCGTTGACCCGATCATCCCATGTGGACGGGTTTCCATAGTGGGACACTGTTCCCCTGTATCCGGTTCGGTAAATAAACCGGGCTGTCACCACTACTACTAATACATAGTAGTAGTATGCAGTCACCTAAAGTGGGTGGTGGCCCTTATCGTCTTCATCAGTGGATCACCCCCAGATCACATGGCGGAAATCAATTACAGGGTACGGTATACAAGGTGCGGGAGCACCGCCACATATTAACTTCAAGACAGAGACAGACCTTGTGTGGGATACATATTCTGTTCTCCATGAAACTGAATGTGAAACCATCAATGGCGTTGAAAAATAGTCTGGCAGATATGTACCCCGTAGTCTACCTAAAAAGATTCTCGAGATATATACACGCTCTGTACATGCTAGTGGCACAATTTGCTGTGCCACCTTTCGAGTTAACGTCCATCCCAACAGAGCATATTTCTCCCTCTCCACCACTGTATTGCTGATTCCCCTTGGATCTCAATGATTCAATCAGACATACCGGGAGTCTGATATCAACTGTCACCCCATCTTGGGGTAAGAGTCTGAACAATTAATGTGGAACGTTTATTGTAGAATCACCATCCATTGTGATCGCTGCGAGACACAGAAAAGATCGGAATGAAGATTAGAGAGCAATGTACCGTGGCCATATCTACACCCAAAGATCTATCCTGTACGGAGTAGTAGGAGACAGTAGGAGACAGTTGCGGCCGTTGCCCGAGTGACCAAGCCTCTGGCCCATGGGGTTTGGCCTGTGTTTACCTTTGGTGAGCGCCCGCGGATCGTCGGGCTAGCTGGATCGGGGATGGTCGGGGGCTAGCGCGCGGCTGGGCTCACGTGGGTGCGGGTGGTTGGTCGTGGTTGGTCGAGGCTGAGCATCGCAAGCGACCTCCCAGCCTCCCCCGATGTGCGCAACGCCCGCAACAAACATCCTTAAGGCATCAAACCGTCCCTCCGCCCGCGCTCCTTGCTTCCTTCGTCTCATCTCAACTGTCCCGTTCATCTGCAATACCCCTCCTCGACGCTCCTGGCATCATTCCTGTCATCTGTCAAGCTCCCTTCCGGCTCGGTCTTGCGTCTTCCGCTCTGGGCTCTTTGCTACCGCCTCCTTATCGCCTACTACTAGATACTAAGTACCTTGCCTTCGGTCCGACGTGCCTCAAACGGGCCTATCAGTGATAAGCGCACCGACCCAGCTGTCCGTCGCAGCTCGATTCAAGTGACATCCCATCTGGAGCAGCCTAATCGATTTCACCGTACGGAGTAGACTTGCTCCCACTCAGATCTCCTGCCCCTTACCGTTTCATTCCTCACAGATTCTACGGCAACCAGGCCCACGAACCCGCCTCGTCCCGTCAGGTTCACTGAAGTAGCCGGTCCGATTGATCGATCGGGTTTAGGATCAGGTATGCGCCTGACCGCCCCGCGACAACCGTCGTGTCCAACACATTGATGCAGCCATCACTGACAGGTTCCCAGTGCAAATATTTCTGCCTACGGGTATAATCTATCTTAATCTACCTATTCCTACGCCGTCTGTCATGCCGCAAGATCCTGATTCTCAACTCTCGCAAGGCTCCCTTGCCCCTCCCGCAGAGATCACCGGCCCCGCAACCCCCATGCTGCGTGCAAGCCTGTCGGCATCACCAGACTTGAGTCTAGGAGCTGGAAGCCAAGCGTCGCATTCCGATCAGAGTAGATCTGTATTATCTCCATCGCTACCTTCATCTGACATGACGCCACCGCCATCCTCGCAAATTCCCGGGGCCCCTCGCCGACGTTCAAGGTCCAGCTCAAGCTCGTTGCTAGCTTCTCCCCCCGATATTGAAAAGACCCTCTGCGTTGCATATGGCGCTTCGGAAAATCTTCCGACGGCTGATGATATTGATGCCGCTGAAGAGTCAAAGCTTCGGGTGATCGCGAAAGAACTATTAGGCGTCGCTCAAGAGGCCCGCATGTCAGCTCTTCATTTCAAGTTACAGAACAGTCTGCTGTCGTTCACAAGCAATGAAGCTATCAAGCGTGCCGAGGTCGAGCATCAACTAGCTAGGAGAGAAGTCGAGATTATCCAGAGCTCAGAGTATCGCAGTCGTCATTGCCAGCCGGAGGTCAAACATGCGCAGCATGTATCCAACGTGGAGTTGGAGCTTGCTCTCAAGCGCAATAAGGAACTTGAAAGAGTGAATGCGACCCTCGATCGACGGCTGCGTCGGGCCAAGAAGCTAATCGAGCAGGAGAGGGAGAGGTCCGACCTTCTAAAAGAGGAGAATAACTTGCTGAAGGGCCGTATCAGGGACAATCGAAAACATTTCTCCCAAATGATCGAACATGGTCCGATGTCACCCAGCCCCCAGGCAGAAGTTCAGGCTTCTCATCGGAGAGCCTTGCCTCAATTTGTGGACCATAATGGCCATCAGATGAACGGGAGCGATAGCCACAATCCGTTCGCAGCGCTCCTTGCTGCCGACCGTGTCCTCAACCATGAATCACCCAGTGTCACATCCACGCCCCACAGACACCGTACCTACAAGCAGCATAATGATAGTCACGTGCGTGGAAGCCATTCGCTTTCCACCCTACCTCTAACACCATCCCGTGCTCGAGTGGCCCATGAAGGGGACCATTATAACACACCTGGAAGGAATTCTCATGACAGCCACCGTGACCGGGACAGCACGATATCGGCATCTGACATCGAGGAAGCTGAGACCGAAGAAGACATCCCTGCGTCCGAGGCGGGAGCTCTTGCCAGCAGCATGCTTCGTTCCCACGCTTTTAGCAATCGCCGGGAAAGCCGAGGCCCAGCGAGTGCACCCAAGTCAAGTACTCTGTTGCAGACCAAATTATTCGGACAAGTGAGAAAGGCTGGTGTTGAGCGACCCCTGAATGGTCTTAAACGCAAGGCGAGTTTTGATGGTGCGACTCCGAAGAAAGCGAAAGCGGAGGAGAGGGTGGGTCTCGGCATTGACACATGGAATAATTAAGCATGACCCGTGCACAACCATGGAGCGTGTATCACGTATACCCTCTAGCTATCTATGATGTCCTGTCGTCAAAGAGCTTGCTTTTACCGGCTCGACATGCGATTTCCTGTCCGATGCTGCTTGGATATGTTTTCCATTTCTTACCAACCCTTTCCCTCTCTTGGGATCTGTGACGAATAACGACATGTAAAAACCGTTGGGTGCGCCGGTGTTTTCGGAAGGATATTAGGTATTGGCAATTGCTTTAGGGAAATTTGGTATCAAGGATTATTTTGGCTATTATTACTTTTACATTGATTGCTCCCAAACCGTTCCTGCCCGGAACTTCGGACAAGGTGTGGCTCTGCATAAAAGGCCTATTGGTTGGCATAATGCATCTTTGCATTGCACTCACGGACGTTGTACTATGTAGTTCGTCAAGTGGCATATTGTCCACGATGGATGCTTGTCCAGAGCGGGCCTTACTAAGCGCGCGTCCATGTAACGGAAGTGTAAGGTAACAAACATACTGGGTAATACTGACTAGTAACCCGGACAGTACCGTACTGCCGCATGTCGAGGAGAATACAAGCACGGCTTCAGTCGCAACACCCAAAGCAATATCACCAGCCAGTAAGGTCACTGTGAAGCCGACCAGAAGAAATTTGGGGGATTCTCGGGTTGTAGTTAACCAGCAGGCCATTCTGGCCCGGGCTGGATCAAATTCCAGGTCCGCCAGAGATGTTGGAGCGCGACCAAAGTCTGGGGGTGGCCTTCCGAAACGGGTAAGCAGGGTAGGGCTCGCTAAGCGAGGCGATGCGGCTCTGCGCGGGTGGCCACACCAAAAAAAGTTCCACCTAATACTGAGACGAGGAGTTTTGAGATACGACCAGCAACCACCCACGACGACGACGACAATCTCCCGGCCTTGATCCCCATCCGTCACAATGGTGCGTTATCTCTTCAGTACAGCGTTGATATCATCGCGAGATGCTCAATTCGATGATGAGACGCTGCTTTTCCGCAAATCGACCCAAATGCTGACCGTGGACCTCTTGGTGGATATAGGCGATCAAGCACAACAACCAGATTCTCAACCAGCGTGAGTGAACCTGCACGAACGAGACGGGGGTGGCATTTTTGGGATAGATGCAAGCGACCGGCAGAATCGATGGGCTGACGGGGATTTATTTCAGACTTCCACAAGGACTGGCAGCGTCGTGTCCGCGTGCACTTCGACCAGGTACGCTCTCGAAGCCCTCTACCAAACCGATTCCTACAACGAACGACTCGCCTTCGGGACAGAACCGGGATGGAAAATATTTTTCTGGATGATGGACTGACAACTGTTTTTGCAATAATAGCCTGGCCGCAAGCACCGCCGTCGTGAGGCCCGTCTCGCTAAGGCCGCCGCTGTTGCTCCTCGTCCGGTTGACCAGCTGCGCCCCGTTGTGCGCTGCCCTACCGTCAAGTACAACCGCCGTGTCCGTGCTGGCCGTGGTTTCACCCTTGCTGAGCTGAAGGTAAATCCGTCCCTGTGGATCAAGATCACCAAGAGGGTGACTTGGATCGGAAATGGCCCTGGCGACTGGGCAGACCTCGAAGATGGATGGAGGCTTACACGATCTTTTCCCGCACTTTTAGGAAGCTGGTATCCCCAAGAAGCTCGCTCGCACCGTCGGTATCGCCGTTGACCACCGCCGTGTCAACTACTCCAAGGAGTCGCTCGTCGCCAATGTTGCTCGCCTCCAGGACTACAAGGCTCGCCTGATCCTCTTCCCCCGCAAGAGCGGTCAGTTCAAGAAGCTTGACTCTTCCGCCGAGGAGGTCAACGCTGCCAAGGCCGCCTTCGCTGAGGGCAAGTCTGAGGGCTTCGTCACCCGTGTCGGTGCCACCCTCCCCATCAAGAACGCCGCCGCCGAGGAGGCTATCACCGAGGTCAAGCGTGACGACCTCCCCAAGGGTGAGGAGGCTGCTTACCGCCGCCTTCGTGACGCTCGCAGCGAGGCCCGCTACAAGGGTATCCGCGAGAAGCGTGCTAAGGCCAAGGCTGAGGAGGAGACTGCCGCCAAGAAATAAATTTGATTCACAGCTAATGATGATCGGGTCAATTTTCAAGTCGGGGATTAGTACACTGTGGCATGGCGTCGCTCCTCTATTTCCGTTTTCACCTTTGTCCTTAACATAAAAAGCTCCGAACCCCTCGAAATGCAAATGTCCCAAATTTCATGTCCCACCCCCTGCTAGGTCCCCCTGCGCGAATTAAGTGAACCGTTCGTCTTTGTGTTCCTTGGGCGATATGTCACCCGTGGTGGAGAATGCAGGGTCCGAGGCCTTGGATTCCCTTCCCAGGCAGCACTTCCAAACCCCCTACATGAACTGGTAGACTTGAAGCACGGAGAGACGCTGAGTGAGCTAGTGTACAAATGAGATGATTTACGGAGCACCTTCTCTGCATAGCCTTGCACACCATCCTATACGTAGTACTTCCTCTCCATCCATGTCGATGGAAGCATGTATATCCAGAGAGCAACCAATGGCGGCATAGGTATATCGCCTGAGGCACATGTGCGCTACTGCTGCGTCTCTCTGTCGAGGGAAACATTTACTGTGATGTCGACCCTCCAGACTTCAGTATCCATATCCAAAACAAACACTGCCCGACAAGGCAAGACATACTAAGGGGACATAAAGTACATGAAGAACAAGCAGAAACGTGAAGGGGAAAAAGACCGCTGAACCAACCGCCGACGCCGACGTCGACACCCCTGTTGCTTCCATGCATCCAATCGCGGAAACGCCGTTGAAATCCATGAATCCAAATAACCCATCGCTTGAGCAGAATATCCGAGTAGAGATCATTTCGCAGCATCAATGCTGAACAAAGCACCCAAAACGCACTCGGTAGCTCTTAGAATTGCGCCAGCATGGACGCCACTGCTGCTCTCCATTTGGTTGTTTTCGTTCTCATTTAGCATGGATTGAAACAGCCGCCTGGATTCTTGATCCACCTTGCGCCTGGAGCCGCCATCTGACTCAGTCAACACTGATACATTGATCCCCGCTACCAGCTGCGGTTCACTTGTCCACTCGTCCATGACTAATTGGCATGATAGGAGTACTTGCAGGGAACCCCTTGCGGATTCAAAAAGCATAGTCGTCCGCTCGATGTGCGGCAGTGATGTCCTCAGTAATTCTGCACTGTCTTCGAGCCTTGGGCTTCTGTCGCCAGCCCTCTTGGTTCTAGCCTCACTGCTCCATTTCGTGTGCCCGGCAATCAGTTCCGCATGTTGTTCCTCTATGCGTGACCATAGCTCAGCACGCGATACCATGGCCTCCCAGTACCGGTTGATGCCCCAACACAGTCCGGTGACATCTAGCCTTAGCAGCGGATTGGCAAGCCGGGTGTCCACCCATCGCCGTAAATCTTCTGGTATCCTTGACTCGGCGTCGTCCGCTTGTGATGATACCGATACCGAGACCAAGGTTTGTGTTTCTGGGTTGACGTCGCAGGTCACCGATGCTTTGTAACGGATGGAAGGGAACGGAGGTGGGGCGGAAAACTTGAGGGAGTGTCTCTCCAGGACACGGTTAGGTGCTGAATCGGGTACAGACACTGAATATGCAGTCAGATTCAATGGCGCAAGGGCGGTTAAATATGCCGTCGTTCGCGCTTGCTCTCCAAGCGCAAATGGATTTACTGGAGTAGCCTCGGGTGGGGGCTTTGACGGCTCCTTGGTGGCAAAGGGGAGTAACGAGGAAATAAGAGAGGATATTGATGCTTCACCCGAGCTCGCTGGGGCTGGTTGGGGAGGGTTGATGGTCGCTAGCAAAGTACTGTTGGCTAGTCAGTAGCAATCCATGGCGCGACAGGAGGGATACTCGCATTAATCCAGTCAGGTCGCGCTCGTGGGTGTCATCTTGGCCCAGATCCTTCGACCACGTCTCCAATTCCGCTATGTCCTTTTCCAACTGCTGTGCCTCGGAGGCGAGTTTGTTCCTTAGCCTTTGCTTCTCCAAAACGGTCTCCGGCAAGGACGTCCGATCCAACACAAGGCCTGCTTCTGTCGATTCTTCCCCTTCGCCATATTCAACCCTTCGTAATTTGGACGGGCTTTGCTCTAGACCGTCTGTGTTTCGTCGCCTCCCCCACTTCCCTTGTTGTGAGTTGGGGCTGCTGCTCAGAAGCCCCTTTGGTCGTCCGGGGGGTCTTTCCAAGCCTAATTGGGTCGGTGTTGGTGGCAGATCCGGCTCATCCAGGATGTCCTGAAAAGAAGGCTGATTCAAATCCACGTCGCCTGTCGCACTGTCCAATTCAGATGCCAGCTGGTTTTCCGGGGTATCGGTAGGCAGGGCTTCCTCTATCGTCTGTTGAGTCGCAGCGGGAGAGCGAAATACTAGATCGGAGGCAGTGATCCTCGTCGAGACGCGCCTTGGGGGTGCGGCAAAGGCTGCCAGTCCGCTGGAGCGTCGACCGGAAAGGGAGGATGCAGGCGATTGTTTGGTTCGCTTGAAGGAGTCCAGAGGGCTGCCGGCCGAAGTCAAGGACGGTCTGAGGGCCTTTCGGTCTCGTAATCCCAGCCCTCTCATTCTAGCTTGGTTCGCTTTCCGCGGACTTCTCGCGGGGGGGCTGCCAGTTGCGCTTCCCAGAACGGCGGGGTGAGATCTTGCTAAGCTGGACCTCGTTGGAGCTTGGTACGACGCCCGCTCGGTGGTGCGCTGCTGGGGGTCATTGCGAAGAGGCGGGGCGCTCATTTGCGACACGTTCGTTGACAGCAATCGCCGTCGGGGTCGCAGAGATGACGGCGCGTGAAGGGACAAGGTAGAGACCGTCTTAGCCGTCCATGCGACACAGCATCCTCCAGCGAGGAAAGAATTCTGGGGGAACCGGAGGGAGTGTGGGTGACAGCCGCCATCCTCACCAACAACAACAACAACATCAACCGTTTGCACTGTTTGCACCACGGATGTTCGGCCGCAGTGAGATATGACATAACCCCCGCGGCTTTTTCCTTTCTCTCCTCCTCCTCTCTCTCATCTTCCTCTCTAGCCTCACCATGGACTTCCCTCGCCGGGTCATCCGCTCGCCCCTCTTTAGACATCATGCCTGCCCGCTCAGTCCTCGCATACCGAATCCATCCTTCTTGACACAACCATATGCCGCTTCCTCATACCCCCGCCAACCCTCGAGCGCGCGCGGATATGCCTCCCTACGAGTAGAAAAGGCGGGGGCGACCAACTCAGATCCCCCTCAAGCGCATCCATTGTCTGGATATTATTACGATATTTTGTCCACCCGCTCACCCTACCGGCGTCATGCGACACCCACCTCCGAGCCCGAATCCTCCCAAGAGTCCCCAGCTTCCGAGGCGCACACCCCGCAGGAAAAGATGGCCATTGTCTTTGGTACGCGGCTGGCAGGCCCTGGCCGCTCTTCACGCTATGATCCCGGCTCAGCACCGGACGCGACATGGAAAACAATCAACGGGGTCGCGATTCCTCCTCGACCGGAGGAACCCGACAATTGCTGCATGAGTGGCTGCGTCCACTGCGTATGGGACGACTTTCGCGACGAGCTGGAGGACTGGGCTTTCAGACTCGAACAGGCGAAAGCGAAGGGTGCGACCAAAAGTGGTGCCACAGACTTGCGTCATACTCCACGGCCTGAAGTCGCTTCGGCCAGTGGGAGCATGGATGACGACGGTGGTGGCAGTGAGACGAATTGGTCGGTACCCAAATCGGGAGACGACTTGTTTGCCGATATCCCCGTGGGGATCCGGGAGTTTATGAAGACGGAAAAGAAGTTAAAGCAAAGACATCAGCAGGAAGGCCATACATGAGGAGAATAACTCTCCTCGGGGCTGTTGCCAGCATTTCCTACCTCGGAGTACGAATACCTTTGTTGCATGATTTATGTCGAATGGATTGGTTGTTGCTGGAGACTTTTGTACATAGTTAGACTATATCATTAGATTTAGAATTGTATATACACTCACTCATCATTGATTGAGCCTTGCTATAGCATGCCCACTAGTCAGGCAGACGGGCTTCTTGACACTCCACACCTATAGCCCACCAGGGACCTCAATCAAAGTTCCCCTGAGACCAACAACCCTGTTGATCAATATCCACCATAACCACCCTAATCCACACCGCGGAATAACGGAATTGCAACCAGTCATCCCATCGTACTATCCCCACTCAGGCAAGCGGTAACGCACATCAGAGCATTCTGCCCCTATCCTCCGCCTCGCTATCGCAAAAAAGTTACAAGATGTCGATCTCGATCGCCCCCCATTACCAGACAAACCACACGTCCGCCCCATCCGCAATGGCCACCACCAAAGCAGAAACGGACATTATCCTCAACAAAGCCAACGTGGCTCTGGCCCGGAGTCAACGACTCGTTGCATCATGGCTGCCCGCCCCGACAGCAGAGGACCACGCCCACGTGAAGTCAGAAGAAGAGTTACAACGGGAAGAAGATGAGATTTTTACCGCGGTCCCAGAGACGTACGTATATCTCTCGCTGCGGTGTGGATGTGTTGCACCCCCCCCTCCCTGGAGACCGGGGGTCTGTGCATGTTGGGATATTGACAAAGCGTTATGCAGACTAGGTGTTGGAGCACCGCTTCCCTCAAAAGCGGTGGATGGTAGCTGGAACCGGACCGAGTTGGATTCGAATGATAAATTGCGGAAACAGCTCCTGGGGAGGAATTATAAGAAGGTCATGGCGGCTAAGGCGGCGAGTTCATCTGCCGGCGCCAGCGCAGGCGCAGGTGGTCGGCAGAATACATCGTCTGGGGCTGCGAGAGGGGCCCAAGAGGAAGAAGATGATGATGACGAGGAAGATGGGCGGACGGCGTTGATAGGGAAGAAGAAGTCTACGGCGTCGAAGAAGCGGAAAGCCGAACCGCAAGTTCAACCGTCATCGGAGACGGTTAATGATCAGGACAGTGAGCCGAAACAAGCCAATGACAGTGGTGACGGCAGTGATGACAAGGCCGATCAGTCGAACAAGCAGACGGGCCCCGCGCTACGGTCCTCGAAGGGGAGGAAAAAGGCCACGAGCTTCCTGGATGAGCTCTTGGCTGAGCGGGCGAAGAAGCGAAAGAAGAGGTGACCTGGTCGTGTCTACTGCCAGGGACAGTGCCCGATCGATGATATAACCAAATGTATAATCTCCAGGATATGAATATACCCATTTAGTTCACATGTGAGTACGTCCAACAAGGCAACCGTGATTAGAGGGAATGGCCGATGTCGCGCCAATTGGATATCACTCTGCATTTGCAATTCTAAATTACTATACCCACGCAATATTGTGCACCTCCACCCCAACCCAGGGTATATAATATAACAACATATAAGGCAGTACAGCCCTAGAACGATGATTTGTGCAAGGGCCCTCCACCAGAAAGTAACAACAGTGTGCGTCGGGAGGAAGCCCGGTATGTCGGACGCGACTTTTGAACCACGCCAAAGACACCTTGGCAGCAATGCCGTCCGAGAAAGAAAGATTAGTACGATCCAAACCAAGCCCAGGAAGCATGGGTTCCAGCGGGTGGAACCCATGGATGTTGTATCAATTGTACAGTAGATGTTCCCACCCAGAAGAAGATAAACACAGAAGGTACAGGTGGGCAATACTCCAAAATATGCAGTACCAGTCCAAAAATGAAGAGTGAGGGTGGGTTTCTCATGGTGATGTGCTTTTCCTTGACCCCTTTCCTATAATGTGCGCCCCCAAGAACAATCAAGTCAGCCGCTCCGAATCCTCTGGGGGCCAAAGATCAGCACCAAGCAATGCTCCTGCAGGAATCCTTGACCAAGGATATGAAACAAGACGAAGAAGATGATTCATTTTCATTCCAACCGCTTCCGTTTTCGATCGTCAGCCATGGCATGTTGATCTTCGTCAGGCCGTTCCGCGGTATCGGCCGGGTTAAGAAGCGAATGAACATTGCTAGCCATGCTGGAACGCCGGGTTGCAGGCAAGGATGATTCGTGCCGAGGGAATCGGGGCCCCAGGGTCCAGCCATTATCAGTTGTGGGGGTTTGGTCAGGGTGCAAAGGCGGAGTAGGGTGTCGAGTCTCCTGCAGACGACGCGGTGCACCCATCTCGTACTGAGCCAACACTTCTCGGACGGACTGTTCACTTGATGTCGGAGTCCGGTGTCGGGATGGGGACCAGGGGTTCGCCGCCTGTCCCGGTGGATGGGCGGAAGGAAATGGTGACACGCCCGGTGGCGGCCAGCCATGCTGTCTGATGTCTGCCGAAGTGTGTCGGCGAGCAAGATTAGGGCCGGGAGGAGAGGAAACGGATGAGAGAGGATGGGGCATATGCTGTTGTGGCGTAATGACCGACGGCACTGGCGGACGACTGTAGTTGGGGGAAGAATTTCCGGTCCCAATTGACCCGTAACGGCGCGGAGAGACGGCCAGATGTGGGGGAACAGGGGGTCGGATCATATTGGTCCTTGATGGGTCCAACATCGATTGGCGGCGACCATCTTCCTGAGGCATCTGGCGCGGCGACAGTGGCGGGCCTGGATCGACGGAAATGCTGGCAACGTAGGGTTGCCGAACGGTCAGATACGGGTCCGGAGGATGCTCCAGGGCCCGAACAGCATCGAGATGCTTCTCCAGTTCTGCCTGCATGCTGGCCACTACTCAACGTTAGGACTCGTACATTGGGGTCGTCACCCAGTGGTGATGCTCACCATCTCGATACAGAAGGCTCTCGCGCTCGGGAATCACGCCTTGGAGAAAGCGTGACATAGAGTGAGTCCACTAGATCATGAGACGAATCAGCGTTGAGCCCTTAGGAGCGCATCGCAAACGGACCCGGGGTCCCTCGACTCACATGGTAACACCGGGTTAAACTCTCGGTCATCGCCTGGCATCTCGCAGTGAGTGCCACGTTGCCCTCTTCGACGCTCCTGAGACGGGCATGCAGGTCGTACATGGAGTGTTCCAGATTCATGAGGCGGGACTCGGTGACGTCGGGAACAGGCTCGGCCGGAGTGCCCGGTTGGGACGCGGCGGCCTTGTGGCCAGGAAACGAGTCGCGATGAATCAACGCATGGCGCGATGCACGGCGCTTGATTTCGCGGAGTCCGACGAGATCCCCGCGCTTGAAATTGCCATTGCCATGTTTAAACTCCCACAGAGCGGAATCTGGAGAACCGGTATGGAAGACGTCGCTCACTGGGACCGATGCATATCAATAACAGTTCAGACAATGCATTTGCTGTCTCATCCAGCATACCTTTATGAAATCCGTACATATTCAGCTGCCTGACAAAGGACGATATGTTGGTGTGTTTGAAGTATTGGCTAGGCGGCTCGTTAGCAGCTAGTCCGCCGATCGCGATGGACTAAGATAGGGGTGGGAGACGAACGCGAGGACTTTGGAGAACTCAGAGGTAGGGGACATGACGAAGCTGTCGTTCGTACTTGACCAGGAGATCAGATGTTGGATACTGGGGTCTTCCAGCATACTGCTCAGGATTGTCAGCCACGGCCTGGGCATGGAAGGAAAAGGGGAGTAAAAATTTGTCGACAGGCTGGGTGGACAGACTTGTACAGCTTATGAATAAATGCCGTCTGGACGACCTTGGGCTGCTGAGCTGCGGCCGCTGCTCCGATCGCGGTGGGAACTGCATGGTGGTTCACAGTGGCGGGTTCAGCAGAGCCATTGGAGGTGGCCGCGGTGTTGTTTGCGCCCGCTCGATCACTGTCGGGACTGCTGTGGATGGGGGGCGCGACGCCCGAGGCAGGAGGAGTGACCTCCATAGGGTCACCGGTCGACTGACTCGAGGCTGGGATGGAGGAGGCAAGGACGGGAATCTTGCGGGTTTTGCCTGGCGCATCGATAGACGTGAGAATAAGAGGGCTTCTTCTGGACGGGGGATCGGCGAGACCGCTCATCTCGCGCGGCGGAACAGGGGGGGGGGGGGGGGGAGGGGGGTAAAAAGGAAAAGAAAAGGAACGGCGGCCGAGGAGGAGCCGCAGGAGAGAGAGAGAGACTCTCTCGGTGCTGAGGGCTGCCTTTTTTACTTTGGAGACAAGCCAACCCAGTAATAATAATTGAGGGGGCAAAAAAGTTGAATTAATTAGGGGAAGAAAACATAAAAAAAACGAAAGAAACTGAAGAATAAAAAAAAGCAAATCAAATAGCAATGCTCGACCTCCCAAGAAGAAACATGGAAGATATGATCGAGACGATCATTGAGTTCCCAGGAAGTACTTGGATGGATGGATGGATGGGATGGGAAGGGAAGGGAAGATTGAAGTGAAAGCAACGGAGCAGAATGGATGGAATGGATGGAATGGATGGATGGATGGATGGATGAATGGAGGAAGAGGAGAGGGATTCTCGAACGAGTTCTGGGCCAGACGGACGGAGGATCTCAAACCTACTGAGAGTCTCCGCTTCCCGAAGGCATCGTGCTGCTCGCCATTGGTTGGCCCAAAGTCTCTTCTTCTCAGTAGATCCAGGACGAGCCAAGTTAGCTGTCCGGTTTCTCGTGCCTTTTGGTGCTCGGGGATCGACGTAGCTGGGAGAGATGGAAGTCTAAAAGGAGCTCGACAGCTCCTCCTCCTCCTCCTCCTCCTCCTCCTTCAGCAGATGCAATCAGATAAGCTTGTCAGACTATCTGCTTCGTGCTTAGTATCTAGATACTATAGTACTGCTAATAGTACAAGATATCTAGTACTCCGTACTCCGTAGAGGTGCTCTAGACCCCTGCAGCCCGGTCGGCACACCTTATCGGCGCCATGACGACCCCGGCGATGTACTTTCCCCTCCTCGCCTGAGACATCGTCGCATCCCCGGCAGTCTACCGTCTACCTGTCATCCGCCATGGACAAGGACGACTCAGCCACCCAGCAAATCATCGCCCTCTTCGCCCATCTGAATACGAACTCAGCGCGACAGGATGCGTATGACCCCCCCGATGATCTCCCCCCTTCCCTCGAATCCCCTAATCTCCTAATCCGAGCTGGACAGATATCACCGGATTTTAGACCAGCTGAGCCCCCACGAATGGCGCGATGTGCGAGTACGCATCAACCAACGTGCCTTTCAGAAAGATATCCTGGGCCAATCACCCCCAGAGGTCGCGGTCCAAATCGCTCAGTATCTCGACCTCTCCGAGCTCCACGTCCTTCAGAGAGTACGTACTAGCTAGTCCCCCCCATCCTTTGACTCCCACCTGCCAGCCATGACCAGACTGAGTCCAGTCAACCCCATCAGGTCTCCAGAAAGTGGCATTTGCTACTGTCGTCGGAGCTAATCCGAGGAGCTATATACCACCATTACATCGGATGCGGCCCACATGTCACGGAGGACCAGTTCACTCGATATGCTAAACAGAGGCTTCGTTTGGAGCGTGGCCTGCCCCTCTCCAAGCTCCGGGATCCGAATCACTCCTTGCCATTTGGCTCGAGTCTTGACTGCCATGATTACGCCAATGGGAGACATGCTTGGCTGGAGGGCAACACGCGCATCATCGTCCACAATCTTTGCAACCACACGACGCAGGGTTTCTGCACTGAGAATCGAGATTCCTTCAGGGACCTGCGGCTCTCCGAATCCATGGTCGCAGCGATCAGCGTGCGAGGGTAAGTAGTCCATATCGTAGCAGCCGGAAGGAACCAGACTTGCATCTACCCTCATCGGTCTGTGTCCAGATAGCTCATCTGAGTCCAGGTACTGTCATACCTGGAACCTTGAAACGGAAGAACATGCATCGTTCCGTATCCCGGCTCTTCATTTTCGGGCCTTTGTTGTTCGTGGTCTGCAGGTTGCCCTGGGCTTTGCCAACCCCATGGCCGTTGGCGACGAATCCATCATATACTGGAACATGAGCTCTGGAGTGGCACGTAGCATTCAAGTTGAGCCCAACCTGGCATTGGTTGGCCTGCACTCGACTACCAACAGCTTGACTACTCTCCATCTTCAAAGAGAGAATCACCTAGACAGCGAGGGTGGTCCGACCAGGTTTGGTCGCTGTGACTGCCTACATGTCGTAAAATACACAGTTGACGACCATGGACGCATCACCAGGGTGCCCTCGGAAACACCGCAACTACCGTTCCCACTAGGTATGGATTGGAACATCGAGATTCTGCACGATATATCCAATGACACCGGTGGTCGTTTAGCGGCATTTTCCTGCCAGCGAACCCCATCCACTGTGGCATCGATCACCCCTCGCCACATCCTGGTAGCTGCCCACGACCCGCAGACCGACAGCATGTACATACATGAGTTGCGCCCCGAAGATTCACCGTACCTGCCTTTGTGCATAACCGCGGTAGATCGCAACCTTCTGTACTACGTGAAGAATGATAGAGGTAAACCCACCATTTGGATCTCCGACCCAGCGTCCCGGAACCCCCTTCGCCCGGCCAAAGCCGTGGATCCCGAGTTGCCGAGAGAAGCCACAAGTAGGGTGTATTCCTATGCCAGCCGCTTTGTTCTCCGCGGTGACCGGGACTTCGTCTTGATGGTCGACGAAACCGACGTGAAGGTGTGGCGGTTTGGGGACATGCGGCTTGAAGGGGAGATCGGGTGCGAATAACACCAAGGGAAAAAGGAAAATACATTTGACACAAGGAAACGAACCTAGAAATGGACGATATACAGGACCATCAATGCTCTCTATAAGAATCCCCCTCAATACTCTTGCCTGGGTCCGTCTCATTTCACTATTATAGCAACTCGTTGAGGCAACCCTATGACCGATCAGATTCTAGGCAGCAGGAGCGCGTTAGCATCGTGAGCAAGCCCAAGGTCACCATCCATCGGCCTATTGCTCCGCATCTCGCCGCATCATCCAACATGGATCTTCTTGACCTCCGGTCATGGGAAGGGGAAAACAAAAGGGAAGTAAAAGGAAAAAAAAAAAGAGTACAAGAGACAGTGGAGCAGCAGACAAGGTGACACATCTATACACCCAACTCGGAGATTAGATACCAAGAGTGAACTCAACACCCACGTCGATCTCACGGGCCATCTTAACGACCTTCGAGAACTGGACAGACTTCTCAGCAGCACTCTGGAGATCCTCGATGGAGAAGATCTTGAGGCCAGACTCGTTGATCTACACAAAAAGCATGTCAGTGGAAAATGCGGTCTTCTTGCGACACTTGTTAGAATATGAAAGGTGAACTTACCAGCTTGTGAGCCTGCTCCATGTTGGTACCCTGCAGACGAGCCACGATGGGAGTGCGCAGACCCATTTCCTGCACAACGTTGATCAAACCCTGGGCGATAGCATCGCAGCGGACGATACCACCGAAGATGTTGACGAAGATGGCAGACACCTTGGGGTCACTCGTGATAAGCTCGAAGGCAGACTTGATGGCGGCAGGGGTGGCACCACCGCCGACATCGAGGAAGTTAGCGGGCGCACCGCCGTTGAGCTTGATGATGTCCATGGTGGCCATGGCAAGACCGGCACCGTTGACTATAATTTCCGTTAGCATGAACCATGACAGGCAGTTTGTAATAGTCCATACCCAAACATCCGATGTCGCCATCGAGCTTGATGAAGTTCAGTCCGTGCCTATGCCGTGAATTAGAATACTGAGTCTTTCTATCTCTTGTAATCCAGGGGGCGGGACTCTTACTCGGCAGCCTTGACCTCATCGGCATCTTCCTGGGTAGTGTCTCTCCACGAGAACACCTCCTTCTGCCTGAAGTCGGCGTTGTCATCGAAGGCCAGCTTGGCGTCCATGGCCATGACCTTGTGGTCAGAAGTCTCAGAGAGGGGGTTGATCTCGATCTGAGTGGCATCCCTCTCCATGAAGACCTTGTAGAGCTTCTGGATAGTATCCCGGGCCTCGTCGATGCACTGCTCGGAGAAGCCGAGCTCGGTAGCGATCTTGGTAGCAATCGCATCGGTGACACCGACGTTAATGTCGATGGGAGTGGTGATGATGGCATCGGGGCTCTCCTTGGCAACGGCCTCAATGTCCATACCACCTTGCGACGAGGCGACAATGACGGGGCTCTGGGAGGCGCGGTCCATGAGGACAGCAAGGTAGAACTCGCGGCGAGCAAACTTGCGCTCACAGATGTAGACGGCATTGCAAAGACGACCGCCAGCGCCAGTTTGCTTGGTAATGAGCTTCTGACCGATCATCTGGCCGGCGAACATCTTGGCCTCGGTAGGCCTAAAATTTTATACTTCTCAGCACGAGGAACTGCTCGGAACAACGCGGGCGACACTCACGAGTAGATAACGCGCACACCACCCTTGAGACCATTGTCGAAAGATCCCTTACCACGGCCACCAGCGAGGACTTGAGCCTTGATGACCATGTCGTCATTACCTGGGCGTCCGTGTCTTAGTGTTTGTTGCGACTTGGGTTGCATAGCGGATTGAAACATACCGAGGGACTTGGCAACGGCCTCAGCTTCCTCGGCCGAGCGAGCGACCTCACCCTTGGGCATTCCCACGCCATACTGCAGGCTACTATCAGCGAACTATGCGATTTTACGACAGGACCATGAATGCCCGACGTACCGATTTGAGCAGGTTCGCAGACAGGTATTCGTGAATGGACAGGTTTCTCTGTTGCTGGGCCAAGCGGGACTGGACGGAAGATTCCTGTCATCGAACATGATGTTAGCACGGTGAATCAACATTTCCGCATGAGAAGAAGGACAACGCAGCCCAGGGAATCTTACCGTCGCAGCCCTCAAAGCTGCCGTAACCGGTCTGCTGCGGGCAAGCTTGAACATGTTGAAGAATGTATTTAGAAAAAAGGAGAGGAGAGGGATCAAAAGGGTCTTGTCAGGGGTCGAGGAGAGACAAGAGCAGAAATATCCTCCAACGTGAGGTCTTGCGGGAGAGGAAGGGAAATATTTGGGTGTTGATGGGAGAACAGCTTTCTTTTTCGCGGCTGCGCTTCTCGGGATGATATTGCCTTGGGAGATCGGGCGGTAGCATCGGGAGTCACCTGACGGGCCAACCAGCGTGCGTCTCGCGGGGATGATTAAGCAGCGCGGGTTCCCGACGCGAATATCACGGAACACAAGTTGCTGTGTAGATACCTACTAGTAGTAGCGTCTACCCAACCAAGTCCCGTGAACACCCCACGTCATGTGTTTACCATTATGCGTGGTTCTGGGATTCCCAAATCAGCGAGATCTTCCTATGGGATCTACGAAGTATTGGCCTTTTCCTCAAGTTCTGACTTCGGGCACAATGCTTGATTGCACCTCGCCGACCTGAACCCTGCATCCGCCGGCTTTCTAATACGACCGGGATACGGCAGATAATTTAGACGGGAATACGGAGTAGCTATGAAACTGACCCCGGCAGAGTACATAACATTCCAACTAACAATCATACCATGACACTCTCAAACGACAGATAGGAAGAATAAACAAACAATAGACCGGTCGAGCAAATCCTATTTAGCGGTTTCACTACTGCCTGCCCGTCTCTATCTACCCCGTCCGTCTCAGCTTGTGGAGCTTAAACATCCTTGTCACAAGACTTTCAGCCAGGCCATTCCAAGCCCATCCTCCCATAAATAGCCAGATCAACCAGCTCTTATTACCTTCCCAGATCCAGCTCTTCCGACCTTGCGCCCAAGGCCAAACCCAGCGCCACGGTGCAGATCCATACAGGACCTGTGTGACTACGCTGCGCGCGTATGCGGCATTTGGCATGGCCCCGTCCTGGCTATGTGTCACACGCCGGTTATATTCGTCCTCAATCGGAGCATAGATTGAGTTTGGTGCCAGAGTTCGCTGGATACGGGCGATGCGAGATTGCACACCCCCGGTCACGACAGTCGTGACATTCACACTAGGTGTCTTCATATCAGTCAACTACTCTGGGGTTGAGAAGTGCAGTAGCATACCCAAAAGGAGCCAGCTCGACACGTAAGGAATCGCTGAATGAGTGTAATGCGGCTTTCGAGGCGTTGTACACGGAACCGAAGACGTAGGGGATAACCTAGATCGGCGTTAGCAAATGCTATATTTCCACCAAGATTCCTATCAAGCTCACTGACCCCAGCGACAGATCCAATCTGTACAATAGTTCCCTTAGCCTCTATAAGTAACGGCAAAAACGTCTTGCAGATAGATATAACGGCAAACAAGTTCGTTTCGAAAGTTGCACGAACTTCGGAGAGTTCAGCTTCCATAGCCGGAACAGTATAATCTAGCACGAGTAAGGAGAGGTTCTTTGCATCATCTATCATAAAGACTGTCACTCTGTGCAGACGTACTTCTGCCGCTAGCAACCCTGTCAATACATAATGTCTTGCTGAATAAATGAGATGACTTACGCATTGTTGACTAGATAATCCAGCCCCTTCTCCCCGAGCCTTGTTTTCACTTCCACAAAGCATTGTCGGACGCTCTCTTCATCGTCCACAGTAAGACTCAACGTCTCAACGCCGATGGACGCCAAATCCTCTATCGTCTTTGCTTCTCGGGCCGTAGCGAACACGCGAAGACCATTTCGATGAAACTCACGGGCTAGAGAGTTTCCTATACCACCCGGAGAGCATCTGCATAGATAGACAGGTAGCACAATATTGCGCAGCTTCAAGAGGCGCTCGCATTTCCAGGGGATGTTCTTGTGAAAACGTACCCTGTGATCAGCACAGACTTCCGTTTGTCTTTGGCTACGGCCATTGCAAAGTGGTGCTGATGAGGAATCAGCGCAGGGAGCAGTATCTCAAATTAACAAACAATGGCGTTGATGGGAAGCGCCCCCGAACCCTCCGAGATTTCCAGCCATCTATGTATCCCCGGAGCCGATCACACTAGTTCATATGCAGAACCTCGGTATGTATCTAGGTGCCACGGCCCACACGGAAGACACACGGCTCCGGATGTACACATGCTGCTGTGAACCCATTATCTGCCGGCTATTGGTTATTGTCTGTCCATTACGGAGTACATGTAGTAGTTCTAGCCGGCCTGATAATATAGATCCAAAACTGTAAGTGGCCGGTGGCATACTTGGGCTGATTGCAGTGACACACTATCGATACAACTCAGCTACTCCGTACTTTGATGGGAGGTTGGGCTCTCTTGCCTACTACAGCCTCTACGAGTGTGCCTTTGTGTAGTATTTGGCATGCAATCTATTGTTATCTGCGCGGGCGGGAAAACAGCAGGAAGGACCAGGACTAGGAATCTGCTGCAATGATGATCCTCTGAAGTTTGGTATGGAGTAGAGTAAATGTCTTACAATAGGCTGCTTGCTAGATAATACATGATTATCTCCTCCGTAGTATCTATCTGGTAAGTAGATACAAGACTGAATCATTCACCGGGCCTATCTATCTAATAGTAATTATTTGGCCTACTGCAGCAACCAGCCAATTTATTGAAACAATCGGCCACTTCGACCAATCCGAACATGAAAGTACAATCCACTTATTACTAACTTGCTTAAACATGGGGAACCAGCGGATCTTATGAAGGATACCCTGCCCGATCCGACAAGGTGAATATGTATTCAGTCACAAGGCATAAGATCTCCAACGGACAGGCCAATGAGAACGACACTGAGCTCAATCTGCAGGCATCATATGCATGGGACTCGATCACGGTGGCAGATCATCATGGATGATGTTTTTGCCGGAACACTCCAACTCTCTGCGTAGCGTGTAAGTTAAAAAGGGGAAATAATTGGACCACAGGACCACGACTGCAACTGGTAAGGTAGGTATGGTTGGAACTTGACCTCAGCTTTCCGACCCGCCTGAATTAGTGCTACTCGGCATCAAATTAATACTCCATTCTATTGTATCAGGTTGCCTCCAGGTTTGTCGTTCCCGCTTCCCCGCCACGAATCTGGATGCGTGCCGAGAATCCGAGAGGCAATAGAGTGCCCAATGCGTCGCCCTCGGAATCACGGCAATTCTATGGCCCTCCACAGGCCCGCAATCAAGCACTAGAGGGCAATCATCCTAGACACCGACTTCCTCTCGATTGCCCGAATCAACTGTGCCAAAGTGTCTCGACCATTGAAAGACCGGGTACGGAGTAGATCCCATTTGTGTGATTGGTGCCAACATCCCGCGGGGTGGAAAGCAGGCAGGTTTCATATTGCCGCGATTATTATGACATACTAGGCATAACTAGCTTGCCCGACTATTTTGTTATTATTATCGATTGCTGCCGCGTCTGGCTCTTTCGTCGCTTTTACTTTTTTGGCGCCTTCTACTTCAGCCCTATACGCATACCACCGTGCGAGGAATCGGTTCATATTATAGGTGGGCTTTTCTGACTGTCGATGTTGCGTCGCGTCACCGATTTCCCTTTCAACTTCGTATCATTCTTGCTACTCGAGTAGCTGTTTTCCTGAGCTCGGGCGCGAAATCGTGATTTCCATACCCCTCTTTCTCCCAGCAGGCTGGTTTCCTACATGTGCGTTCCGGGCCGAGCAGGGTATCCCGAATCACCCATCCTACTGGTTCAGAGAAAGGCATTGGGGAAGGGAACGCACCTAATAAATTCCTTCAAAGATATGTTGTCAACGGAGAATCAGCCATGAGTCACGATACTTTGTTTCCCAGGCACATGAGAAGCCCCGGGGATGATGGCTACCGCACACCAACCATTGAAGATGCCGAAAACGATCTTGCCGCACATACAGGCGGCGCAACTTTATTCCAACCAAGAGGTTCTAGAATCCAACAGGCCCATACGTCGGCTTTGCAAGCGTTACACCTCTCCTCCTATCGCAAGCCCGAGGGAGATGGTGCCCCGGGGGGAGATGATCTGACTCTTCCTCAGAGCGAACCCGAAACCTCGGCCACTGGCCTTGGCTGGAAGAAGCGGATTCGTCACATCACCTGGGCCTTCTTTACCTTGACAATGGCGACTGGAGGGATCGCAAATGTCCTATACTTTGGTAAGCCGAATATTTCCCTGAGGGTGTGTCTCGGTGAATGAACTGATCATCAACACCCTAGTTCCGTATAGGTTTCGCGGCCTAGACACCATTGGGGTCATCTTCTTCCTCTTCAACTTGGTTCTCTACGTTCTAATCTGGTGTCTTCTTATCGCCCGTTTTTACTTCTACCCATACACGTTCAAGGCATCTTTTCTGCACCCGACAGAATCCCTATTTGTTCCAGCATCGTTGGTGTCATTTGGAACGATATTGATCAATATCTCACAATATGGGCCCGATCATGCAGGGCCTTGGCTCACTTATGCGGTTGGGATCCTCTTTTGGATTGACGCAGCTCTGGCAGTCATTTCTTCTGCCGGTATTTATCTCATTCTGTGAGTAAACAGGGCCTCTCAAATTGAATTTTTTACCCTCAACACTAGGAAGAAGATCTAATGGTTTGTAGCTGGTCTACCCAGACATTTACGATTGCACAGATGACACCTATATGGATCTTTCCGGCGTACCCCATGCTTATCATCGGCCCCCATGCTGGAATTCTGAGCTCCAAACTTGAACCTTCCCGTTCTCTGCGGATAATAATTGGCGGTACTACCATCCAAGGGGTTGGCTTCCTGGTCTCCCTGATGGTGTACTCGGCATTTATTTACCGACTGATGTCGCAGAAGCTGCCCCGAGAAAACGTCCGGCCCGGTATGTTTGTCTCAGTCGGCCCCAGTGCTTTCACAGTGTCGGGAATCGTCAACATGGCTGCCCATGCGAAAAGAAGCTTCCCAGAGGACTTTATGGGCAACGGTGCGTTGGCTGCGGACATTGTGAAGGTTGTTGCTGATTTTGCCTGCTTATGGTTATGGGGGTATGTATAACTTCACTAAATCTGAAAGTATCTCGTAGGTCGGGGCTAATTTATGGCCCAGACTAGCGATCTTCTTCTTTTTCATCGCAAGCTTTGCACATTGGTCTGTCATCGGCCCGGGCCGAATGGTCTTTTCGATGGCGTGGTTTTCATTCGTGTTTCCAAATACGGCCCTGATAACGGCGACTTTTGCAATCGGCAACGCTTTCTCTTGCAAACCAATCTCAGTTATTGGGTGCGCAATGGTAATTCCCCTTCTTTTGATGTACGTATTTGTCTTCTATATGATGGTCCGTGCCATTGTACATCGTCAAATCCTCTGGCCCCAAAAGGGCGAAGATAAAGACGAAGGTGGCTTTCAGATTAACCAAATCCAGCCGGACTCGCCAGGTGAGGACACACCCGTCTGAAGGAGTCGCCTACTTGATGTGGTATCCATGATCCCTCGACGTTGAATAGACCCTTCGGGTACCCTTTTTTGGCTGGGCGATAGGGTCGTTGCCATTCTATATATACACCTTATCTCTAGTTTTTACGAAATATGATAAAAAGACGATGGCGAATGTACGAAAACGAGTTACTTGATCTGAGCAAGAAGGGCTGGAAAACATGGAAAACTTGAGTTGCGTACCCAAGAAGGATAGATAAAGAAGAACCATAGTGTTGGATATAGATGCCGTACGAACCCCGCTCTCATATGTGGATGTAGAAGAACAGTACTTGTTTATATCCATCCGATATGGCGGATGTACTATGTACTACTGCCTTGCGGTATCTCGATATGACTGTGGGACATATCTCGCCTGTACCTGACATAGAGACCCGTCCGTCTACAAAGCAAATATGTATATGCAGTCCACTCTACATACCACCAGGTACTTACAGCTGAGGTACCGCCCCTCGACGGAGAACGGAGTCCTCCGAGCCCCAACCAATTCTCATTACTGATGGCAATAGCGGCCTAAGCCGAAAATGGGATCGCAGAACAGCTTAGCGGCTCAGGGTTGCATCCTGATAGGCCACAGTTCCATCTCCGCATGCCAAATATGGTAAGGGGCCCCATGCGTCCATGATTCGATCTGTCGTGTCACGGCAGCCGGCGGGCAAAAGCACTCGGCATGGAACCTTATCCAGTTCTCCAACCTGTGACGCAGGTATTCCTTTAATGAAGGGAAAAAAAAATTTGGAGGGGGGTAAAAAAACGAGGGGTGAAAAAACGAGGGAAAATTTTTTTGGATCAAAGTTACCCCTCATGTAATCTTAACTTCTCAATACCAACAGTATCCTCACTTATCTTCTTGCTCACGCCCCTAACCTCCGTCTAACCCTGTGATCATTTCGGATCTTCCTTATCACATAGCCTCATTCCATCATTTCTTGCCAATTTCTTGCACCATTCGTCAAAATGCCGCAGAAGCTGTATGTCACGTACAATGAAGTATGTTGCTTTTGAGGCCTTTACGCTTTATATCCTCTTGACCTCCCAATGCATATCTGCATTGTCAGTGCATGCGTGGTGCTTATCCGCCATTGTCTTGGACGCATGCTTCGTCTGATGCAGCCTGGATTGAGTGGTCGCATCTCGGCTATCTTCTGATTATGCACTCCGCTGACATCCCATGTCCTTTGACAGGTTCACAAACTATGCCAGGACTCCGCCGACAAGATCCTGGACACTTTCCGCCCCAATCTGATGATTGCTATCGGCGGCGGTGGATATATCCCTGCTCGGATTCTTCGGTTCGTTGAGCAATCATAACGATGGTTAGGATTTCCATTCTGACGCCACGCCTTTGGACAGGTCATTCCTGAAGCGCCAGGGAGAGCCAAACATTCCCATCCAGGCTATCGGCTTGTCGCTCTATGAGGACCTAGGCCGCGGTGACCCCGAAGAGGTTCCTGGAACCAAGGTCACCCGTACGCAGTGGTTGGACCTGAGCTCCTTGGAGATGGCGAACCTCATTGGCAAGAACATCCTCATTGTTGACGAAGTTGATGACACCCGGACAACCCTCGAATACGCAGTCCGCGAGCTCCAGAAGGACGTCGAGTTGGCACAAAAGCAACTCGGACGGGAAGGCGAGAAGACGAATTTCTTCATCTTCGTTCTTCATGTACGTTTATCCTCCCCCATCTTCCTCTCTATAGTCACCCATCTCTTCCCCAGCAACTAACAATATCCACAGAACAAAGACAAGTCCAAGAAGGGAGTCTTGCCGGAGGACATGGTGGAGGGTGGTCGTTACCATGCAGCAGTGACAATTGATGATCTTTGGATCTGCTACCCATGGGAAGCTAAGTACGGGATCCAGCGAAGCGTTAGACTTAACATTCGTGAACTGCATCACTAACCATCTTCCTAACAGGGACATTGATGAGCACGACCGGTTGGCTCAACAGACTCCCCTCCCGTGAGCTTCTACAACTCAGCTCAATATCGCTCGCCGCTTAGCCATGTCTTCTCGTTGCTTTTGGCCTAGAAATCCTGTTTGTGCCGTCCATGCATGAATATTGGCTCTTTTCGGTTGCACATATATTGCTTGGCTCCTTTAGACGTTTCAGGAGATTTTTTTATACGTTTCAGGTCATCTACGGAATGGTGTTTTGATGGTTTCTCTTTCTCTCTTTTTTTTTCCCCTCATTAGAATAAAAGCAATTTTGGTGCCATGAATGACAAAGATGCTTGCATACCCTACGTGTCATGGGTGCTTCTTGGATACATTGAGTTTCCGAGACCGGTCTTACATCTAGGCTATTGCATTTCAACTTTACCCACACACGTAGCAATGGCTACTTGTCGAAGAACCCATCCTTTCCATGATGTTTGAAAGTATTAAGATGGTGATATGAGAGGTACATCCGTAGAGCAAGGATCATCCGATAGGGAAGCTGCATGGCCTACACCGCAGAGCTGCACCCATAGGCGCGATAGTAAAGTGGGTATCAAGATTGCCTAACCCAGTCATTCTAACATAGTACAAAGGTTGTTGACACAGCATGACCGAATTAGCGCTGAAGTCCATTACTTGGTAGTTACTTCAGCCCCGCGGCGCTCCCGCGTACGGGGGACCCTATTAGGCTCCAACAGACCCAACCGTTGCAAGAGAGACCGCCGTCAGAGAACCCCATAGCGCGCAAAAGGTCGAGCAGAATGGAGAGTTTAATCGACGTCGACATTTGCCTTGCGCAATTCGGCCTTGGCCTGTTCGATCTCCTTTTGTAGCTCCTCATGCGCCTCGGGAACGTCATTGAAAGTCAAGATCGCCAGACCCAGCCGGCCAAGAAGGTAACAACCGAAGCATATTAGTGCATAGAATGGTAGCTGTTCAGGGTGGGCGCAAGGATCAGCCACGAGTCAAGGCGAAATGGACTAGGAGGTCCGCGGAGGTATAAGACGTACAATAGGAATGATTTCTGTCTGGACAGTTTCGTTAAGAGGAACAAGGCCCAGATACAAGACAAGGTAGAGCTGGCATTGGAGATCATGCTTGTTAGCGACGTCGTGTACGACCGCAAAGTGTAGACGGAGTTAGCAGCGTACCGAAGAGACAAGTAGGAGAACTGAGAGTGTCTGCTGAGCACGCGTCATGATGAAGGTCGGAGAAATGGATGGAGAAGACAAGGAAGGTGTTGCAAGGAAGGCAGGATAAGTCAAAACGGGTAGGTCAAAAGAAAAATGATCCGTCTTATGTTACAGTGTTGCCCGGGTTAAGAATGAGGGACTGCGGGAAGATGAGCCGCTGTCTTTCTTGATGTTCTCCGGAGTGTCTTGCCATCTGGGGCGGGTCTCGACTGACTGCGGCTCCGGGCTAGTTCGGCTCGCCGTACTCTATCCCCGAAGGAGGTCTAGTCCGGTATGGAGGTGTTTTTTACATACCAGTTCACGATGCCCTGATAATCATTGCCACTAAGTACAGAAGTTGAAAGGAGCAGGGGAGAGTTTCAGATGAGCTACATATCCGATTTATTTATTCTTTTCTGTTAAACTTCTCAATCATCATTTAGTCGAAGATCTTGATAGATAAAAGCAGTACTTTCTTTCTTTTTTCTTTCTTTTTGCTGGGTCTTGCCATACTATGCCATATTTAACATTTGTCATCTAGAATTGATTGTTCATAGACAGGTAGGGAAGAAGGCTACATGGCTTGGCCTGACAGGAGATCTGTTCTGATAATGATTTATTGTTGTGCTGAGATCCCTCCCTGCTAATGAATCATGCTGCTCATGCGCTATGAGGAGACGGAGTAAAATACAATTATCTGGGATTCGTCAGGAGGCATTGCTTCTCGCGCTAGCTCCGATCAGGTGAAGACCACCATAACCATTCGCTTCATACTCTATAGTCGTTTACGATCGGGGATTCGACCACTTCACACCTCCAGCGTTTGACTTGGATCTTAGCGATAGTGCTTATAATTTGTCTAACGAATTCCTTTCGACTTGGTCTTGCTTTACCAACAACGAGCGGGTTTTCAGGAAATGACGTCGAGTGACTTGCCTGGTGATCAAGAGAGCATGCACGCCAACGATCATCAAGTTGATCTATCATGGACAACAGTGCGAGATTCCGACAGGATGCAATTCCCTCCTCTAAATCAGATTCTCTCCGAGCTGGCTCTCCTGCTACCGCCGACGACGCTGGCGGCAACTGAGCCGTTGTCCTCTGAAGAGCAGAAGACCTTGTTCCACTCCTTACAGAACTGCCTGAAAAGCGCTGAGGACCTAGAGCTTTCCGAGGCTCTGAAAAACATTCCAGATATTCTTCACAGGCTGTGGCAATGCAGATCGCTCTATCTAGTACCAGCCGCAGAGGCTCTGGCGAATGGCAGCAGAGACCGTAAGTCTCCGGCTCGGTGCCTCCCTGATTACCCAAGGGCTATTCATTTTGTATCTAATGAGTGACAGCACTATGGCGGGCTTCGTTTGGACAGACCGGGGTTCTCGATTTCTTCCTCCAGCTCATAGCGTCAAAGGAGACTGTTGATAACAAACTTCTCCTCCATGCGTTACGACTTATCGGCAATTCCTGTGCCGATACTAGTGAGTTTTGTTCCTTTCCTGGGTCCAAACGAATCTCAGGTACTGATCATGCTCAGATGAAAATAGAGAAACTGTAGTGAAGTATAACTATACTTCTGCTATTCTACAGCACTCAAGCAACCCCGAGCTCATTCAAGTGGTCATCCCTGTCTTGTATAACATATGCATCGACTTCGGTAACTGGCGGCCTGTCCTGTGTATAGAGCGAGTAAAGATATTGACAACTCATAGAGCCCGCTCAGACCCAGCTAGCTGCTAATCGGGTCGTGTATATCCTGCTGAGGTTGGTGAAAGATGGCGCGCTCAAGGATAACGATGCTCTGCTTGATTACGTCTTTGAGCTCGTCGAATTGGTTGGAGAACAAGGCATGGCTAACCACTTCCCTTCCCACTTTGGTTCTAACTGAATGAATGCACAGAACAAGGAATAGCCTCTTCGCCTGATGGAACGATCTCGCTCCTCGTAGACCTTGCTCTTGACAAAGATATCGCGTCTACACCCGCCCAATTTTCCTGTCTTGTCAACTGCATGGGCCCATACCTGAACAATACGCGATTCCAAGAATTTTGCATTTCCAAGTACCTGTTGCCGGATGTTTTGGCAGTGCTCAGTCGATCCTTGACATTTAGTGCTGGTAACTCCTCCAATGAGGACACCCAGGCTTTGGCACAGTCCCGATTGAAAATCAATCAAATCCTCGCGGAGATCTCCGCGTTGGCTTCATTTGCGGAATGCTATCCCCTGGATTCCCCTCTCGCCCAATTTCTCAAGACATGGTTAAAATCGCAGGAGGATCAGCTGCAGATATGCGCCTGCGTTATCCTGGGTAACTTGGCTCGATCCGACACCATTTGTGAAAAGATGATTCAGGACTTGGAGATACATGAGGAGCTCATATCAATCCTCAAAGGTGATGTTCGAGGCGCAGTCTTACACTCTGCACTTGGATACCTAAAGAACCTCGCAATCGCTGGCAATAACAGGCTAATACTTGGAGAAGCTGGCATAATTCCTGCTGTTTCACGTTTATGGCAATACGAGTCGGTCCCCCAGGTTCAGTTCGCTGCAACAAGCATCGCCCGGCAGGTAATCGTAGCAGCGATGGATAATATATCTCGTTTGCTCGAGCGACTTCCTGCCGATGAGCATGACCCAACGAACGAACGGACGTATCTGTCTTTGCTACTTGCGCTATTCCAAAAGACTGATTCAATCCCCATCAAAACCGAGATTGGACGCATTGTAGCTTCCATATGCCGCACTCTGGTCCCCAAGTCTCGGGGCGAGGAGCCTACTGCTGTTGCTCTACTCACCAGAGTCTTTGACTTGCATGAAGATATTTCACTGCCGCTTGGTGCTATGATCACCCAGTCGCAATGGCCTGTTGTCCGGAGTGAAGGCTGGTTCGCGTTGGCCCTGATGGCATCCAGTAAAGCGGGAGCCACGGCTATTTCACGATCCTTGCAACGGATGGAAATCCTTCCGTTGCTCGAGGAGACGTTGAGTGTGAAACCATCCGAACCCACGGATGAGACGGAACCAGTACAGGCGAAGAAAGATCGTGACAACATTATTGTCCTGATGCAGGTATTACTGAAGAATGATGTAAGCCAGTGATCTCCCCCGATTAGGATGGACACATGATGTTAATGCTCCTTTGCAGCCTGATGCGCTCCCCGAATCCTCCAAATCTACCCTTCAGGAGTTGATGCACAGCCATGTGCCCAGACATGTGCGAGACGCCCAGTCGATGCTGAGTGAGTGAGGCAGTATCCTCCAACGTCATCTGTACCTGTGGTGCCGGATCCACATCCCTGCCAGGCATTCGCATTCTGGCCGGTATTCTGTCGCGAATGCCAGGGTTGCCCATGAAACACCCCTCTTACCATTCATCAGACTAGAAGTTAGGATAATCAAGGGGGGAGGGGAGATTGAAAACTCAGCAAAGCCAAGATCGGGGCGTCGTAGGACTACGACGGAGTAGACTAGCATGATATATCTAGATTCTAGATTCTAGCTTTGTCGGTAGATGCAGGGCGGATGGAGACCGGCGAGTGATGACGTCGGCCCACGTGCCCACCCGCCTGGCCGACATCCGTACCTGCCATCCCGACCTTTTCCTCTCCCTCGACCGGCCTTACAATGTCCACACAGGCCCGCTGTTCTGCTTTTCGATGACTGATCCACCCGCCTTCGAGCCGGTGTCTTTACGAGAACATGAGGACGGCCGTCCTCTCGGGCCGTTATTGTTGGAGCCGTGGTAGAAACCCGCTGCTACTGTCCCGCTTTCTTCCGCAACCTCGATTGCGCTTCTGCCGGCCGCCATTATGGGCGCAGCAACCTGTCCGAAGCCCGCCCAAGGGAAGGCCCTCAAAGGGAACTGTTCTTCTCGCTGTGATGACCCCGGGGGCATTCCTACAGCTGGCTGAAGATGGTGATGAAGAAGATGATAAGACGGGCGAGATGCAGATGCTGGAAGTCTCGCGCCGAGAGGCGCAAAAGACCGTCGCAGAAGATGCGCGAGGCTTGACGAGGCTCTGGCAGTCGCTGTTTGTCTTCGGCTACTATTACATATATGATCCAATTGCAACGGGCTTCCGATTTGTCCATTTAGTTGTAATCTTCCTGCCCGTCATTCTTACGGCTCCCACTCTATGCTTTGGACGGCGACTGAAGGACCGTGAGGGGATACGGACAGGAACACTGTGGTGGTATAAATTCCTGGTCCGATCAATGGAACGTGCAGGCCCAGCATTCATCAAGGTAAATTTCTCACCGTCGAGCTCCTCAATGACCGCAATCCGCTTACTCCTGGTCCTCTATTAGCTCGGACAATGGGCGGCCTCCCGTACCGACATCTTCCCACCGGAACTATGCGATATCATGTCATCACTTCATTCCAACGCCCCCGCACACTCACTACATCAGACTAAAAGAACCATAAGGAAAGCCTTCAACTGGTTGCCATTCGAGGATATTTTTGAGGAATTCCAAGAGGAACCCTTGGGGGTAGGCGCTATCGCGCAGGTCTACAAAGCGAAATTGAAGCCTAACCTTGCGGGGACTGATGATGACTTCGATCTACAACCGCACGGTTTACGAGACAAGGTCCGAAAGAACGTCGGTGCCTTAGTCAAGAGCTCTCCTCAGCGGGTCCCGTCGTCGTACGTAGCCATCAAGGTGCTTCATCCTAGGGTAGAACGCGTGATCCACAGGGATTTGAAGATCATGTTGTTCTTTGCGTCTTTGGTCAACGTTATACCTACCATGAATTGGCTATCATTACCGGATGAGGTTCATCAATTTGGTGAAATGATGAAATTGCAATTGGACTTACGGATCGAAGCGACCAATCTCGTCATGTTCCGTGAGAAGTTCAGGTCCCGGACCACGGCTTGGTTTCCATACCCATATCTGGACTATTCTACCCGTGAGGTGCTCGTGGAGGAGTTTGCACAGGGTATCCCACTCTCAACCTTCCTTGATGTCGGAGGTGGCGTTTACCAGGAAGAAATCGCCAACGAAGGCCTGGACGCATTTCTCCATATGCTCTTGATCGATAACTTCGTCCACGCAGATCTGCACCCCGGGAATATCATGGTGCGATTCTACCGGCCCAGTGAACTGGACCTATCACTGGGAAGCAAGTCTCGCGCATCAGATGCACCAACTGCGGCAGAGGTCGATGTTACAGAATCCGTGCTGGCACGGCTGCGCCCGCATGCCAGTGATCGACGCGACTGGAAGAAAGCGCTCGACAATCTGAATGCCGAGGGCTACCGACCTCAGCTCATCTTCATCGATACCGGCCTGGTGACCCAACTGAACGACCTCAATCGGCGCAACTTCATCGATCTGTTTCGCGCCATTGCGGAGTTCGACGGGTTTCGAGCGGGCGAGCTCATGGTCGAACGATGCCGCCAACCGGATGCCGTGATTGACCCGTATTATTTCGCATTGGGGATGGAACACCTAGTGTTAAATGTCAAGTCGCGCACGTTCGCTCTGGGTAGCGTCAAGATTGGAGATGTCTTGAGTGAGGTCTTATCTTTGGTCCGAAAACATCACGTTAGACTTGAGGGGGATTTTGTCAACGTTGTCATTTCGTGTCTTCTTCTTGAGGGGATTGGACGCAACCTGGACCCCAACCTCGATCTTTTCAAGAGGTAAGTAAATCTTTCTTACCTTGTTGTCTCACGATCCACTGGCTAACTGGACTCTTTTTCAGTTCCCTCCCCATTTTGCGGAAATTGGGATCCAACACCACCTCCTTCAAATCCGTCCGGGCGGGCGACATGTCCATGCTTCGTGTCTGGGTAGGACTTGAAGCGCGTGAGCTGCTCCAAAGCAGCTTCGAAAGCGTTGAGCAGTGTGTTAAATATGATCTATTATCGCCCAACATTTGAGTAGAGGAAGAACAAAGAGCGAGAAACACGGAGCAAGGAAATCACAATTTCGCATTTCTCCATGCCGGAGCACATATCCCGACAAGCCATTGTCGCAGGCCACAACCGAAGACCGGAGTTCATTGTTAATAACCTCAGTCTTGACGCATGGGTTTGCTATGGCTTCGGTCACTCAGCAGATATGCACTCAGGGGGGTAAGCGACTGGTGTCGATAATAGCGCGCATGCCCGAATTCGCCAGTACCTTTACAAATGGCATGATCAGAGAAGATCCTGATGATCTTTCGAATTGTGCCCCCTGGATAGTAAGAGACCATGGGATGGGGTCGAGACAATACCAAGATCAACCAATAGATATTGCCATGTCAAGGCAACTCTGCACAGAGTATTGATGTATAGCCAGTCATTTATGCACATTATACAATAGAGTAAGCACGAGTTTATCTTGTTCATAGCCCATGTTGCGATGGCAGTACAGGATCCTATATTACATATCAAGATTGCTGCATTAAGGCAGATCCCCCGAGATGGGGCGGAAGAATGGAGTAGAGAGAACCCAAGATTAAAAAACAAACCAAGAACCTCTTTCGTCATTTATTTGACAAATTGCCGCCGTAATACTCCAGATTCACATGACCATAAGCATGACATAGTTGGAAGGGAGAGCAGGCGCAACCAAAGCGATCCGAACAAACAAGAACATGAATAAAGCAGGACAGTTCCATAGAAAGGAGAACCTACCAGACGCCCGCGCCTTCCCAGAGTGTATATTGCTGAACAGTGTCGACAAAGAAAATCGCGGCCATGCGATATAATAATCAGCTACCATTGTTTTCCCGCGCGGAGGCGCCGCTGGCGCGCCACCAGACATCTCCTCCCCATCTCATTAGCCGCTCAACGGCAGCAGTTGGCGTATCCAAAGCGGGTCTGATGTCCAGGTAGAACACAGGTTCCCCGGTTGGCTCGGGAGGTCCAGAATAATAGTCGATAACATAACGAACCTCTTTCTGACCTGACGGCGTCTGCCGCATTACGAACCAATCATGTCTATCGAAAGGCGGGTTTGTTCTGATGTAAGCGAGGTTAGTTTAAAATACTTGGATTATGAAAAGAAGGGGATACCGACTCAAACTTTGATGGATATACCCAGCCCAGAGCCTGGAGGATCCGTGCCTTGGGTGTGAGCTCCTGCGGACGACCCTTGAATCGGATGAGTCGTGGAGGTGGAACATCCTGCTTGGCGGAACCAGCCAACTCCTCCCTAAGTTCATCCATCACAATGTTCTCCTCTCCGCGACGGCACTTGTCCCAACCTTGCGCCAGACCTCTGGAAAATATGCGCTCCCACCGAACAATCTCGTCCCAAGCGCCCTCATTCAAGAAATTGTGCACAGCAACCATTGCTTCGACGGCGTCCTGCGGAGTATCGGTATAGCCCTTGCGCAGCATGGCGTTATACATCTGCTGGGGAGAAGGATATTCCCAGTTCTCATCCATGTCGGATCTGGGTATGGACGAAACTTCTCGTTCCACGGGGAGATCCACTGTCTGGTTAGGCGCTCTTTCCTGGGAGATCGAGGTGAACATGTAGTTAAGAGGGTTCAACTTAGAGAGTGCGGAGCGCGGTTCGGTGTTTGAGGGAGGTTGCGACTCTGGGGACTTGGACTTCGGAGGCACATAGAACGGGGAGTCGGTGGATCGGACGGGACAGGCACTTGAACTCTCGGAGGCGGTTTGGTTTGGCGAAGTAGGGACATTATTAGATGCGTGCATAGGACATCCTGGCTACAAGAATTCGTCAGAAAAATTGCTTGATCTTGCTTGAGTCACACAGCTACTCACCGGAGGAGAGGCATTCGAGGATGCCAAAGAGTTCGGAGCCGCGGGCGTCGGCTTTGGTTGAGAATCTGCCCAGAACCAGCCCATTTTACCAAGGTAAGATTGGGATACGGAGCAAGCCCAAAAATTGTGCAAAGATAGGTAGTGACAAGCCGTTGAGAAGGTGGTGAAAAAAATGGAATGGAGGCTGCCAAAGGTCCAGAGTGAGGATGAGAGCGAATGATGTATCGCGACGGGATTAATAGTGGTTCGGCGATACAAATGATTTTATTTTCCAAGCCGGAAAATTCCCGCCCGCCGCCCACGTGATGCCGGGACTCTCCGCCATTGCCCGCAGCCAATCACGCGCGAGCTGATTGATATGGCTGCGCTTCCTCAGGTACATATTATATTACTAGGTACGCAGGAACAGTTCTGGTACAGGGAAACCGCAGAAAGTACCTCAATATGGACGTTTATTCTTTCTTATGGCAAGACTATTCGATTATGTACAGTTCTTCCCCACTCCCAAACCAAAGCTGTCCTTGCCGTATGCTTGGGCAACCTATCAAAGGTAAAGCCACCTATTCCAAGACGCAAGAGAGTTGAAAATAAGGGAGAAGAGAAAGGAAAAAAAAAAGAAAAGAAAAGAAAAGAAAAAAGAGAGATGAAGGAAGGGAAAACAGGAAAGACAAAATAAGGGATGCTTCGAACGCCGAAATTCCCGGGACGCCCTCGAGTAACTAGATACCATGTAAGCCCATGTAAGTCCGTACGAGCTCTCCCGGACCACAATGCCGAACACAAGGAAAATACTAATATGGGTGTTGTTGACTAAGCGAACACGCCAACAGAAGAGAGGGAAGAAATGAGAAGAGGGGTGTTGTCGGGGGTGTTCGCATGTCCGAGAGAACGCTGAATTGGGTAACTTCAAGTATACAGAAAGGGATAGAAAGCCGAGCCAGCTCAACCTTCTCAGCCATCAACCTTGAACATCTTTCACCAGCCTGGTCAAAAGCGCATATCCGAATAGGATCGCGAAGCCAAGCCAGATTTTGTTGCGTCGGACCCAGCTCTGGCCTGCTTCTCGGGCGACATGACCGCCCTCCATCACGGCACCGAGTCCGGGAGCGCTGCCGTTCGGTCGCCGGCGAAGCGCACTCGTCTCTGGAGAGCACCTAGTCGCAAGGCTAGGATCAGGCATGAGCTGGCCGGTATTCGTGTCGATGCGACTGTCCTTCATCCATCTCCAATTCTCTTGGTCAAGCTCTGGCCACTCGGCGCGAAACTTCAGACCTCCGTCTCCAGCCTTAACATTATTGATACCCTTGGCTGTGGGAGTCACGCCCGGAGTTGCGCTGATATGAGAGCCTCCTCCGGTGGAATTCCACCACCTAGATCGCGCTGCCAGCACTCTTCGTTCGGCCTCCGACGCACTCACACTCCCGGTGGTCATCTCCTCGCTTGTCATGAAGGAGAGTAATCCTATGAGAATGGTAGATACCTCCCATGCGGGATTGAAGGACTTTGGGTGAAAATCACTGATACTGAGGCACAGGCGGGTTGATGGTTGGAAGCGACCGCTGGGAGTGTGCATGCGGATTGCTGGGGGGGCGAACGGGTATTCGGGAGGGAACATCAGGGTGCCCCAGTACTGACCATTCTCGTACGGTGTACCCGGGGGACCAGTCAGGATGTAATGCCATCTGAGTAGAGTGTCAGCCTTCACTGCGGGAGAGCGAGGAGGGGTTGTAACAATCGGCTGCAAGTGACGTACTCGAGAATGTTGGACTCGGAGGGATGTGCCACAATGTAGGGCGGGGGGTTCTTCTGGATGTTCTGGTACTCGCGAGTAAGCTGTTCAACGGTTAGTTGTAAGGCGATGGGGTAGCTGCTTCTGGAAAGGGCCTGACGCACGCGCTTGAAAGCCGCTTTGGTCGCCATCCTTATAGTCCGTTCGGGCTGTTGCAGTAGGCTTTGCAGCCGACAGACGGAGGGGGGAAGAACAGAGGGCGAAGGAAGGAAAACAGCAAAAGACGGGGGGCAACGATGCTGGCTCTAAAAGCAGACCAAGTGCTTGAGACAAGTTTCAAAGGGAAAGGGGTAAATAGACGGAAGCAGATCGCAAAGCAAACGCCGTCTCACGATGATGGGAGGGGGGGGGGGTTCTTGTTCTATAGTTAGTTTTAGTTGCGCTGCGGCCTGGCCTGAAGCAACCCCCCGGAGGCACCTCGGGGGAAGGTCACGTGCGTGGGCGGCGGATGGCTTCATCTTCGCCGCCCCGGAAGGGAAAGCAGGAAAAGCAGGTCTCATCTGGCCATTGCCGCCGCAGCAATGTCCTCCCCACTCTCCGCCGACGACGAAGATGTTTGTGACACACCTCCTTTTATGAATTACTGGCCAAGTCCTGAGCCCCATGCACTGACCACTCTGGGCGTCTGTTTTCTAGATCTTCGCACGCCTTCAACAGCGTGCCGATCCGAAGGTGCTGGAAGAGCAGCAGCAAGCGGTTGATGAGCGGGTTCGTGCGATCTATCAGAAAGCGCAGACACGCCTTGGGGAATTGGTAAGCAGCTCCTCTATCCTTGTTGGCACTGGGCCGAGGGCGATATGCCTCATGCGTCATGATGGCTAACCAGTGAGCTTATACCACCAGATTGACCAGAATTCCACGCTACCATGTGCGATCTCCTCGGTACAGGTTCATGGCGCTCACCACACGCGCAGAGGGTTTCTGGAGCGGGTGTTCAACCCTATCCTAAGCAGTAATCAGGACAGACCGTATACGCTCTCCGAGGCCTTGCGGGAAGTTTCGGCACGTGCGGACAAGCTCAACAGATTCGGTGGGTTACCTTCCCGACAAAGATAGCTATGGACTCAAACCTAATCTGTCTTTGAAGATATCTTCCAGCAGCCTGTTTCGGTATATTTGGACCAGTCCTCGGGAGTAGACGCGCAGTCGGGTATACCGACTCTCAATGTCCATGTCTCGGCCAAGGAGAAGTCCCGTGTAATGTTGAAGACAGGAACCGATCTCGGAAACGCCGAGGGCTCGGCTTATGGCAATCTTCTATGGCGCAATGTATTCGGTGGCGCGGAGAATCTCAATTTGAATGCCTCGTTGGGCACCAGAACAAGGTCTGCCTATCAAGCCACCTTTGAGACCCCGGTTCTCAGTGATCCGGACTTCCGTCTGGAACTTGGTGGCCTAGCAAGTGCCACGCAGAAGTCCTGGGCAGGCCACGAGGAGGTGCTCAAAGGAGGATGGACGAAGTTTCGCTGGGCGAGTCCTTCCGGTCAACGCCATGAATTTGGTTACAATGGTTTCTGGAGACAAATGACCGGGCTATCCGAGAATGCATCTCCTACTGTTCGAGCTGATGCAGGCGACAGTGTGAAAAGCAGCGTTTTTCACAGTTGGACCAAGGACCAGAGAGATAGCCCCCTTCTTCCCTCTCGTGGCTATTACGCAAAGGCATTCAATGAGGTGGCCGGATGGGGCCCTCTCAAAGGTGATGTTTCCTTCTGGAAATCGGAGATTGAAACGCAGGCGGCAGTGCCCATTCCGATCCCTGGCATCAAAGGGGACAGTGGCATCAGTTTGACTACCGGGTTCCGCGCCGGTCTCCTGTATCCTCTTGGGCTTGATAGCGGTTCTCGGCCCCAGCTCTCGCGCACTAACGACCGATTCGTTCTTGGAGGTCCTACGGATGTTCGTGGTTTCCGCCTCTGCGGTCTTGGCCCCCATGATGGAGCAGATGCCGTTGGGGGTGATGTGTATGCTGCAGGAAGTGCCAATCTACTGTTTCCGCTCCCCAGGGTAGGTGCCGAGAAACCTCTACGACTGCAGGCCTTTGTAAATGGCGGACGTTTGCTGCCCCTACGAACGGCAGAGAAAAACGCACCTAGTTCGAATGCAGAGGTGAAGGATGCCATGGTTTGCACGATTTCCGAGCTGGCCAACGGCCTGCCTAGCATCGCGGCTGGCGTCGGACTCGTGTACGCCCATCCTGTTGCCAGATTCGAGTTGAACTTCTCCCTGCCGCTGGTACTCCGCAAGGGCGAGGAAGGCCGGAAAGGGCTGCAGCTCGGCATCGGCATCAATTTCCTGTAGAGAATTTTTGACACTGTAACAAATTACATAGAGAAGAGAGATGGGTGAAGGTAAAGCAGATAGGGGCTGTTTCTTTCATTTCATATTCCAAAGGGGTCTTTCCAATCTGCTAGCAGCATGAATTCTAGCGTTGATATCCGATGTTATCCAGCTCTATCTATCTAGAAGGTGCGGTGGCCTGGCGGACTCAGGCAGCCCAGCTCACCGCCCGCCAGCTGTTCTCTCTCGTGCAACTCCGTCATTTCCTTCCTCTCCATCACCGATCATCAATTCCCTCGGCTCTCTTCTTCCCACTGACACTACAACAACACGGCACATTTCCCAGGCCCTTCTTCTCTACCCGTATCATTCATCCGATATCGTCCCCGAACCCTGGCCGGCAATGGCCCAGTACTACCCGCAACAGCAGCCTTACGGCGTGCAAGCGTCGGCGCAGAACCTCCAATTCTACCCTTCATCCTATGGCTCCGTATCGGGCCACACGACCCCATCACAGGCATCCTACGGCAACTTCGGCGCAGCGCCTAATCCGGCATCCCAGGCGTATCCCGTCGGAGGGGTTGGTGGGGGATATGGGGGGTTCGGATCTCCAACTGCGGGAGTCACTGGAAGGATGGGCGAACAGGGAGGATTGAGGACTGGATGGCTTGCCGCCTTTGGTACAGAGGGCTACGAAGGGGAGCCTCCCCTTCTGGAAGAGCTGGGAGTCAATTTTGAGCATATCCGCACCAAGGTCGGTACAATTGGACCGCGTCCGACCCGCTATAGCGAGGCTTACTGACCGAGCCACCATGCTCGCTTTCTAGACGCTGACTGTGCTCAACCCTTTTGCGCGAATTGACCAACACCTGATGGACGACAGCGATCTCTATGGAGCCCTTCTTTATATCGTCCTGTATGGAACGTTCCTTCTGCTCTCCGGCAAGGTCTTCTATGGCTACATCTATGGTGTCGCAGTCTTTGGAACCGTTGCCTTGCATTTGATCCTCAGCCTAATGTCTCCGGCCCTGGACACGGTCCCCGTCCCCAACACTGCAGACCCCACCAGTTACTCTCCCCACCACAAGCCCTCCATGTCCGACGCCTCCGCCGCCGGCCACTTCTCCGCTACCCTGACCTTCCCACGTTCCGCCAGTGTCTTAGGGTACTGCTTCCTCCCGCTGGTGCTGACCAGCTTAGTGGGAATTTTGATCCCTATGGACACCATGTTCGGGTATCTACTGACTACCGCGGCCGTGGGGTGGTGCACGTATAGCTCCTCGGGAATGTTCTGTGCTGTTGCGCGCATGCGTGGCATGAGGGGGTTAGTTGCTTACCCACTGGCGCTGTTCTACGTTGTGTTTGGGATCATGGGAATCTTCTCATCTCGTGGGAGCGGAACCTTGGCTGCTAGGACAGGTGCAGCCTAATGCATGAGTGTATTGATCAATTCATGACGACGAACCATTGAACTTTGTTTTTACCCCTTTCCATTTCTCCTTCAGACATTGCTTTTCCTGATGACGTAGGCACGGAATCCGGCCCCATGCTCTCCAGAGCCTTACAGTCTCATGGGCCATTGATCTTGGTCCATATCACATGTACATGTAGGAGAGTTTTCGCGGGAAGTCTTAAGCTACATGTCTCTCTATCTTCCCCGACAATGTTCCAAGAGTACCCGTATATAATACTCCCTCTGGCGGGAGTGTTGTGTCAAGCACGGCTTGACGACATGAGTGTCGTTACAGGCGTTTACTGCTGAACGGCACCCGCCCCTTCACCATGAGCGGGGGCCCAATTTTCCAACCATTCTCGCGCCTTTTCTAGATTTCCTACCGTGGCTTCCACAGCGGCGACGCACCATGGCAAATCATAAGCCCTTCCACTAACTATTGTTCCCTCGGCTGCGAGAATTTCCGCGGCGAGACGGCGTTGCTGACCCACCTGGTCTGCGCAAAGGTAGAAAGGTGCAGTGTTGGGTGCATCTCCCCCGAGGTTCACGGTGTCAAGCAAAGGTCTCACAGCAGTCAAGATAGCTGCCGCACCGATGGGTGCGGACGCAGAATTTAGACCAGATGTAGGGGCTTGTCTAGCTTGCTTCGCCGTTTTGCAATACTCGTTTTGACACCAAGTCTTACCACAGCCTGTCATCATCTGGGAAAGGTAGCGACGCTCGACACGTCGCCTGAGCGCTTTCCCTTCAGGGTCATAAGTGTCTACATATAGTGGCCCAAAACAGATGCTGCAGAGGCCAAGGTTGACTGCATCTTGTGTACCGCGTCCATCAAGCGTCCGCCCACAGTTCTGATTTAGGCAAATGCGAGGGGTTGGACGGGAGAGACGTTCCAAATCATGATGGCGAAGGTGCGTCTTCATGTCCCGCAATCGGATGATCTTGTTACAAAGATGGCATTCGGTTGTCCGACCACCATCCACCAATTCATGCGGGGTAAGGCCGGAGACTAAAACGTCCGGGTCATGCATGTCAGGGTCTGATTCACTCCGTTGGGGAACCACAAGATGACAGAATTGGCAGAGGATAAGTTTGGCCGGGCAGACGGTTGTGCGATGCTGAGCAAGACGAGGAAGATTCTCCGCCTCAAAGCCACAACCGCCACAGAAACGCTTAGTGTGAAAGCAGAGGTTGTGTCTGTGCTGCTCTATACGACCATCGCCATAGGCCGAGTCATGCGGACAGTGCCAATGATTCTGCCATTCTGCTGACCGTTTCTGGAACACGTTCTGACACTGACGACAAAGGATATTGTTCCGAAGGCAGAAGTTTTCATGCAATATTAATGTTCGTTGAGGCACCCATTGATGGCAGTTTTTACACTGTACGTCGCCCGGGTCATGGTTCTCTGGTCCGGTGGCTGAAAGGCTCTCATGACTTGTCAAGGAGGGTCCAGCATGAATCTGTAGGCTGTATGGCAACGGCAAGCGGGGAGCCGAGTCTCCCGTGTCCGAGCTCTCAGTGGAAGTGCACGCGTGCACCGATATATACAAGGTCTCGGCCCCTTCCATATCAACATTCGTCGGCTGGATTCTTATCCGTTTAGTTGACTGGCTTGATAAGTCACCAAATACATGCTCGTCCTCCCGTGGTCGGTTTCGCTGGCGAGGGGAAAGGGGACTGACAAAGAGACAGACATCTGCGTTGTCGGCGCTTTCAACAAATACTTCGAGTGCATTTGCGGGATCCCATTTAAGAAGTTCGTAATCGACATAATCCCCGGGGGCTACCCGGCCAGTGACTACTTGACCGAGTTGAAGTTCGCCACCAATAGATGTACCCGCTCCAGCACTAGATACTCGGGAAGCTTTCTCCAATCGTTTTTGTAAAGACTCTCTGGCTTGCTCCTCGGTCAAGGCGACGATATCCACCTCCAAATCCGTATCAATAACACATATGCCAGTGCCATGAGGCTCAACTTTATCAACCAAGAACTGAAACGACTGGTTGCCGCTCCCCGCAACAGTAAGGACTTCGCCAGAGGTTAATGTGGTGTAGTTATCACGCAGCTGCCGTTCGAGCAAAGCCTTCCAATCCCCCGGGTCGTATCCAGCTTCAAGCGGGCGCAGACGGACATAGGTGCCTTTCGGCAACTGCTGGGCGTGAACCGTGACCGTAGCCGGCGCGGCTGGTACATCGTCTCCCGCATCACCTACAACAGCGGAGGACCCCGGATTTTGCGTAGCAATGCCAAGGGCGCCTCGTAGAAAAGCACTGAGGCCAATCTCATTCTCTGCCGCAGAAAACTCGCGGACACCAGCATATACCACACGGTTATTTTGCGGGTTAACGATGCGGAACGTGAGCGGATGGGGCAGTTGCTGCTGGCGATCCACACCCCGCTCGCGTGCTTGGGACTCGGCGGCGAAGGTATGCGGGTTGAAGGGGTCAAAAGCGCTGGTGTACTGGCGTGCCGGGCCCGGCGAATTCACCTCTTGAAGCGGGGCAGCCGCCAGGAGTTGCTCGAGCGCGGAAGGTGGCAGCGTAATCTTATCGCCTGGGAGCCTGGGAATTTGCGGCGGCGGAGCGACGGTCAACTGCGACGACCAGCGCAAGGAACCTTGGTCCCTAGCCATGGCGCCGAGGGAGGGAGGCAGCGAAGGGAAAAATCTAGGGGAGGAGGGAAGAGGGTGGGGGAGAGGAAGGTGGAGATCGGGGGAGCAGCGGAAACCATCTTGGGTCGGTCATGAATAATAAGAAGAAGGCTGATGGGGGAGCGCTGGGAAGAACGGATCCATCCCAGTTCTCCTTTCATCGGAAATGGCGAAGCGCCGCGCGCCTTCTGGAATCCGGCCGCCGATTTGTCATCCCACCTCTCTCTCTCAAAAGGCTACAATTGTGTTACGACGCCTTTACAGTTGGAGGACTCGGTCCCTGCCCAATGATACTATGTACGCTTCAGTGGTATTCAAGAGTGGCGAGAAAGCACGCCGGCTAAGGTTCCACCCCAAGAACAAGGAAAAGGCTGGAAAAGAAACGTCCAATATGACCTGATATCTGCTCACTCGCTCAATACAATTCTCTCACCCGATGCCGTGTACTAGTATTGCACCAATCGCACTGAAAATGCCACCCGTGTCAGCATAAGATTCAGTAGCCCATGTCGTGGGTTCAAACACATACCATCGTCGAGGAGCATCCCTCATTGTGCTCGACGCAATAATCACCTCGACAACTCCGGCAGGTTCGCTGACAATCCGCCTTGCACTGGGCACACTTAACTAGTTGTCAGAACGCCGAATATAATGGCTAGGTCGACTTGGCTTACCGTCGGACCGCATTCCCAACAGTCTTTACTTACGCCGGGGCCGAACTGCTACGGGGTCTAGTGAGAGGTGTCTTCCTGATCAAATGGGGCTCTTTTGGGGTACGAACCGTGTGCTCTTGGGGCTGCTCAGTACTATCCTGGCTGCTCCGTGGACCCCTGACTGCCGTCTGGTGCGGCGAGAGATCATTCCTTCCGCGCTCGGGATGGGGCAAACAATCTTCACAGAACCATTTGTTGCAACGATGACACCACCGGTCAGTCACACACTCCGTGCAGCGAACGATTAGACTCGGCTGCTCATCCGGAATCAACACCGGGCGTTTTGCCTTGGCTACGGAGGAAGTATGGTACGGTGGCGGCGCAAGCAGAGGGAATCTATCGTCCGGGGACTGGCCCCAAAATGCCGGGCCTTCCGGGGAGGTGTGGCAGCCATCACATCCTCTGGGACCTAGGGCAACAGTGGCGAGCTTTGGCCCAAGCAGTCGACTTTCTGGATGAGATCCATTCTGGTTCTGCGGCATTGGGGTGTAACGATCAACGTCATGTCGTGGGCCGTGGCACAAGACTGCATCAAAAGCAATGATGCCTTCGCATTTCTTGACTGTCTCCGCCCACCCATCCTCAACACTTTGCTTGAAGAGCTGCCCGGACGATCGATACCATGCATTCTGCTGATGCGTATTACCCTCAGCATGGTCACTGGCTGCAGCGCTGTCTTCCGAAGTTGGAGCCGTGCAAGAAACTTGGCGAGAACATCTCGAGCTCCACCAATCACGGTATTTGCTGCGTACCGTCGCACGAGATTGATTTAAAGGAGTGAAGTGATAGATGCCTTTCACGCGCGGTGTGCCCTTGGGACGCGTGGGTCGGACGGCATGGTTTATAACCTGCATAAGTTTACGCTCGTTGAGATGACGGCACTCTCTTATTGACAGAATGTTGATGTTGAAACGATCCGTAAGGATGATCTCCGCAATCAAGTCCGCCGGAACGGACAGACCATCCAAGATCAAGGTACGCACATCTTGCAAGAGCGACTTTCTCTCAAGATGGGCAAAGACGTTCCTCAAAGGCGACGAGTAGTATTCATCCTCGGTCATGGAATCATTCATTTGATCACCCCTCACCGTTTGCTCGGCAGAGCCCATAGTCAATGAACTGGCCAGTTTGGCCCCATGGCATTGGGTCAGATCGAGATGTCGGAAAACGTAAGGCGTGCCCATGATCAAGGATCGGACAAGATGGGAGGTCGATACCAAAGCGAACAATGATGAGGTCGAAAGATACGGGGCCATATGATCGAGAACCAAACTGTTGGATAACAAATCGACTAAGGAAGGGCGCCTCGGCGATACGGGAAGGACAGGTTGGTGCTGTTGCTCAGGCTCAGTCACCAACTGCTTGTCATCGTCATCTGCCAGTACTTCGCGGACGGTGGGAACAAGGCCCAGTTCCTTTGGCGTCAATCGGCTCGTGCCATAGAAGAACCCCGGCGCGCGGTCAATGAGATTTTGACGATATGCTGCCACCGCACCGAGGGCGAGCTCATCCCTCCTCGTAAACAAGGGGCCAGCGGCGGGTTGTATTTCATGGAGCGCAGCTCTGGCCTTGGCCAGTTCCGTCTCCAAGAGATCGATGGTCGACTGAAGGACAGCTGGCATGGCTTTGATACTACCGGGATCGATGGCGGTGACTAAAGTGGACCATAACTCGCCTTCGGACATGCTAGGGAATTATACGGGGCTTCTGGGTGCACGGGGGACAGGAGAGTGGCAATGCGACAAGAATGAGATCACCAGACTAGTACACGACGACCAGGATGGGTGCGGAGGGGGTAGCTCAGCTAAGGTTGTTGGGTCGTTGTAGTTGGGTAATAGTTGGGTAAGTAGGTGGGTAGCTATGTGTATATTCTACCTCACTCGGATGGGTTCTCCCACGACCTAAGTGCCTAGGATGAGTCCTCCGTCTGGAAGAAGAGTTGATCATCAGGACACCTACCCAAACAACAATGGAGATGGGCACCGTGGCGCGAGCGACCAAGACAGCAAGTCTGTGGAACTCGTCGGGTGAAAGGGTCAGGTTCTAGAAAGTCGGTGGAAGAAGCGCCCTGTCGACCTTATTTTCAAGAGAGGCGGGTAAAGGATGGTGTCAAGTTCAAAGGGATCAAGTACAAGATGACCAGCACGGTACGGAGTAGTCAATAGCTGGAGAGCAAGACACGGAAGCAAAGGTTGGGGGGAGAATAGGGCCGATTTAATCCATCGCACCCCCAAGGAACAGGAAGAGAGCGAGGATGGCAAGATCCTCACCTCAGCAGTTACCTACACGGCAACCATGCGAGCCGAGCCAGTGATCTACTTCGGATGGCATAGAGAGACGGATAAGCCTGCAAGCTGTACTCTGTACTCCGGACAGATCATCAGATGGGCCAAGCATTCATCCAATCCGCCCAGGTGGGTCAGAATCTACTTACTACTGTGTAGGTCTTACCGTCTTACTTAGATACTACTATGACGGAGTAGACGGACCGAAGAGCTAGATAGCCCCCCTTCCCCCGGGGAAGGGGGAAAACAACTAGTAGACTCTGTGTGCAGTATGCAGTGTACAATGTCCACTGCACTCCGTCCAAGGGGAGGGGGAAAGACCGACCATCTTAACCTGATGCAGAAAGGTATCTTGCCTTTTGTCCAGCCAAGCCCTCTTCCCCTCCGACATAAACCCAGTGAAAATATTTATTGATCCGGTGGAGGAGAGAAAGAAAGGATAAAAAGAAAAGAGAATCAAGTTGAAAATGAAGGAGATACTCCGTCCGGAACACATAATAAGATAGTCAAATAAATCAAATAAGGCCAAAAACTTTAGGCGGGATGATCTGGCAATCAATGGTCGCCCACCTCCTGCAGGGAGGCGATAGTGAGATGTCTTCCCGCTTGGCTTGAATTCCGTTGGGGAGGCGAACTTCTGACTATCTACACAGTATTCCTATGCAGATTACCAACCAGGGAGGCTAATGTGGTCATTAGACAGACTAAGAACAGCCTGGTGAGCAAAACATGATAAAAGAGGCGAATCGTTAAAAGGAAGGCTTGTCCTGCTAGCATACTCCGTCCGGAGTCGGCAGAAAGGGAATAGGACAGTAAATACATTGGAACCCTCCCCGCTTGCCCCAGGATTTCTGGTCTGCCCGTCTTACGGTCTTGCCAACTGTCTCCTAGCATTATTATAATTTTTAGTCCCAGTTACTCCCCATAGTAGGTAGGGAACTTGGAAGGTCATCGGATCTGGACTGTCCCACTTGAGCCGAGACCCTGAGCAATCCATTCAGCCAAAACCACGGAGTACTTCAAAGACTGCAAACAGATGAGATACATAATTGATAAGGGGGGGGTAAGTCAAATAAATAAGTAAAAAGAATGGAAAAGAAAATAAAATTGGACCCGCTGGTCACGCGCATGTCAAAGTTCTTCTCACGACGCGTCAACCGGAGATCAACTGGCCAGTCGGGATTCTGGAAAGCCTCTGTAGTCTATCAGTGACTGCGTACCTGAGTCTCGGACTCTTTACTCCGGACTTCAGGCTACTAAACAGGTACTTTATACGGAGTACTGGAACTACTCCGGGAGTCGATAGTAGCGACCTGGGAGTCCCCGGTGCCTGAAAAGGTAGGCATGGCCGCTACTTACACTGCTATGTATACTCCGGTTGACCCCGGTAATTTTGTTAGTATGGCGGAGCGGTGTAGGGGGTTAAATCCTTCCAGCGGTAAGTTTTCTAGCTAACACCGCCTGCCTAATATAGCTAGCCACTGCGTTAAAGTTAAAGCTCATAAATATAAAAATAATAATATATTTTACTAATTCTTGGTATTTTAAAGATATCTTTTATTTCTAATCCTACCTCTCCTGAACCTACCTCTCTGAAAGTGAATTCAAAATACTTAACACGTAATAATTATATCCATGTTCTTACTTTTTATAATACTAGATTTATCTATTAATAAATAATTAATCAGTTACAGATTAGCTATTACTAAGTTCAATATACATATTAAAATTAATAAGCTATACTTTACAAAGTAAAAGACAATACATCAAAGCTTTCAGATAAAGAAGTTAATCATATTATATAATAGATATTAAATTCAAAGCGTACACGTTAGTTACTATATTATCATATTATTAAAGAACTTGAATTTCTTGTTGGAGTAATAGCTTTAACACATTCTCTAAAAAAAAGAGGTTATACATGCTATAAAGTATTTCAAAAACTACTTCTTACCCTAATAAATAAACAAGCAAGATTAGCCTGGACTTTTGAACACCTATATTAGACCCAAGATTAGTGGAATCGAATACTCTGGACTAATAAGACCTGGATAACTTTAGACTTTTATAAATAAATATACATAACTCGCAAGACTAGTAAGAAACTTGATAAGACCTATCTCTGTACAAATCCACCATGTAAATATAATTAAATATTTTAAATATCTTTCTATAGTAATTCCAAAGGGCCGTGCCTCTTTTGGGAGAAAGAATAGAATATTATTAACACTGAAGGTTATATTAACCGCATTATTCCTATTATTGATGGTTATATATGCTTGGTTGAATGCAATAAATATTAACAACTTCAATTAATATAAGATAATACTTCTGGTCATGCAAATAGAGCTACTATTCAAAAATTTAATAAGCGTGGGATCTTTCTAATATTTTAGCCAGCATTCTCACTAGATCTCAACCCAATTAAGGCCATTTGGAACTGGATCAAAGACTGGATTAAGTATTATTTCCCCCAGAATAAACAATTATCATATAATCAACTACGTAAGGTTATACGGGCTACGTGGGATACTTTACTAAAGACATTCTTAAATAGTTTAATTAATAGCATGCCTGTAAGATATTAAGCAGTAGTTAATATAAAAGATAGCTATATAAAGTATTAATAATCATGTTTATAAACAGTAGAATTAGAAAGATTTAACCCCCTGCACCGCTCCACCATACTAACAAAATTACCGGGGTCAACCGGAGTACGGAGTTTACTTCATCCGCAGATCATGGGAGACTCCCGGCAGGTTGCCCATAAGGCCGGAATATCAGTGGAATACGGAGTATATACACAGTAGTACTTTTATTAGGTATCTACTGTGTAGCTTGACTCTTTCACTCATCTCACCATCGGCCACATACTCTGCGGATTCATGGTTACAATTCCAGCATAGGTTTAGAGGATCGATGAGCTCCGGGGAGATAAACACCTTTCTCTAGGCGGGTCATCCGGAGGCAAGGGCTCTCCGCAAGCTACTAAGTATGTACTACCCGTACCTACTAGATACCCACCAGTACCGGCACCTGCTAGCATCTCACGCCATCCGATGTGGCCTGACTGCTCTGAACTACTTACTCCTTACTATGTACTCAAGATCCCGTCCCATAGCCCCCGGATCAATCATCGGGCTTATCTCTTCCTTTTCATCCTGATCACGAGGAGCTGAGGTCGATGGCAACGGCGAAGCCCTCCAGCCCTGCAGCACTCCCTGCCAGGTTATGCGGATGCCCACCTTATGTACGAAGTATACACTAATAATGATACCATAATGAATACGTGGCTCGACCTACCGATCCCTTCGCAGCCAGAGTCCGCCTGCGAACGCTATTCATTCCTCTTGGCGGCTTGGCCGGCCCCAAATCCATGCTGCTCATCCCTCTGCCAAGCCTACTGTGGGAAGAACCCCGGTGATAGACAGTACCTCTGTATGTAGTCAGCCTGCTCAGGTGATGGGTGTGGTCTTTCGCAGATCGCTCTGCTGGCAACCGTCCAGTCCACATATCTAGGGGAGCGATAGAGAGGGAGTCTTGGCAGCTGGCAGAAGGACATACCTATCGCTGCAGTTGTCCCTATGAGACTGCTGTATCCAAGGCCACAATGGTAGGCAGCACACGTACCTTACATACTCCGTACCTACTCTATAGTCAATACGAAGCATGGCTAGGCAATCATACTACCCCGTATATGATGATCGAATCTGATGTACGTCATACTAGCAGCAACAGGGAAAGATGGCCTTGACGGTACCATCTAAGATCATCTGAAAATCACTGATGGCGTACGTATTCACCTTTTTAGGCAAAAGGTTGGGCATGAAAGGCATGTCTGAGATAATTGGAGCATCACGAAGCCTGGAAGCCCATCGATAAACCAAGGGCAGAAGAAAGAGGTTCCATATGATGGTGTCTGGTATCGATTCCATACAATTCAAGTACCGGGCCATGCATGCTAGCTATCGGCCCAGACGATCATTTATGAGACCTAGTGATGCTGGGGTTTGTTCTCTCTGCTGACCTTCACTCCGAAAGGAAGCCGACCTACTTAGCTTCGAGGGGTACTTTTATGCTATTCTCGCTAACCAGACTGGATTTCTATCAAGCAATGAGAGTGTGCAAATAGGGAGACACTGTGCGAAAATCCTGCGCAGGAGGTTCACTTCTTTATATTCCTGGCTGCCAGCAGATATCCAACTACGAGGCAGCTAAAAGTTTGGAATTTGACGTCACTGACAGTAATCAGGTACACGTGCGGAGCGCACAATCGCACATGCATGTAATGATGCCGGCGGGGCGGTCATCAAAGAGCGTTGATTCTTATACCATAGTTCTTGCTGTAGGAGGCCATTAAAATTCACAAACACCCCGCCTTTACTTGAAAAGCTTGGAAACGGCGACTTCCTTGTCGTCGTGCTTGTTGAGAATCTTGGCGGTGGCCAGATCGAAATCCTCTTGAGTAACATGCACTCGCCGTTCTCGGAGAGCGTACATGCCTGCTTCCGTACAAACACCCTTCAACTCGGCTCCCGAACACCCGTTCATCTTCTCTGCAATCTTTGTTAGGTTAATGCCTCGTGTCAAGTTCATTGACCGCGAGTGGATTCGCAGAATATCCGCACGAGCTTCCACCCTGGAAAGAGTAACATGATTAGTAACCCGAGATAGGAGCCCTGTTCAAACCAGCGGTTGAGGTGATAAGGGGTAGGTAGCATCACAAGGGAGACTCACGAGGGCGGAGGGAATTCAATCTTCCGGTCAATCCGACCAGGGCGCAACAAAGCCGGATCCAGGATGTCGAGCCGGTTGGTAGCCATGATGATCTTGATGTTCTTGGTGGGCTCAAACCCATCCAATTGATTAAGCAGCTCCAGCATCGTCCGCTGCACCTCTGAATCACCCGAACCTGCCGAGTCTATGCGGCTAGATCCGATACTGTCGATCTCATCCATGAATATGATACTGGGAGCGTGCTCTCGAGCCATAACGAATAGTTCACGGACCATGCGACTTCCTTCACCGATGTATTTCTGTACAAGTTCGGATCCGCTCACTCTGATAAACCGGCAGTCAGTATGATGGGCCACTGCTCGGGCAAGCAGAGTTTTGCCGGTTCCTGGCGGCCCATAAAGAAGAACACCTTTCGGCTGTGCAATACCGAGCGACTCAAATAACTCTGGATGTTTTAAGCCGAGCTCAATGACTTCCTTGATTTCCTTAATCTGCTGGTCCAGCCCCCCAATCATGTCATACGTGCTGTCTGGTACTTTTTCTACCATCATTAGCGACACCAGCGGGTCAACCGACGAGGGTAGCATCTTTTCCAGCTTATAGGAATCGGAAAGTAGAGCGACCCGCTTTCCCACAGTAAGCTTGCTGATATCAACGCCATCCGCAATATCCACCACTGCAATGTCGCAAGAGAGGTTAGTAAGAGACACAGATTCAAGCAGGCAACGACTTCAGCTGAACGACTTAATGAAGGGCCTTACCGTATTTTCCTTCGGGATGCACTTTGACAAGAACCTTTTTGGTACTCATCACTTTGACTACCTCCCCGACATAAGAACCAGGCTGTTGAAGCAGGCCGAGTTCCTCTCGAAGTAAACGCACCCTCGAATTATAGTCGTTGCGCTGTGCTTCCAGTCTTCGTAAGACAGCCTGTCCCTGGATTATCTCGAGCTTCATGCTCTCGATTTTATTGCGATAATAGTTGTCGAGCGCCATGATGGATAGCCAGGAATGACGCTCCTTGGTACGGCCACGGCGAGACGTCAATCAGAACAGGATTTCGATGATATATGAATATGTGCGTTTGAGTCAAGGATAGCTGATATTTGCAATTTTATTTCCAAGTCTCAGAAGATATGAAAGAACAAGGGGGATGGGGTGAGTGGTGATGGCACCCGGCTAGAGAGCTGTTGCGGGATAGGTACCGCTGTTAGCTGTTAGTTTAGGTAGTAGGTGAGGTAACCACCAACTAGGGAGCTGATATCAGCGCCAGCCACAACAGACGGCCTAAGGCTGTATTATGAATCATGTGACGTAGCTTACAGCGCCGGTTCCCGTAGTACCAATACCGGTCGCTGCTGCCAGCCAATGATGATAACCATTTTGTCACCACACAAGAGTACTGCTACCGTAGTAGGTCCCCATCTAGGCATACAAGATAACATTCATTGATTCCGACAACGTAAGTATCCTGTCGTGAGAAACTGGAAGAACCTCCCCCGGGCACGTACTAGTGGAATGGTCTACGGAGTATAGCACTCGGTAATTCGGGGGTAACTGTCTGTAACGGGTATACATACATTACGGAGCCCATGAACGCCTCGACTAGATACGAATACTAGTAGTACAGCGTAGATACATAGTATGTATACTTGAGTATCGCCAGTCCCTGGTAGAGTGCATCGTCAGCTTCGAACGACGCCCTAAACAACCCGATATCAAGAGATCCACCCGGATATCTCTTGACTCATCTCACCCTTCGAAATCCTGGAGTTCCTCTCAGCGTGTCTGTGACCTGCATGTCAAAGGTCTCAGCTGACTGCGGGGATGCGAGACCTTATCTCATGATCTAACTAATTAACTAGCTGCTTTTCTCATTTCGCGCCTGCTCCTCAGCCCTCTCTCACCTTCGTCCGTCCTGGATTCCTTTCTTGGGCTTACTCCAACATGTAATTTGTTTCTTTGGTTCATGTGGTAAAACAAATATCTCCGTTGCTGTTTCAAGTGCAGGCCACTCTCTTCGCAGTGCTTCTCGAACCATTCTTTTCCTGGTACCCCCCAGCCTCCCTGTTTTTAAACCCTCCCCAAGACGGTCAAAGGGGGCTGGCAGAAAAGACAGTGCCAAGAAAACAAAGACCGGAAGAATCCGACCGACCATGTCCAATACCGACCAGATGGAGGATCAGGGCCCTTCCTATCCCATCGAGCCGTCCAATCTGGGTAGCGAAGATATGTCCTCGGGAACCCTCCGCCAGACCAAAAATGCGACACAATCGAGACGGAATTATGGTGCGATTGCACGCTCTTCTCACTCTCCCCGGCTAAGAAACTTATTCCTGGTGCAGGTACCTTAGAATCGCCCGCCAGGATGGACCTTGATTCCCATCCGGATGAAAGCCAGCCAGAAAGCTCGAGTCGGGTGCATACGACGTCCACCACACCTCTACCGTCGGACAGGCCGAGGAAGCCATCTGTGACACGCCGCATGTCCTCCAAACGACAGGTACCTCATAAAGGGCAAGAGTTTTCCACTGAGGACGATGTGCAGGAGGTAGAGGAGGATATTGCCCTGCAACAAGCGTCCAACCCCCCGCCGTCGCCTCGAATACGTCCCTTAAGAAAACAGAGCTCGACTCTGAGACGAAGACTCAACGCTCGCATTAGCAGCCCATTAACCCAACCAGACAGCGACAATGAAGGCGAAGAAGGCCCCAGCCTACCTGATCCTGTCACGGAAATAGAGCCTTCCGCTGAACAGTCTGAGAGCGGGAGCCATGATGATGACGATAAAAACGATGAGGATGAGGCAGAGTCTAGTGATGCGGAAAGCTTCACCTTGAAGGATCGCCAGCAGGCGATCAATGAAACGCATCCATTTGGGATAAGGCTTTGGAAACCTGCCTTGTACAAGAAGAGTCGCTCAGTGGAGAAGACTGCTGAAGGCGATATTCATTCGTCGCCTGGTGGTCGCGTGGGCAACTTGCTGTTCCTGACCAACCTTCTGTGGACAGTGTTCTTCGGATGGTGGCTAGCCTTGGCTGCGCTTACAGGCGCTGTCGCTTGTTTCGTCTTCGCATATTCACCCAGTGCAGTAGAATATGGACGGGTCTTCTCGGGACTTTCTTGGTACTTGATCTATCCTTTCGGTTCCTTCGTCCGCCTTGACACGGACGAAAATTACGCCGAGGAAGACGAGGGTGAAGGCCGCAGCATTAGCGAGTACGAACAGTGGCAGAACGGTGACCTCGAACATGGCCGGCTGTTCTTCGGCCCTCGACGCAACCGGTCCCTTGTCGGGAGGAGAAGAAGTAGCGTCGACTCGGCCAGTGAGCAGGATAGTCTTTTAGGGCGAGCACAGAGGGGCAGCCCGCGAGAGAATCCACTCAGCCATCCCAAGCGGCGTTTATTCGGCCGCGGCGAGTGGACGCTTGGCCGCGTCGTATTCTTCGTCTTCTTCTACTTTCTCGTAGGACCTCTAATGCTTCTAGTTTCGCTTCTCTGCTGGTTACTTGTCTTCTGGATCCCCATGGGACGCGTGACCATTATCCTCTTTGACCACCTTCGTCGTCACCCTTTGGCCTTGTCATATCATTCCGACACGACCTACACCAGGCTAAGTCCCGGGTCTTCCTCATCTATCCTGTTATGCACTTATCGCGCAGCGGGTCTGAGATATTGGAAGTATACTGTCGGCGGAACGAATATCTTCTTGATCAATCTTCTCGGTGTTGTATTATTTGTCATTATTGATTACTTTCTTCTCAGTGAGACGCTGGGTCTCCAAACTGCGATCACCCACCCAGGCTTTATTTTCACCCTTGCCCTCGTCTCAATTATTCCGCTGGCCTACTTCATCGGGCAGGCCGTTGCATCGATCTCTGCTCAATCATCCATGGGCATGGGTGCGGCTGTCAATGCTTTCTTTTCAACCGTAGTCGAAGTCTACCTTTACTGTGTTGCATTAACTGAAGGCAAAGGTCAACTTGTGGAGGGCAGTCTTATTGGTAGCATATTTGCGGGCATTCTGTTTCTCCCTGGTCTCTCCATGTGCTTTGGCGCCATTAAGCGCAAGACTCAACGGTTCAATGTCAAATCTGCGGGTGTCACGTCGACAATGCTAATGTTCGCCGTTATTGCGGCATTCGGGCCCACACTCTTTTACCAGATATACGGCAGTGTAAGTGCCACTTCCCACTTCATGTCTCAGTGATCTGCTACATACTGATCACGTCTTGTCTAGCACGAACTTAACTGCCGCTTGTGTGTTACCACAGTCGGAACCGAGGACAGTGATTGTCGTCGCTGTTATTTCTCTCAAACGCCGGCCGTTAACGACAGTTTTTTCCGGAAGGCGGTCCAGCCATATTCGTGGTTCGCTGCACTATTCTTGTTTCTGTCCTATGTCATCGGATTGTGGTTCACCCTTAGGACCCATGCTGCCCTCATCTGGGCTACGGAAGTAGAGGAGAAAAAGGCTGTAGCCCTCGCAAACGAGCAAGCTTCTTATGAAGCAAGACACGGCGACCTTCCTCACCTCTCGGCTGGTGGTACCGGGGGATCCATCACTAAGGGCTCTGTTCGGGATTCGCAATTGTATAAGCGTATCCTGGGGCAGTCCCTCAAGCAGGTTGGGCTGTCCGATAACCCCACTGACTATACTATTGCTCAGTCAGACTCGGCCTCCTCATTGCATGGCAAAAGCACGACGCCATACCTTGTACCTCCTCGAACGGAAGGCGACGATAGCAACTCGAGGCTGAAGAGCTTCGGTGGTTTGTCTAACGAAGACAATGAGAATCTTGTACGCCAGGTAACGGAGGTTGCAGCGACAGCTGCTGCTGTTGCCGCCCGTGATGCGGCCCGAACGAAAAAGCCTTTTGTTCAACAAGCTGCCACACGCCAAGCAAACAAAGGTCCCGCTGATCAAGTGAAGGTTCTACTGGAGGAAAGTGAGGATATTGGGTTGGAGCCTGGCAATGCCAGCGGTGGCCATGATGCGCCCAACTGGAGCAAGGCTAGGAGTTCCATAATTCTCCTGGGCGCTACTATTCTCTATGCCATCATCGCCGAGATTCTTGTAAACACCGTAGATGTGGTACTGGAAAGTGTCGACATCGACGAAAAGTTTCTTGGGATTACGCTTTTTGCCTTGGTTCCCAACACCACTGAATTCCTGGTATGTGCACCTCGAGTACTTCATGTTGATTTAATTATGTTAACTCATACTCTTTGCTGGCAGAACGCTATCTCCTTTGCAATGAACGGCAATATCGCGCTGTCCATGGAGATCGGTTCAGCCTATGCCCTCCAGGTTTGCCTTCTGCAGATCCCCGCTCTTGTTCTGTTTAGCGCAATATATGCCCGAGTTCTCGATCCGTCTCAGTTGCTAAGCCATACATTCAGGTATGTGTGCCCGTCTTTTTCCATTCAGGCAAATCCATAGGCACGATATTTTGCTAACGTCGCTTTCTCTACAGCCTTATTTTCCCCCAGTGGGACATGGTGTCGGTAATACTATGTGTGTTTCTCCTCTCCTACGTACACGGAGAGGGGAAAAGCAACTACTTCAAGGGTTCTATACTCGTCCTCACCTACCTTGTGGTTGTGATTGGTTTCTATCTATCAGGCTACAGCAATCTGGAGACCATGGGCATCGATCGCTTTGATACATTGGCCCTTGGCTCGGGCGCAACCGAGAAGTTTTACACAATCGGTAGGTCCAGGAGTGGGAGGGCATTTTGAGTGAATACCATTTCCAGTCCTCCTCTCTCCATTTTTGCCCCAGATTGGAAGAATCTTTATGCTCCTTGATGCGCTGAAAATACTACCCACATATCGGGTTTTGAGGCACATGACCCGGTGGCAAAACATGTGCATGGCTGTTACGACCTAGAGTCTGACAAGATTGCCCAACAGCTTTGCGTACTCGTTGGGGTCTTATGGAGGATGTATATCTGCCACATCGCTGAGTTTGTATAATTAGACCCATTGTATTCTGGTATTCATGGCCTGTTACTATCTATCATACAGTGCTGTCTTTCACTCAATTTACGGCCGTCATGCTCTATCCCCTTCATGACACTACTGAAAAGAAGCCATAATCCTCACCACCCATTATTCAATAGCGAGAAATGACAGGGAAGACGTAAGTCCCCAAAAAGCCAGATTGGAAAGGCAGGAGGGGAGGGGGCGAATAAGTCATCAGTCAGGACGAGAAGAGGACTTCCACGAGCCTACTGCTTGATCTACAAGGGCCCGGTACTCTTGCTGCTTGTAACACTGCTCCAAGAAGACCTTGTACTTGGCGTTGAGCAAGGCCTTCTCAGTGTCATCACTCGTCGCGACGACTTTCTTCCCCGGCTTGCTCATGCGGTCCATGATCTCCCACAGGTCCTCCGTCTTGCCTTCCGCATCAGCACTAGCAGCTTTGGCACCCAGCATGGCTGCACCGTGGCAGACAGCTGCATGAATATAACGAGGTATAAGTACAGGCATGTCACACGCGGATGCAATCAGCTTAACCAAGATGTCATTTTGGCACTGAGAGCCCGACATGAAGATGGAGGTGATGCTATGGCCAGCTTCGTTCATTGTCTCCACGATATGCCTGGTCTGGAGCGCAATGAATTCGAGCGTGGCATAATAGTAAATGGCGAGGCCATCCACAGACTTGTCACTCGTCAGGCCGACAATAGATCCCGTCATTCCCGAATCCGCGATAGGAGAGCGATTGCCCCAAAGATCGCCGTAGAAGAAAAAGTGTCGACCTAGATAGGAAATACTAGGAGCCTTTTGATCGTGAGCCATTTCCTTCAGGTGTTCGTTTAGATACTCGTAAATGTTGGCATTGTACGATTCAGCGATCGAGACCGCCCGGTTGAATGCTGGGTGAGTCTCAATAACATGCTTCAGCAATTCTCCAGTTGCAGACTGGCCACCCTCAGCCATCCAATAACCCGGCTGTATAGTATCGCGGTAGGGACCCCAAACACCTGGAACGAAGATTGGATCTGGGGACATTGCTAAATGACATGTTGATGTTCCGGCGACGGCGGCCAAGCGAGAGAAGGCCTGTGTCTTGTCATTCTTGGCGACATCAGAGCTCAACTGATCCGACTCCAGATCAACTTTAGCGCCAACTGTGCCGATCCAACCCGCATATGCATCAATAACGCCGCTGCCAATTGCAATTCCGGGAGGTAGACCCAGCTCTGAGGCAGCTTTGTCACACAAGGTGCCAACAAGTTCACCGGCGCTAAGATAGTCGCCGTTCTGAAGCACGGGTCAGCAGTCAATAACAGGGTAAAAGAGGCAAGTTGATCTTGTAAACAGGAAGACACATATGCATGACGAGAGATTTGAAGGAAAAAGGCTCACCACCCCGTCGACACCCCCCATCCGCTTGAAGTCATCCTCCAGCAGATCTTCCAAGCCGATTTCTGTCAGAAAGTCTTCTTGCCAGCCTTTGACGCTGCCATCCACACCGACAGGGACATAGCCCTGCTTACAAACGACGCTGCAGAAGCTTCTCTTCTCAGCGCCAGTGGCAATGTGAGTCAGCGCGTCAGCCAAGTCATAAAACTTACATTGGTCAAAGAGGTCTTTGGGCATATGATTTTTCAGCCATAGGACTTTAGGTATCTCCATCTCGAGGGACATCTTCCCGCCAACATAGCGTAGTAATTTATGGTTCGTGGCATTGATTTTCTCAGTTTCCTCCACGGGCCGATGGTCGAGCCAGAGGATCACATTGCGATCCGAGTCAAAGTTGGGTCCCGTCACAGAGATAGGTTCATCTGTAATATTGGAGAACACTGACAATGAGCACGTCGCATCAAACCCAATCCCCCTCACCGTCTCTGGATCAATATTGTGTTGGCTGACTGCGCGCTGAACTGCCACGCAGATGCATCGCCAAATATCGTTCGTAGATTGTTCCTAAAACGATGAAATTCAGTCACAGGGTCGTATGTGGCTGGGTGGAGGAGACGGGGGCCAGAAATCTCCAGCGGTCTGACCTACATAATATCCTTGCTGGGGTTGCCAAAGACCGATGTTTTCGGAGGCTAGGCCAACAATATCCCCCTTACTGTCGACGATACAGGCACGGGCACTGCCAGTTCCAACATCAATGCCAATATAATGATCTATGTGCACTTGTATCTCGTCCCGCGTGTCCATAGAGGCCTGCCTAGAACCCTGCCGAGAGGGGCGACGATAAGGCATTTGGGCCACAGAAGCCATATTGCGAAGGAGACAGCGAGAGACACTAGGGCCCCACCAAGGTGGTCAGTTTGAGAATTAGCATGAGCATGGTGAGGGTGGGAGCAGAGGTAGATGGATCTTTAAACAAGTGATAGGCTCGGCCGCAAACAATCAAACGCCTCAAATAACATGGACCTGGACTTACAGGAGGACCTATATCGCTTTCTGTGATCGTCGGAAACCCCCAGTGCCCCCAAAGGAGAAAATGCCTGTTGAGCGGGTGCAAATCGAGGTGCAACTGGGATTTTGGCGGAAGGAACAGGGGAGGAAGGCGGTTAAGAGAAGTTATATGGAGGGCATGGCATGGACAAGCTCAGGCTTCTCCGGCGGCGGGGGGGGGAGCTCCGAATGACAGCATAGTCTGCGACTTTGCATAGATACTAGATAGTACGGAGTATCTAGCTACTCCGTAGATGGTACTGGATGACTAGATCCCGCCCTAGACCCACTCCTCCCCGCGACTCGAGGGTGAAATGTTACATAGGCTAGTACTCCGGATGTATGGCGCCCCAAGTATGTACGTGACTGGGTAGGTCGTTGTACGGTTGGGTTCACGTCTCACATATCCACGGACAGGCCTCCGTCTCCATGGTGTCTCAAGTACGGAGTGGGTTCATTGCTACCCAAGCCGTTCGAGGAGGGGGTTTCCTACGAAGTACGATGTACATGGCAGATCCAGGTGATCCGAATGGCTTTGACGGAACGCATCCCGCTTGCATATAGTAAGGGATCCCCCGGTCTTTAATCGGCTTGAATGGACGTCTTTTGCCCTACTAGGCACCATGTACTGTGTACTCCGTACATAGTTCCTATACTTTGTAGGGTGTAGGCTGAGGCGGGAAGGAAAACCAAACTCCGCGCCAAGATCCTGCCGCATCTCTCTAGAAATAAGCTAGCAGCTACTACTACCTATCTAACTCTTCCATTCAAGTGAAGAAGGCGAAGATAACGACCGGACGAGAGATTGATCTGCGATCCAGACTTCCTGTTCTCCCATCGCTCCTCCGGGCTTGGTTCTCGCTCATCTCACCTTTGACCCCTCATCCCGAGGAGCGTCCTATCTCGTCAATCAAGATCAAACTGTTGATGCTGTTCAGTGGAAACCATGCGACCGTGTGACTTCAGCCTTCTACCTCTCTTCTCTCTTTTCTTCTCTCTCTCCGCGGCAACCTCCTCACCTACCCAACCGCTGTCAGCCGAGATTTTATGCTGGCCCGTGTCTTCCCAAGAGCCTACCATACTCGCCCGCGTCTCTTACGGGTCGTCCGCCCTGCAATCGGAGCCGGTCTCCTATTCAACCCTCCCGATTACAACTTGCGGGGATTATGAGTCACAGGATGCATCTCAGGACTTGATTCGCTTGGGCTTGTACACCACCACATCCACAAATACCAAGCAATGGGTAGGCACACTCGCGTCGCGGTCTTCATTTGCAGGAAACGGGGACCACGGACCAACCCTCCGGCTCCATATCGGTCCATCCAACGAGATCTACTATGTTGACTTACTACCCTCAATCTCGTCGGCAACTTCTTCAACTCCAGTAAGGCCTCAATTAGAGCTACTCTCGAATCAAGCCGGTTCACGCCCACATCTCAATCAACCTGTCATACTTGGCCCAGATGGTACGAAGGCGGAGGAAGTTGCTGAGAAATCTCTCTTTCAAAAGTAAGTCCCTCCTGTCGTCTCTGACTCTCCGCTTAGTGACCCGGCTTACCCCTGTCGTCCGAGCTGTGTTATCTGACGTTTGCTCAGGTATTGGTGGCTCTTCCTCATAATAACATTTTTGGCAATGTCCGGCGGTGGGGAAAGCCAGTAGATACTCTGCAGAACCTCTGCACACCAGAACTCCTTTACATGGAGTAACTAGCATTATTCTGCCAATTCTCCTGGTAGTGTCAGATTTATATCAACTTCGAGAAAAAATAAATATGCGCAACACTGTCAAGTGTTTTTTGTTCAACTACGTCTCCAAAGTCCGGCCTCTCGTTACACTCCAGCTCCAGCACGGCAGGAGATTGATAAACACCTTTTAATATCAACTATTAGCAAGCAGGTTATGTGGGACTATAAGTCCTATCTGTCTTTTGTATATGTTTCTGCAGATTTTATGCGCCTTAAAAACGTCAAGAAAGTAACAAGGCGACCAATCCAGAACAGAACATCAAACGGAATTCCCCTTATTCTGTGCCTGCTCATAGCCTCCATCCAACTCAACGGCTTTCGAGATAGGCCATCCTTTGGGTAATGGGCGGCCATGTCTATACTTAAGGTAAGGGGGTGAGAGATAGCCACGTGCCAAGAGTTATATCGTACGATTATGGTACTATTTCGCAGTCGGTCGTGTTGTCCTCCGCTCAGTATCCGAATGAGACTGTCATGGTTGCACAAATTATTTTTTATTTTCATGATTGAAGGTGGACAATGGCTGATGTCACATAATTCCTAACCGTTCTGGGGTATCATAACCTGTTCCATTTATTTGTTTTTTTCCTATCCCCCCTCCCGCCATATTATCCCAAGTCAGGGTGAGTTCCAAAGCTCAGTCGATGGGTCATTCTGTATCCGCCCCCAGACGGGCTGAGATTACAGTACATCAGACCTCTGTCTGTAATGGCGATCAGTTCGTTTTCATCCTGACCGAAGTACAGCTGAAAGCAGACAGCGTCGAGGGATAGTACTATTGGTCGCAACTCAATCACTTCAGAGCTTGTTGGCCAGAACGAAGGTGGGTAGAATCCGGTTGTATTCTGTTCTATCAGCGCGTTCGGCTCCAACGCCCAGACATAAACAGTTTTCCAGTCTGCGACAGCAATCCTTGTCCCTAATCTGGACGCAACAACTATGCAGCCGAGGGAAGTGTTTGAGTTCTGGAAGCCCCAAAGACGACCCACGATTGTCCAATCCGTCAACCGCCGCCCGCGCTCGAGATGTAGTACATGCTCACAGTTACTGGCCCGACAAATCGCACTGGATCTCATGAGGCAAGCGACAGTCCAGTCTTCTTCGCGGTGGGTGGCTATCCCAAAAGAAAGGTATTTCCAGTGGCACCTGGCGAAGCCATCTTGGAGCCGGGTTTCATGTGTTCCATAGAAGGGTATTCCAACGCAAAATAGCAGAGACAATGAATTTGTAAGCTGCACGGGGCAAGAATTCTCGTACAATGTAGGCCGGATTGGGAAAAAAGACGTATCAATTCTTTGAAACGAACCGTACAAAGTTTGTGCGCGGTGACGATAGAGCAGTTGGCTGGATCTGTCATTGAATGCAAGTCCCACTACAGGACCTTTCTCATGAAGGTAACGGCTCCGAGTCAATCTGGACTGGAGACTCCTGTCTTCTTCAAGTTGCTGTCTCCTCCCGTCCAAAAGAACGCAAGGACTGTAGCTAAATTCTGGGCCCCGTCAGTATAAGCAAATCGTCCGGCGGAATATCTATGTCCTGATGGAATAGGGAAACAAACCGATGGCCCCTGACTTCTCAGATCTGTTTACCTCGATGAATGAAGTGTAAATCACCACTTCGTGTTCGCTACAATCGTGAATATGCCGCCAGGAGATGGCAAAGCTGCCCCTGTGCGCAGCCGCAAGCGCTAGAGGCTCATAGTTTGCATGGTCAGGGAAAGCACACATTCGGACAGGCTCCTCTGGAGTCCTGAGAGAGTGACGGGAGAGGTACAGCATTCCATTGGCGTTGGACCGCATGGCTTCTCTGATAAATGGATGATTTACATTCGTATCCTTTTCATCCGCTGCAGGCATGAACCGATGAAGGACATAAAGCGCACCTTCTCCATCGAAGGCTGTTTTGAGAACTTCTATCGCTCCCAGCTGGTCACACGGTGGAATAATTATACCTTCTGGTCGGAGCTGACCACTTCCAATGTGAAAGAGATGGACCTTCCCCCGACCACGAGTGACAAGAGCGAGGATTTGGCGGTGGTCAAACCCGGCAGACGTGGAAGCTCCGGCATCAAGAACATCGTTTCCGAAATCGAATATCACACGATTCGCATGATATTGCGCACCATATAGTTGTCGAAATGCATACTTGATTAATAATCGGAAGAGTTGTTTCGAGCTGAGAGACTGGATGTCCTGGCTGGGAGTTCCCGGTGTCCGCTGCAGGTGGTGCAGAAGAACCTCCCGGCAAGTGGAGGCGACTTCATAGACAGTCCGACAGGAGAAAGCCACCTCCAAAAAAGCATGCGTGCTGCAATTTTGAAGGACGAGCTGAATCAATTCAGGGGGGAGGTTTAGGATCATGGCTCCGAACTCAAATATCGTTCGAAAGCCGAAGGCTGGGTGATGGGTTGGAAAGCTTGACCGGCGTTACTCGGAGAATCAAACTGAGCTTGCATTAAGTCGATTTGTAGTAGTAGCAGATGCTTCAATTCTGAGATGAATGTCAACATTATCGTAAGCAGCCCGGAATAGCTGTTGGATTGTCTGCTGTCATTAAATAGACAAGATCCAAGGCAGCAACCGCCGCGGCCGCCGTTGCCTGTTGTTGCCTGACCATCAACAACTTGTCGGTCCACTCCAGAAGTTTCAAGTCATACGACTGTTTGCCTTATAGCAATAATTTTTCAATAGAACTAATGGGTTACCGATGTTGAAATGGAAATCACCGGGTGCGTACTAAACGTGGAGGAGGACAAACTAGGCATTCAAGCATAGTATACACCACATCCACTTCGGAATCAATCGAGCTTTTGGCCAAGTGTTGTATACACTGCCTTTCTAGGTATGTGAAATTGTACGGCTGGGCATGGTTATCAACTAGGATTGAGGGAAGAACGGAAGCAAGCAAGACGGCAAGAGAAGGGAGGGAGAAAACCACTTTTACAATTTACCATGGTGTTTGGAATGATTAAAGGAGGGTTTTCCGATACATGGAAAAAATGAATGGGAACAAAGTAATGGTTTGCTTTTAACCTGGTGCATGTACTCCAGGCACTTTGGCGAAGGACAGCACGAGACATACCCACAAAGGGCAGAGTCAACTAGAAAGCTCAATTGCCAAACCTTTCAACTAAGCAGATGATATGATGACAAATATATCCAAACCGTCTACCAACATCATTTGACACCTTCGGCATCTAATTATCTAGTAACAGAAGACCTTTCCGCATCCCCCTATATCATACTATTTCTCCATTTGGGCGGTTGTCCATTCCAAAATGCTCTCATAGCACAAAACAAACTGGCTGAGGTTTTGCACCATGCTCGGCCTTTGTGTCCGAAAGTCATCTACCGTTTTCTCGATGAGGTCCACATTGTCAGTCTCGATCCATTGATGACCAGGCAAATTGGTATCCGAGGTAAGTGATGCACGGCGTTGCCGTTTCAACATGTCCAGCACGCTATCCACTGTGCAAAATGTACCAGTGCGGCCACATCCTGCGCTGCAGTGCACCAGTACCGGTCTCTGGTTTCCCAGCCCTTCGTGCAAAGTGATATTCGGTCCAGTTGTTGCGGCTATGACTTTATCACACTGTTCAATGAGTTTAAGGAGATGCGTCGGCTGAGATGTGGTCCCGAAGTCGGGCCAATGGGGATATTGTAGTTGCGTCACTTCACGCAAGGGTTGAAATGGGAAGGCCGAGTGTGACAAGCCAAAATGTCTGACAATGATATAAGGATTGCTGGGATCCTCTGGTTTGTCGAGCTCCATATCAGTTGGCTGCGGATCCCGAGAATCCAGGTAAATGAGTTTCTCGGAGAAATTGTTGACCTGACAGAGTCCATAGTTCCCAGACTCCCAATAAGGGTGACACTTGACCTGGCCTCGTTCAACCTCTGCAGTCAAGGAAACAACCAGTCTAACATCCTGTTCCCAGACCACGCGCCAAAAGTCCTATAATATATATGAGCAACGAAAGGGAAGAGTTCTCTTATTTCCCCGGCGGCCAGAAATATTGCCAAGCTCTTGGGAATGGTTTCCAACTTACATTGAATGTATCAGGGACCGGTGCCTGAGTAGCTATGTAAGATTTACCACTATAAGCTGCTTTCATATGGTTCGCGTTCACGTAGTCGCAGCCTCCCGGCGTCACATTCTGCAACCTGACTCTTGAATGCTCGAACGGGTAAACGTCGTTATATCTATTCTTTGTGCCTTTTTCGATTCCCGCGACGCGAAAGGTTTCCGAGGAGCCACCGACTATAGCGGCATCGGCAGATTTCTCGTAAGACAATGCTCTTTTCATACGTTCTAGCTCCTTTCGTTCAAGACCTAGGAATCGTTCTGAAACTTTGCGGCCTTTATCCGTGGACTCTGACACTTCACGTAGCCAAGAAGGGAGTAACCGTCTCCGTGATTCTGACAGATTGTGCGGGATTTGAAGAGGGATCTGACCGACCCCGCCGATGAGGTCCATATGCTGTCGTATGTTCCCAAAAAAAGGAATTGCAGCATGAGATGACTCCGGCAGAGCACATCCACCAACAACCGGGGCAACCGACGGAAGATTCATATGCATTCGTGAGGGCTTCCCCGCGGACGAATCAGGTACTCGAGCCTGTTGTCCTCGAATGAGAGTGGGAAAGCGAGATGCGAAGACCTTGAAGCCACCAAGTAGTATTAACCCCTCGCCTTTCCAGCCTTCCACGGTAAATTTCTTTAAAACATTGGCCAGCGGTCCTGCATCCTTCATGTCAGACGTGGCAGCATCAAAAACCACTATATAGCGACAGGTCCTCCATCGTGCGAAGTTCCTCTTGTCGAGCTCGTCCGTGAAAGTGTTTGTTAATTTTTGCGTGTCGAAGGAAGGGCGCTTGAGGAGGGTTGTCGGAATACAAAGATTCAAAGACCCTTTGATTGTCCCGTTCGCGAAATGCGCATAAGGCCGCACATCCAACAGCATGGTATCACGGAAAGAAGATCCAAGCAACTCTGCGCAGCGCTCTGCTGAAATGGCGCAATCGTGTGTAGATGCCTGTTGCAATGGAGGAACATCCTGTCGAGGAGGGATTGGGCCTCGTCTCGGTAGGCCAGGGTTCCAGGAGAGCCTGAAGACCGCCGATTCTTTGTGTTCATCCTCAATCCCTTTTCCAGTTTTCGATAGACTCGCATAATCCTCAAATGTTTTATTTTTGGATAAAAGCTGTGTTTTCGGGTTAGATATTTGGGGTTGAGCGTATGGCAATGCTTCCCGAGTTCTCCTAGCATTGCCGGGAGTTTCCACGCTGATAGAGAAATAATTGGGACCCGATCGTTCTGGAACCGCATTGTGTGAGCCGATACCTTGCCCCAGAGGAGACGAATGAGGATCGCGCAACGAGAAAAGAGCTGACGGAGTCGAAGAGCTTTCAAGCTGTAGGTGGTTCTGGCACTCCGGAGGCCATGGGGATGTAGGTGATCTTGTACCTGTCATGGCAGACATGATTTCAAATTCCCCAAATTGTCAGTCTACCTTTTGCTTTCCCAGTGTATAAATATCACGTTCACATGGAGATGTTCTTTGCCATCGCGAGACTGAAGCAATCCCCCACGTTCAAGGTCCGGGTCAGCAATCCTGGAAAATGTGTTTCCTTCAACCACTGATGGGACAGACGCACTGCTCTTTCATAAAGTATGCACTCTGGTTTGTCTCAGCTTATTTAGAGAGATCCAGTAGCTACTCATCGAAAGCGTGAATGCGTTTTCTGGATGAGGATGCAGGTTGGTGGAGGAACGGTCGCCAACTTGTCTTTGGAGGTTTGGGCTGAATCAAGGAGGCGACAGGTCGGACACAGCCTGAAAGGGTGGAACAGAGGGGCAAATGTAAACGAATATGAGCAGGCGGCCGTAGCGACACCGTCAAAATAGCCTGGTGAGATGCAAAATCTTAAAAGTTTCTAGTGAGATAAAGTGTCCTAATGAAAAGCTGTGATAGTTCCAGTGAGGAAAGCCTTCCGCTATGGAGACCCCGAGTTACCAAGATACCGAAGAGTATGTATGAGAACTCGCGTTCTTCTGACCAGAGCCACAGTCGGTAGAATCCCACGCCTCACACAAGGGGCCTAAAGATCGTGCTTCGGCAGAATTTCTGAACCAATGGAAGTCTGAGGAAGAGAAAGTGGGGGACAGAGGGGTTTTGGCTGATATCACTGATCCACAGCCATCGTTCCAGCACCGAGAGGATAGGGGGCCAACAACCGAGCAGGCTGTGTGGAAGAGCGAATGGCTGGTGAGGAATACGGAGGGAACGACGTCGTTCTCTGGATATGACGTTATGGGGTGGGTGGCAGAGGTTCGGAAAGCGGCAAAGTGTGCAGAGCGACTCATTACCCATGCAGCAGCGGCCGGTCTGGATCGCTCAGAGCCACCAGGAACCGGGAAAGGGTGTGGCAAGTCCATCATAAAACCAGCCCAGGGAATCCTAATATCTTGAGGGAAGGCGACAAGCCAGAAACAAAGCTCGCAGGAGCTGGTAAGGTGTTTGATACGTGCTGCTGATACTATCCAAAGAAGGTAGAAACAGCACACACAGAGTCATTTATTGTACAGAATGCAAAAGAGTCTTTTTAAATAAATAGGTGTCGGCTGCCGCGCTGCCACCTCAATTTCTTATTCTACGCAGAACTCCCCATCTCCCTAGATCTCTAATTAATAGGAAGGACACCGCTGTCTCCCCACACTCACCTACCATGCGATCTTCCACCGATCAATTAGTTGATAATTCCGCCAGATCATTGATAGTAAGCAGGCGTAGAGTCATGGCCTCCCTTTTTAGTGGAGCGGATCCTGCTCATGTACCATATAGGTAGCTTACACTGATAGGAGGCGACGAAGCCTCACCGAGAGCCTGTTGGGCCGGCTTTATGAAGTAGTAACCGAGTACTCCGTATACATAGTATACTACTCCGTACGTAATATCATACTTTGCAGGTAGTGGATGTACGAAACGATCCCCATGTAGTTGCCTATGTTAGTACTCACCAATGCTGCCTCGCACTCAATAAGACAGACACTTGACCCTGTGATTTTAGTATGTGTTACTATGGTGACACTAACTGTTGGTTTTGCCTCAAGCTCGAGCCATGTGATGTGGCAGCTGGTGGTCTTCATGATTAGCCTGTAGAACATCCAGGACATGCCAAGGTTTCCTTTTTAAGTAGGATACGCTACCCGGTACTTGTCAGTCAACATTCTAAAATGCGCTGCCCAGATATGCTTGTTTTGGTCAAGACAACCGAGATATTAGTACAGGTCAGGTGTCTCGAGTCAACAGATGCACTGCTAAGACTTCTATAGACAGTGCTCCCGTACACAAGTTCGTGCTAACTGCCGCTTATAACAAACTAAATTTGCAGGTATTGATACAATAGGTAATAAATCCGCTCTTTAAGGGGGCGACCTTATAGAAATCATTTAACAATCAGTAATTATCAACATCGAACTGGATCGCACATGCATTCATACATAAGATGGTGACCATCCTCACATTTCATATATGCAGCTACAGATAAGTTTGATCTACCACTGAAGGACTTCTGTAAGAAAGGCCGAATTTGTGAGGCTGCCGACGACTAGAAGGGTATATATCAGCATGGTGATAGAAGCACAAGTGATGTATCTCAAAGCTTTCCATCAGGTTCGCCTTTGAATCGCTGTACTCGTTTCTGTTCCCAGTTATCAAGGTCTTTGGCCATGAGGCGCTGCAAAAGTTGTAACGAATTAGCTGATAATCCTCTTCCATGACAGCCATGTTACACAATACTTAGGTGACTTGTGTATACTAACATAATACTCTTCCCTTTCGTCTCCAATAACTCTTCTTCGGGGATTTCGTTTAATGCCCTCTTCACCATCAGGCCCTTTGAGGCCCAGGTTGATCGCTTCCTCTTGACTTAATTGTTTGACTTTGCGGTCGTACCGCTCGTACCTTAAAGCGGCAGCCGGGGTTAGAGCAAAAGATCCGGCGACTATGATCATAATGAAAGGGAGCCCGAAGAGCAAGAATGGGCGCTTAGGTAGGTGAGCCCGGTAAGCTGCACCAACCCTTTCTCCAAGGGTAGATGATGCCGTCGTCGCACGTCGAAACGTCTTGGCTTGGAATACTGGCATTGTAGTGGCAGGTATCTAGGTCAATTGATAAGTCGGGCTGTCCCCCAAACAGATAGTTGAAACCGACTACCTTAGTCCCGGAAGGGGCCAAAATGAGGGAGAGATGGCCTTACAATCGGCGAAATGCAAATGTAGCTGGAGATGCTTGCGATGCTTGCGACGCCACTTCTGCGGGAAGGGCGAGAACAAAGCTCGGCAAAAAAGAAAGTCCGACATACCTACGGAATCTGGCAGTGCACGCCGAAACTGTTTATCGACATGAACTCGATGAACAAACTCGCAATTACAGCTTCGGTGTTCGTCTTACCGGCCCTTTTTTCCTCCAACAGCGAGTATCTGCAGTCATCAAACGTGCGCCAAGAAGACCCCATGCTATTAATTACTTGTCTAACATTATCTACAGTGTGTTTGGAGACAGTTAAATAAGTAAAAGGCATAACTACCCCATACTTTCTAATGGCCTCCACAAACGCCAGCACTCTCTTTGGCGGGGCTGGCTTAGGGGCTACAGCGCAATCAGCGAGCATCTTTGGAAACACGTCTAAGTCACCGGCCCTTACAGGCGGAACCAGCTTCGCAAAGCAGCCACAAGTACCACAGCAACCTACTCCGAGCTCGGTCTTTGGACAGAACCAGACGCAAGTCAATGCAGCACAACAATCTGGGCAAACGACTCAGCCTGCGTTTTTCAATAGTCTCTTAGAACGCGGCAAGAAGAGACCTATCTCTGCAATTGGCCAAAACGGCAACTACGAGGACCTGCCGAGCCTTCAATTGGGTCTCGACGATATTCGCAGGAAAGCTCGAGAACTCGGTGCTGGAGGATCGAAAGAATTCCAACAGCATGTACCACACAGCAAGGCGTAAGTGGATCTTCCTGCAGCCGATGAATGTGCTTCTATCGAATCCCTGCTGACTTTTGAATATGCTCTTCAGTCACTATTTACTCGCTGCCTCCGGAGTATCACCTGGTCATGCCTTACGGGATCTCAAAGCTCTGGATCCCCAGGCATCGGTAGCGACAACACAGAAGGAACAAGATCTCTTTGATCCAGATAACCAAAAGTTCTTGAGAAGCATACAACAGCGCGGCCGTCAGGTGATGATAACCGAGAGTCTTGCCCGGACCCACAGAGATTTTGACTTATTCTTGGAAGAAAAAGTTGACATGGACTGGGAAGAGCAACGTCTGAAGATCTTTCAACACTTCGGACTGGCGCAGAAGGAGGATGGGGCCGGTGATGCAAAAGCTGGATTTGGACGCTCAGTGCGACGACCCAAGCAGCTCGGTCCTACATCTACCAATGGCCCTGCATCTACATCTCGTCGAAGTGTGTTCGGTCGTTCCGCTCTAGAAAAATCCGTTATCGGGACGCCAGGAACGGGAACAGCAAGCATCCGACTATTTGAAGATCCCATGGATCGCAACGATGGTGTTGGCCACTCTGATCTTCGTTTCTTGCGAGAGAAGATGGGCTATTACGCAGACAAAGTCCGGCAGCTAAATTCTGCTAGGCTACATACAAGAACGTTTCCGGTTCTTCATGAGTTCTCCGATGTGGAAGGTCATGTCGGTGGTGACGTAAGTTCTGACGGTAGAGGCATGTTCATGATCGACTAACTGCCCTAGGTTCCTCGACAAATGTACGACGCTTATAGAGCTCTGATAAGCATTGTGGGAGAGTCACCAAACGTCACGAACACATCTGACCCTGCTGCCCTCGCAGAACGCCAGTTCTCTGAAGATTACTTGGACGAAGTGCCAAATTCACGCAGGGCAGTAAGTCTGAGGAAGCGGATAGTTGAGGGCTCTAGGTCGTTCCTGGAGAAGCTTTTCTACGATGAGATCGAGAATGTGATAGCTAAGAACCCTCGAGAAGCGCAATTGGGTGGCATACCGACTGTGACCAATAAGATTCGCGCCTATATTCGACTCAGAGCAGCGCGGAAAGATCTTGCTCCCGATGGTACCGAGCTGCAGATGGTCGGTCAGGACTATTGCTGGATTCTCATATTCTATCTCCTCCGATGTGGATTCGTCACCGAGGCTGCGGAATATGTGAGCCAGGATCCGGGTTTCCGGTCTTTAGATCACAAATTTGTGACCTACATGACTACATATGCGCAGAACAGACGGTTACCACGAGATTTGCAACAGAAAATCAACGGTGAATATCAGCAAAGGTCCCGTAATGCCCCCGATAACACAGTCGATCCTTATCGTATGGCCTGCTACAAAATCATCGGACGTTGTGAACTTAGCCGCAGACGCTTGGAGGGTGTGAACCAAAGCGTTGAAGACTGGATGTGGTTGCAATTCAGTTTAGCTAGGGAAGATGACCGGGCGGAGGAGGTTGCTGGCGATGTTTTCGGGCTCGAAGATATTCAGACTGACATCACAGAGATTGGCCAGCGAGTTTTCGGAAAGGGCCAAGAAGGACCTGGAGGTTATGGGACCTTTTTCCTCCTGCAAATTCTGGGAGGAATGTTTGAGCAAGCTGTCTCATATCTTGGTTCTTATGCACCGATCACAGCCGTGCATTTCGCTATTGCCTTGGCTTATTATGGCCTTTTACGTGTGTCTGATTTCTACACCTCGGGTGAAGAAATATGTGAGTGAACCATTCGTAGTATCTTAGTAGATGATACGATCAATCACTAACAGCCATAGTGTCCTTTACTGTGAAACAGTATCCGCAGATCAATTTCGGCTATCTTATTACACAGTATACAAGAGAGTTCCGCACAGGATATGTGGAAGCGGCGATCGATTACTTTACTCTGCTCTGTCTCAACGCCGATCTTCCCGGATCTTTGGGCAGATCACAGGCTTCTGTGTGCCATGAAGCGCTACGCGAATTCATTCTGGAAACTAGGGACTTCGCTAAATTGCTCGGCGACATCCGATCTGATGGAAGCAGAATCAAAGGGTTGATCGAACAACGTATGAGTTTGATCAAGTTAGTTGATCAAGACGAGTTTCTCAAAACAATAACGGTGCAAGCAGCAGCCATTGCTGACGACAAGGGCCTGATCACAGATGCTGTTCTGTTGTATCATCTCGCCGAAGACTATGATCGTGTCATCGATATTATTAATAGAGCCCTGTCCGATGCCGTTGCTGTGGAATTGGGCGGACCCGCCTTGAAATTGCAGCCTTTAAGGCCCCGGGCCAATCTGCATGAGCATGCTCCAGAAACTCCGCTGGAACCCGGAAGCAGCCTCAGCTTGACAACCGTGGATGACCCGGTGATTCTGGCAAAGAATATGATTGGTCTGTACAACGCAAACGCGATGTATTACCAGCGAATCCGTCAAGTCAATCGTGACGCATGTGGGTTGTTGCTTCGGATGATGGAGGCAAAGGTGGAAGTTGAGGCAGCCAAGTGGACGCCGGCTCTAGATGTAGGTTGATCACTCTACTTGTGTCAACCAACAGGGGACTGACCAATACATTCTAGGCTATCAATGATCTAAACATTCTCCCACTACGCGCCAGAGGCTCCGTTCCCTACATTAGGAGTGCTGCTCAAACCTTTTCGTCTTTTCCGCCAATCATCTCTCACAACGTCGGTCATGTGATTATGTGGAGTATCACTTGTATTGGCCATGAACGGGAACGACTGAGCTCCGGCGCGTACGAAAATGAGATTAGGCAAGGATTGGCAGATGAATTACTCGTAATGGCCAAGGACTTGATGATATTTTCCGGGATGGTGAAATACAAACTACCGCCGAAAGTATACGAGACACTGGCGCGAGCCGGGGCACAGATTGGGGCGTATTGAGCAGTGGTCATATCAATGCCCAAGATAGCTATGGTGTCTAACATAGCGTGGACTTTACTGTTCCGATTTTCTTTATGTTTATATCAAAGTACGACCGAAGTGGCTCTGTGAGAAACCGAAGTTCAGACTCTTGAATAACAAATCAACCACAATCTCATCTAATCTCTAAAGTCGCCATCTCTATCTCTTCACTTAAAGAGCACATTCTCATGCGTGGCAAAGTTGTGCCTCTCGAATCTTTGCAAAAAATACACTGCCTTTTCAGGCTTTAATGCCGCGATATGCAAGTGCCGGTATTGAGTGATTTCAGCAAACTGGCTTAGACAGGTTGAAAGTATCAAGGGATTGCGCGGCCGTGCTGCTCCCTACAGAGTACATCTAATCCATAAAGAAAACGTCACATTTACAGGATTGTGACAAGTATTTTCGGTTTACAGGTTCTAATCGATTGAAGAGTTTCGCTGCGCGCAGGCGGCTCTGGACTCCTTGTTAAGTTGTAACAATGTATTTCCGTAAGGTGCGCGGCCGCTTTTCGCAAGGTGCCAAGACCGGATGCTGTACTCCGTATGGAGTACGGAGTAGCTCAAGGTCCAATGCTTACACATCCGATCAGGATAGGTGCTCAAAAGTTAATACTGATGAGTTTTCGAGACAACAGATAACACTCATCTCGTTGAAAGTAGTCCAACAGGTGCGCCTTGCCTCAGTCATGAATTGAGCAGGCTGATTGCGGGGCCTTTCCGACCCGAAATTGGACCGCACTGTACGTGTGTTTCTGAGCCGTCTTGATGCAACCTGAGAAGACTGCAATGTTCGACATGGAACATGGCCATTCAGATGCGTCTGACACGAGCACTAAATCGAAGCCGTCTAACGGCGGGGTCTCTTCGCACGATGATACTTCACCCGGGGCAAGAGATGGATTAGAAGCTAGATTGAACGAGGATACGGTGACATCCTGCGATCATGACAATGACTGCAACAACAATAGCAATATAACCGCCGCCGCCACTACCTACCCTACAACTCGCAATGCGACTCAAGAAGTCATTCAACACACTCAAGATTCTGCAAGATGCGTGAGACCGGAGGAATCGGATGTCCAAGTTCCTATTGGGATAAGAAGCGAGCACATCTCACAGGGCGACGACATCCTTGGCGAAGCAGCTGCTATTCACAACTGTGCCACCCAGTCGAGGAGCCCAAGCTCAGTCACAAATCACAACCTCATCAATAACCCCCCAAACCTTGCAAGAATACGGCAAGTAATGTTTGAGTGCAAGGATTCAATAGAAATCAGCCTTGAGGAATTTGAAACCTACTGGCCTTTTATCGATAATGTTTGGGTCAAACAGAGGTCTAATTCCAGCAAAGAAGGTCACTGCACCACAGACTACTACATGTGCCGATTAAGACGTCCCACTCACCGCACTTCAGAAACTCGCCCTCTTCCTGAAGGCAAGCGCCCTCGAAAGAAAAGGGTGCGGGAGGGTGGCATATGCAATTTTCAAATCAAAGTTGTCAAATTCGAGGGGGCGTATTCGACGGTGACCATCGCAAGAACCCCGGGGAGCAGTCGTGTGCATTCACATGACCTTGATTTTATCGACAGGGTGAAGCGGAATTCGGGACTGATGGAGTTTGCACGAAAGGAGGCGATCAAGGGCTATTTGCCCTCTTCAATTTATACGAAATTCCAGGAGGAGCCTGAGAAGCTTATTGAAGCTGGGGGAAAGTTCTGTACAGTGACAGATGTGCGCAATGTCTCGGCGAAGTGGAGAATACAGAACCCGGAGGTTAAGCTCGTGGCACATGAAGGCTATGAATATCAAAAGGGTCATGGTATTGTAAGGATGCGAGCAACTGACAGTGTCAGCAATACTCCGGTCGACAAGCTACTATCGAAAACAACTATTCACTCCTCCTTACCCCCGGATACGCTCTCTTTCCCCCAATTTTCTCTAGAATTCCTTGAGCCTTATCTGCCAAAGCACAATGATCGGCGCCAATTCCCTCATGTCACATTATCCTACGCATCCTCCATGGATTCTAAAATATCACTCCTTCCAGGCATGCAAACTGTGCTCTCAGGACCCGAGGCCAAACTGATGACCCACTATCTCAGGTCACGTCATGACGCGATTTTGATTGGGGTTGGGACAGTGCTTGCGGATAACCCCGGACTCAATTGTAGACTGGAAGGCGCAGGTGGGTTTGGTGGCCTTGGGAGGATGTGGCAACCGCGGCCGGTGGTTGTCGATCCAACAGGACGATGGCCAGTCCACCCAGACTGCCGAATGCTGAGGACTGCGGTGGAAGGCAAAGGCAAAGCGCCATGGGTTGTGGTATCGCCAGGAGCTAGGATCCACCCGCAGAAGTTGATGATGCTGAAAGGCTATGGAGGTGATTTCCTCCGTATTATGGAATACAATCAGAATTGGCGGCTGCGTTGGGAGGCTATATTACGTGCACTGGCATCTGAAGGAATCAAGAGCGTCATGATTGAAGGCGGCGGGACCGTTTTAAGTGAGCTGTTGAACCCCGAATACACTGAGTTTATTGACACGATCATTGTGACTGTCGCCCCAACATATCTTGGCTCAGGCGGGGTGAGTGTGAGTCCAGATTCCAAGCGTGATCAAGAAGGCAAGCCGAATGCTGCTCTAAACCCTAGGGATGTGAAATGGATGCCACTGGGACAGAATGTTATAATGTGCGGGAGAATCCGGGCTACGATGCCAGTGAATTCGCTTGCTACCAATGTTGGGTCGTAATATCCAAAGATAGTGCCAATGAAGCCACAACAGACGTCCTTGATTGGCCATGGGGAGGAATTCCAGTTGCAACAGGATGAAATCAGCCTCGACTTACCTGAATATTAGGCTACTACTACTACTACGTACAGTACGCCGTATTCAGTACCTACCTAACCAGTGGCATATTATTTAGGTTGTGTCCTTGACCTATGAGCTTCAGTTGCTAGCCCTTTGTTCTATAGTAGTGGTATACATATATTCTTGGGCTGAATCGCTTTTGTTTTTCAACAGCACACACCGCCGAAGTAATAAAGAAATGCAGGGGGGGCAGAAATGTGATGTACCACTGGGATATAAACGGCACGCTGCCCACATTCATAAGGAGGGAAGGACACACTTCATATCAAGCATGTTTCTTGGACGGAATGTCCTCACTTGACGGCTGGCTTGGTCTTAGCGTCGGTTCCCCGATCCCAAAACACCATCACCACCGCAACAACAACACCAGATTTCGTCCCTTGAGCGCATTCCCCCAATTCTTCTTTTCCTTCCCCCCACCCCCCATCCATACCCTGTATCTACTTACCGTCTTTTTTGCCTTGGGACGGTCTATCACTCACTTATTCCTGTGCCTTTGCGCCCTGACAATCCCACCGCGGTCGCCCGTTGCAGGCCCCAGGAAGACATAGCCTAGACAAAGGAAATCGCCGTCAATCAGACAAAAGATGCGCCCCCCCAAAAGCGCACCCAAGACAGCTGCAGAATCAGCTGCCGCTACCATCAAAGGTAAAAATGCTGCGGCTGCTACTACGGAGAAAGCAACAGCAAAGACTACGACTATCAAGAACTTAACAGACGAGCAAGAAGTCCCAGCGAAGCCCAAGACCATTAGGAAACAGAAAAAGGAGAAACCTGCTGCAGCTCCAAAGAAAGGCAAAACAGGCGACGCCCTTGCAAGCAATACGGCTGGAGCTGCGCCCGAGAAATCTGGGAAGCGGAAGGCGGAGGTTGTCGACGAAGCGCCAGCTCGCGAACTCAAGAAGACTCGTGTTGCCAAGCCCCGGGTCACAAAGCTGAAGCCGAAGGTGGTCATTAATCATGCTCCAACCACTCGACTAAATGTATATGTTTGTGGTGAAGGTAGCTCAGGTGAACTAGGCCTGGGATATGCCAAAAACGCAGTCGATGTGAAGCGACCGCGTTTAAATGCCCACTTGCCAGCGGACAGTGTCGGCGTTGTGCAAATTGCTGTTGGCGGCATGCATTGCGTTGCACTTACATCTGATAACAAGATACTTACATGGGGCGTCAATGACCAGGGGGCACTTGGGAGGGATACTGCTTGGGACGGAGGCTACAAAGAAATCAACGAAGACAGCAATGAGGCTGACTCTGACTCTGATGATGACCTTTCTCTGAATCCCCACGAGTCGACCCCAACTGCTATTCCGTCTGAGGCCTTCCCAGAAGACACCATCTTCGTTGAAGTCGCTGCTGGCGATAGCTCGAGCTTTGCCCTTACGGATGACGGTCAAGTCTATGGTTGGGGCACATTTAGAGTAAGTTAAAACGTGGATCGCCGTGTATGAAGAACTTTTTCAAACTGAAACTCGAGTCAGAGCAATGATGGTATCCTAGGTTTTGATGCCAGCCATAAACTTCAGCTTACGCCTAGTCTGATATCATCCTTGAAGAAGATTAAGCATCTGGCATGTGGCGATAACCACGTTTTGGCACTTGACAATAAAGGTGCTGTATTTTCATGGGGATCAGGTCAGCAAAATCAACTGGGCCGTCGTATCATTGAGCGTAATAGGCTGAATGGCCTCCAGCCGCGCGAGTTCGGCCTACCTAAGGACATTGTGCATATCGGTTGTGGCGCCTTTCATTCTTTTGCTGTTCAACAGTCAGGGAAGGTTTACGCATGGGGACTGAACAGTTTCGGCGAAACGGGTATCAGGGCCGGTGCCGGTGATGACGAAGCTGCGATTGTCCACCCCACCGTTGTAGATTCGCTCTCAGGGAAAAACATCACACAAATCTGCGGTGGTGCTCACCATTCGCTTGCTGTTGCAAACGACGGCGAGTGTCTTGTCTGGGGTCGATTGGACGGTTACCAGACGGGTCTGAAAATTGACAATTTGCCTGAGGAGGCGGTAATTAAGGATGAGCGCGGGCGCCCTCGTATCCTGATAGAGCCCAAACCTGTTCCTGGAATCAAGGCCAATGCTGTTGCGGCTGGCTCTGACCATTCACTTGCTATTGATGTCGATGGTCGTCCCTGGTCTTGGGGGTTTTCCGCCACCTACCAGACGGGCCAGGGCACACAGTATGACATTGAGGTAGCTACTGTCATCGAGAATACTGCCGTTCGGGGAAAGAGACTGAACTGGGCAGGTGCTGGTGGTCAATTTTCTGTGTTTACGGAGCCTGCGACACTAGTTTAAATGCAAGAAGGGCCGGGAGATTAATGGTAAGAGGGCGCCAGTACTCTGACTATTATCAGTCCTGGTGATATTGCGACGGTTTCTCGTGGGCCCGGATCATCGTTTGATGTTAGTGACGCTAACAGATTCTTCGCCGTGTGAACATCATGCTTGGTGTATAAATTTTAGCATCACTTATGCTTAGTGTACTTGATAGTTATACACATACGGAGAGTTCCAGGTGAGAGCAAAGAGAGAGACGAAAATAAGAGTATTTGACAACATCTCTTTATCACATTTAGTTATATTTATTACATAGAAGCACTTTGCGAAACGTACCAAGATCAGGGTTTAGCGAGTATTGCATCTAAGCAGAAGAAGCACCATCCGACGTATTCAAGTTGTTTAGGGAACTTTGGTCACAAAGACATATTGACGCCGGCCGATATAACTGGTCCTGCCGAACTGTTCTTGCTAGTATTTCCGTCCTCGTGCTCCCGAAGAAGAGCATCCAGCTCATCATCATCAGGGGCACCTTGTTCGATCATCTCCATCGGAACACTTTCCTCATCCGACAAAAACAATTTCTGGGCTGGAGCGCCTCTTGATGAAGGGGCGGCTCGCCACTCAAAGCCATGTGCTGGAGATACCTGTGTCATACCACCTTTGTGGGAAGAGACTGTGTCTGCATCATGGCCATGTTCAATGGGGATTTCATCATCGTGGGAACGCTGGCTTGACATCTTTTTTTCCGGTACAACTTCAGATTCAGCTGCGGATAGCTTAGGCTTCTCCTCTTCTATCCATTCTCTGCGCATTGTCTGCAAGCGTTTCGAATGCCCGAGCTTCTCAATCATAGCTAAACCATCCGCAAACTTCGCACGAGGGTACAAATCGTCGAGCCATAATTGATAAAAGTTCAGTAGCCGGGCGGCATCCGAGAACTTTGGGAAGCAGTTAGCCATAAGGCGATCTCCACGACAGGACGAATTCTTTCTAGCAGACCTCGTGCCCTTTGCCTTTGAATCTCAACTTCTGCTTTGCTGTAAGGCGCAATTTTGGTATTCCGGAGTGGGACAATAACCTAGAGAGCAATAAGCCTGGAATCAGAGTGCCACCACGGTTGTCAGCCTCACCGGCCCTCATCTAACTTGACAGTATGTCGTCGCTGCTTAGTGATTGTCACCTTTTCGTCCACTCCTAAGACGGGAGCGGAATCCGGCTCATTATTTTTTGAATCCGCTGCTGGTTCTTGTAAAAAGCTCTCCAAGCCGGCATCGTAATCAAACAGTGTATCATCGTGATCCACTAAAGGATATGAGTGGACCATATTATCCTCCATTCTTCGAGTGACAGATAATAAGTTCGAAAGATGAACAAGACCTTGAGTCCTTGTCAGACGACCCAGAGATTATTAATTGTGAAAGTGTCCGCATGGTTTAAAACATAACTCGCATGTCTATTATCTATGAACCACTGTGAACTGATAAGCTACGCGTGGCTTGGGACGCGTGCCTGCTACTTTGGACACCTGAACTACCAAAATAGGTAAAGTTCGCAATAATGATTGAGTACCTGAAATGTAGGCGGTCTACGGAGTAGCGTGAGTGAGTACCAAGTCTTGTTGTCACTAGTTCAACCGGTGTATTGATGGCTTAGTAATTATGAGCATCTAGCTAGCCTTGAAGCGGAAAGGTTTGTACTTGGCACGACTCCCTCCGACTTTCATCTCCATTGAAGCGGAAGCCAATCCAGAGAGATCAATTATTATTCACCTTCCACTATCCCGTCCTTGCAGCAATGGCGTCTGAGCATAAGACGATTGCCGTTCCCCCAAAGCGGGCAAATACTGACTATCCGGTAGGGTCGATGATTCTTTACCCGAAATGATAATAAGAACTTGGGGCTGACTGGCTTTGTAGCTGATTGACTCCGACCCGTATGGACCAGCTTGATGTTGCTATATTGCAGGATTACTCACTTATATCAGGCATCTGAGACGGGTTTTTGGGTATGCACGACCTTCTGACTATGCAGTGGGCGGTGGAATGGCTGCTGCGTCTCCTCTTGCATTCTGGGTTATGGAAAGAGTGAGCCCGTCCCATGTTGGCAGGGGAGGCTTCGCTCCTGTGATGCGATTGGCAACAGCGATTGGTCTTATTGGTGGTCTGCACGTGGTTTATCAGAGATCCTGCAGTGAGTGAAATTGTGGAAATCTGGATTCGCGCTTGGTGCAGTATCATTAACATTCTGGTATAGACCGTTTCTATGGTTTCACAGAGAACTCGCGAGAAGTTGATATGGATATGAAAGAGATGGTAGAGAAGGTCAAGAAGGGGGAGCCTGTATATGGCACGTCCAAGGTCTCAGCATATCTGCAAGGTGTTGCTGCTCGAAACTCTAGGTACTCTCAACTATTCATCCATGTTCTCCCATGGTTCAATCTCGTCAACCATGACCAGGTAAGTACAAAGGAGAGGCGGTTCTTTAATTGGCACATAGTCACTAGTGTCGCATGAAAATAAGATCACTGACTGGAGTACAAGCATGGAGTCGATACGGCCAAATATTATCAGCAGGCTGAGCGCGAGTTGGAAGCCGAGCGGTTGAAACAAGCTGGGTCTTCTTGAACTTTGTGGCACGAAGGGTGGTAGAAGAATCAACACCTTAACGTTTGATTGTCCCTTGCGAAATCTTGTATATTTAGTTCCTGAAGCAGTTCGAAACTTAGATGGAATCTTTCTATCACTTTACCTGCTCCATTTCATCTCCCCTAATCTACTCTAAACCAGATCGGAAAGGACCCTGCTTCAGTTCGCTTCGATGCATAGCTACTCCAATATGAACAAGCCATTGCTGTCTAGGGTGCAGGGGAGGTGAGAGGGGCTTCCCTATCGAAGTCTGTCTTCAATTCACGGTGCTTTTTAGGGCGGGGCTTGGGTGCTGTAGGAGAGACCCGGTCAAAAGGCTTCTATCGTTACAGTTACGGAAGTCTGCCACGTACCCTTCTCATTTTCCTGTATATAAAAGCGACGAAGTAGCATTATAGCTTCCTTGTGGAACAATCCACCATGCACAGGGTACGGTGGATCTAATGAAAGACTAATGCGAATTAGCTTTAGGCATGTAGTTCCACTTTTAAGGGCGAAACAAACTCGGAATGTAGTGATAGGATGCTACCTGTTCCCCCAAATCTTTCGTTTCCACAACCAAAATATACTTTCCGTATTCGATACTGCCTTAAAGCAGACGCACACATGACACAAGGCTCAACGGTTACATAAAGGTCTGTCGAACGCAGTGCTGACCTAGGGTAAGTCTGCAGCATTTCCTCAATGGCAATAAACTCTGCATGCCTCGTTCCCTGGTATAATCAGGTCATGATATCAGAATTCACAAACATATTCAGGACTGCTATGGCGTGAATGCTCACTAGAGACAAAGGAAGAAATGTTGCAACTCATCTTATGTTGTGGGGGAGAATAATGACTCTCTGGACATCCTGGATCACCTACATTCATTGATTTATTGGTATCGTTCATCCCAGAACCAACAATCTTATTGTCATAAACCAGAATACACCCCACTGGAGTTTCGCCAGTCTCAAGGGCCTTTTCTCCCTAGGGCTAGTATAAGAATACTGATCTGCGGGTTCAATCAGGCAGTATATAATTACCATCATTAAGGCCTTCTTCATGAAATAAGCGTGTTGGGAGGCACTCTCCTGTAATTCAGAGGAAATAATATCAGACATATCAGCGTCAGAATTAGGAAATGGCTTGTGAGTTTAGTTGTCGGGCAAATTATGTAGAAGTAATTGGCACCAGCCACACCAAGATCTAGGTCTAAACCACTTTGTAATGAATAAAAGTCGGGAAAGCATCCGAGAAAATCAACTTTTTCGCCTGTACGCGAAAGTACGGAGTACTGTTAGGTGGCTTCCTTGTAACGTAGTTGCCGTATTACGCTAGGGGCGCACCTTCCGTGAGGCCTTCGGACCCCCGAGGGGCCCATTCCTCCCCTCCTTCTTGTTATCTTCTTCTTGTACGGATATCCTACTCCGTACTACTACCTACTTACTGCCACGCACAAACCTAATTACTTTACCCACTGTCCCTTGCTGGTAAATCAAGTTCTTAGCGTTCTTAGAAAAGCGGTCGCCAGTGCGAAGTATAAAGATCGAATATAGTAGGCTCGGCATGTGCTTTCCCGTGAAAAACTCTCTCAAAGCGGAGAGAAGATTTTGTAATAGTATCAAGTGGTGGCTGTCCCTTTTAAAACCATTCAATTACCCACCGCCCAGAAGCCCACCTATTAGCATGTCGATATGAGTTGGTTTGTATACAGTACACTGTATACTATAGGTAGTTATGTATCAGTATTCAGTAGTATCTGTTACACCTTCCTCGTATTGCGGATATCGTGTAATTCTAAAGTTCCATCTCGGGAGTACATATTTGTACCTCTACTTACAGCGTACTATGTATTACCCAAACATACATAGCATCTCTGTTCTTTCATGCAGTAAAGGCGGAGATACCAACCCACTTGATCATTATCTTCGTGCGTTACCTTGAAGCTTGAGAGAAAGTACCAGGACCATGTGTAAGAGCATCGCTGATGGCAAGCAATAAACGCAAGGTGTCTCGACTGCCTACGTCGGGAATCACGAATTGGATTCCTGCAGAGCCAGTCTCTTCTACATTCACAGCACACCTTGTACCACATCTCTCATCACAAGGTGATGGGACGCTCGGTCTGACCAAAGAAGCATTCTCACAACTCCGTTATGAACTACTTGAGGGGAAATGCAGTCGCTTACCACTTGATAACAGTATCACTGATGTCACCAGACTACTATGCATCGTGCTGAAAGCAGGCCTAGAGCCTTGCATCGAAGATGATAAGTCCGAATTGCAAGGTCAACTCTTGGACTGCTTGGACATCGTCCAAACAGCCATTGACAAAGCCCCGCTAGCACTATTGGAAGTGCCGGATCCAGAGATTCTTGGGGAGGATGTATCTATTCCCTTACACTCCTGCCTAGTACTCTGGCTTGTTCATTTATTCAGTGCCTGGGACAGTGATGCCGTTGGAGACAGGATTGATTGCGTCCTCTCAAGTATAGCCAGCGCTACACATAAACATACCAGGCTATGGCAATCGTTCACTGGGGTTACTGTATTTTTGCAGGCTTGCACAAATGGTCTGTGGAATACCCGGATTAGAGTTGAAATTTGAACTGATAATTCCAGAACTGATATATAATCTCGAGGCCTCTCAGTCCTCAGACCAACCTCCATATGCGGCCGGATTCCCTCTAGCTAACCCGAAACAGTACTATGCTATGAATTTGGGCAGGTTTGGCCTGCGTTGTGGATCCCTCAACAAAGTGATAAAACTCGGGGGTTACGCCCAAGCAGTTCGACTATGTCTGAATCTACTCAGCTCTACGGTCAATACCTATGTTGCTTACAACGTGCCTTCGGACCGGCAGAACCTGGCGTGGCTCTCTAATGCCTATCGGCGTCTGTGGAAGCTCATCCTGGCATGGCTCCGAAATGCGGGTGCAGCTAATATCACAAGCCAAGATCGAATTTTTCAACGGCTCCTAGAACTCATTCGGAGACTATGCGGCTATGAGCTATATACATCATCGAGACAGAGCCTGGCATGCAATTTTCTCCAGGCTTTGACCGAAATTTTAACATTTAATGCCTTGAGCCAATCTTCTCATCTTCAACTCAAGTTAAGCCATGCTGTTAGTAGCTTCATCAATGCTTTTGGTTTCAGGGAGGATCTTATGCAGCCCCTGAGGGATACTATGCTGCTTGTTAAAGAGAATCCTGCCTTGTTTGAGTCATTAGAACCTTACCTTCAGGTATTCATCCTTTCATCCTTTGTGTGGTCACTTTGTGGCTAACTTAAGACTAGACTGCAATTGAGAGGTCCCTCACGTGCTGTTCCGGGAATGCCGGTCACAAAAGTACATTGGTCGGCGTTTACAGCGGAAACATACGGGACTCACCCGGTGTTCGAAACCTCCTCATCTTAGACCAGCTATCTAGTAGCGCTGGCGCTGTCCACATGGCTAAACGTCGCTGTCTTCCTCGGCCAGATGCTGATACGGAAAACAAAGGTGTAGCACAGGAGCTTATAACCAAATCACTTGAAATACTCTGTTGTGGACAAATTGGGGACCTGAGAGACCTGAGGGATCTGACCTCTGCACTTTCGTAAGTCGAGTTGCATTGCCCACAATGCCCCGAATGCTGACACGAGAATGGGAAGCGCATCATACACCGGGCTGGCCGAGCAAGAAAAGTGCAATCTTTTACAGGTCCTGCGCGGCATTCCCTGCGCTTTGTCTGGGAACTTGGTAGACATCACCGGTACTGATTCGGAGAACACTTTCAGTTGTAAGATCTGTGACTCCGAAGACCACGACCTCGACTCAGAGAGCGGACCGCGGCGCCTGAACAGTCATGAACTATGTGAGATCTTGGACTACATCATATCAAGGCTCACACGCACTGCAAACCTGAGAATAGCTGCAGCCGTCGCGTTGAGAAGAACATTGATGCATACTTCCGACTTAGCTTACATGCAGCTCACATCTTCTGTTTTTAGAGAATTTTGTTTAAATTCCCTCAGGAGCTCGGTCAGAGAACTGCGTCTCATTACAGGGTATGAGTGGACAAGGAACCGGTGAAGCTTCTTCAGTGCTAACAATTATCTAGCCATTCAATAACCTCCTTTGTCCGTAAAGACCTGGACCGTGAAACCCGAAGGAGTAATTTTGTCGTTATCTTGGACTGGCTACAGAACCTCTCTGAGAAGCCGGAGACGGCATTACATGAGACCTGCATTCTTACTCTATGCCATCTTGCGAAGTGAGTTTGATTTCATCAATTAAAATCTCAATCTGCTGACGATCCTGATGTTCCCTAGGTTCTCTAACGACGAAGAAATGAATCTCATACTTCTTCGTCTGGTAGAATACCTGGGACACCCGAACCCATTTATCTGCGCTGTGGCTTATACCGAAGTATGTGTAGATCCCCATGTGCAAGATTCATTTCCGTGATGTTATGATCTAATAGGGGTTTAGCTCTCAAGACTTGCACAACACCTTTCTGTGACTCCAGCCGGCTTGTTCCGACCTTTCTGGAGGACTTTGTCGGTAACGGTTGTCAGAAATTTCCAGTCTCGCCCCTACATGGCGGAACAGATCTGCGATCTGCTGGGTATGAAAGTGGATGATTTTCTTAGATTGACTGAGATACATGTCCTCCCGTATCTGGTACTCACACGGAAGCGAGATGTCATCATCAGGATTGGTGCAACATACAAAGACAGCAAGTCGCCCTTCGATATCTGTTCGGAGAAGAATAATCTTGCAGCAATTCTCGCTTTTTTGTTGAGTCAACCTTCGTCCAATCCGGAAGAATCGATCATGTCAGCTTTCTCCGAGGTAGATGCTGCCTTCAGAGGGCGTACTCTGGCGGAGCTTCTGAGGATAGAACCAATATTGATCGCCTGTGAACTGCTCAAAGGCTTGGGAGACTTCGGGAAGGAGAAAGGCACCAGGGTTGGTCGGCTGCAACTCCATGATGTCCATGCGCGATGCTGACTTCAAGGTATCACAGTTTCTCCGGGCACTCCATCTGCTAGCTGTCCTTGTTCCACGAAAGTCTGGCTTCACACCGAAACCAGAAGATCTGATAGGTTACTTCGTCGAAGAACATGTCCTTGGCATAATTACACAGTTCGCTCATGCCATTAACGATTTTCAAATTAGGCAGCCTCTTGTTGAGAAAAAAAGGAACATCGCGGCGATTGGGGAGATGGTAAAGGTCGCACGCGGTCATATCAATAGCGCGTTGCCACAGGTATGTGCATAATGCCTTCATATAATTCAAATGTTCAAAGCTAAAGTGGGATAGATATGTGCCTGTTTACGAGCCGCCCTCGAGATCGAAGATCTCTGTAATAACGCTTTCATTGTCTGGGGGGTATTGATCAGCTCCTTAGAAGAAGAGGAAATAGAGCCTCTCATTGATCAGACACTGTCAATTGTGATCAGATACTGGGATAATTTTACTGAGGATACTAGGAAACAAGCCCGTGGACTTGTTGAATACATCATGCAGTCCCACCGTGACCTGGTGCACGACATATTCAACACCATGCCTTCCTTGGCTTCGATACCAATATTTTCAGAATATGAAGCCAAGTTGAACAATCTGAAAGAAAAGATGGACGTCCGAAGCCATTTTCTTGCATTTATTCGTCGTTGTCAAAGTGAGACTGCAACAGTTGTTGAGCAAGCCTTGCGAGAATTAGTTCCCTACCTCTCCCAGAATGAGGAGTTCGTCCATAGATCTGTTCTCAGCGAGATTCCGGATCCTGTTGTTGCACAGTTAACGCGTTCCCTACTTGATTGTTGTGTGAAGTTCAACACAAGCTCAGATGTTATAACCATCTTATCAGCTGAATGTCTAGGTTTGATCGGCTGCCTTGATCCCAACCGAGTGGATACAGTCAAGGAAAAGAAAGACATCCTGGTTTTGTCTAATTTTGACAGTATGGAAGAGACCTTCGACTTCATACTCTTCTTTCTTCAATACGTGTTGGTCGAAACATTCCTGTCTGCTTCCAATACAAGAGCCCAGGGGTTTCTCGCCTACGCAATGCAGAACCTTCTTAGATTCTGTAATCTCGATGCAGCTGTCGCCAATCGGTCTCGCGACCTTCGAGCAGACGAAAAATACCAACGCTGGCTAGAACTACCTGAAACTGTTCGCAACATTCTAGCCCCTTTTCTTACATCAAAGTATACAGTTACTATTGGCACTCTCAACTCTAACTGTAGCTATCCATTGTTCTCACCTGCACTGACACATGGTAATTGGCTACGAAGTTTTGTGCAGGACTTGCTACAAACTGGAAACGGAGATAATGCAAAACTAGTATTCAGTGTTTGCAGTCGCATTGTCAAAGGGCAAGATATTTCAATAGCATCCTTCCTGCTGCCATTTGCGGTGCTTAATCGTGCAGTGTCTGGGAGTGCGAAGGATAAAAAAGATCTACACTGTGAATTAGTGAATGTTCTGTCTCATTCACTACCTGATGCTAACAACCACATACATGAGAACATCATACTGTGCAGTCAGGTAAGAAGCTTAGAGCACACACCTTGAATACCCAAACGTTTTCTCTTACTGTTCAAAACAGAGCGTTTTCGAAGTCCTCGACTACCTTTCAAGGTGGCTGCAAGGGAAGAAGAAACAAATGAATAGCCTCAGAAACCACAGCCACCATTCGAATCGCAGCCATAAGGAAACATCCCGAGATACTATACTAGACACGTATTCCTCGCAGGTGAAGGCTGTGGAGACACTCCTGAGCTCAATACCCCCAGAAGTCATCTCTAAGAGGGCTGTTGAGTGCAAATCATTTTCACGGGCTCTATTTCATTGGGAGCAGTATATCCGACAGTGTAAAAATCAGGCAGGCAGGCAAGAAGGCACCACGGCTGAGCATCTGTACCAACGGTTGCAGGATATCTATAGTCGAATCGATGAACCGGACGGGATCGAGGGTATCTCGAGCCATCTACATGTCCTAGACATTGACCAGCAGGTTCTCGAACATCGAAGAGCAGGAAGATGGGCAACTGCGCAAAGTTGGTATGAATTGCAACTTGAGAAGGAACCTCGTAATAGCGAAGCGCAGTGGAATTTGCTCACTTGCCTCAAGGAATCAGGACAGCAAGGTATATCCCCGGTAAGAGCCTGACTTACATGCCTTTGTTGACATCTTTTCAGATGCGATTCTCACGCGCTTCGAGATCCTGAAGACGAAGAACCCCGTCAGAAAGTTTCTTCCTTTCGCGGTGGAAGCGACTTGGATCACGAGTAACTGGACAAAGTTGCACGAGTATCTTCAGCTACATTCACAGCAGGGTACAGGGGAATTTAATATCGAGATAGGCTTGGCTCTCAATGCCCTTCAACACGACAATGATGCGAAATTTAAGGAACATATGAAATATTTGCGACTGAGTGTTGCCAAGTCCCTAACGGCCAGTTCTGTGGCATCGTTACAATCGTGCCATGATAGCATTCTCAAGCTACACGCTTTGCATGAGGTCGAGTCCATAGCTCGCACGAAGTACGAGGACTGCGAGGGCGGTAGCTCACGCTCAAAACTGCCCGATATTCTGCAGCGCCGTCTAGATATTCTTGGGGGCTACATTTCTGACAAGCAATACCTCCTTGGCCTTAGAAGGGCCACGATGGAGCTTACGTACGCTTATTCTCCTCTCTTTCATGAAGTTCATACGACCATGTGCTGACCGAACTGCAAGGGGCAAATTCGCCGATTCCGACATAGCTGCTGCTTGGCTAACCAGTGCACGTCTCTTGAGGAAAGGCAATTTTACCAGCCAGGCTTACCAATCTATGCTCCATGCAGCCCGCTTGAACGACAGATCAGCCACCATTGAGCACGCACGACTTCTTTGGAAGGATAGTCATCACCGAAAAGCAATACAAACATTGGAAGGCGCAATCGCTGCTAATGAATTCTCTTCAGAACCGCCCTCGTTGGAAGCACGTGCCTCATCTTCTCTCACTGAAAATCTAGCGAAACACCAGAATTTGCTTTTGGCTCGAGTATGTCTCAGTTACGAAGCAAGTCGCATGTTCTAGATACTCACACTACCTAGGCACATCTACTCTTAGCCAAATGGACAGATGGAGCTGGTCAAACTCAGTCAGATGCCATCGTTCAAAGATACAGAGAAGCTATAAAACTTCACTCAAGGTACTTTTTTAGCTGGGGGGCAAATACAGCAAATATGTATCCATGTTTTTCACAAGCTAATGGGCTGGCAGGTGGGAGAAAGCCCATTATTATTTGGGCAAACATTACAACAAAATTTTCGACTCTGAGAAAGCAAAACCGTTGGGGAAAGAGGCGCAGATTTAGTCAGTCATTCGGCATGTTCAGTTGGGTTCCAATGGCTTATATGTTTCACAGTCTGACTGGTGAGGCCTCAAAACTTGTTGTTGACAACTATCTCCGGTCGTTGGCCCATGGGAATAAATACGTGTTTCAGTCCCTGCCCAAGGTCCTGACACTCTGGTTGGAGCATGCTTCTACTGTCGACCAGCCGTTTGATCCGATGAGAGGAGACAATGAGTAAGTGGCCAGATGCCGGACTCCATGCTTTCAAAGCTTGTCACTTTGAAGATCAACACTAAAAAGTACACCGTGGAAGGGAATTTCAAAAACACACTCTAAGTCAGCGAAAAAAGAGCCTCGATGATATGCATGCACAACTGAAGAAATACGTGAATAGAATACCGGCTGCGCTAGTGGGTTTTGCATCTAGTTCTCATACGCATGACTTGCTAACTAAAACAGCTGTTCACGATTCTTCCTCAAGTCGTTGCTCGAATATGTCACCCAAACACGACAGTATACGACTTGTTGACTAAGATCGTAGCCAAGGCAGTCAACTCTTTCCCTCAGCAAGGGCTATGGACAGTCCTTGCTGTAGTCAAGTCTTCCTCCAAAGACCGAGCCTCCAGGGGCATTAGCTGCCTCCAGAAGGTTACAGTAGGTCGAAAAGAAGATTGTACCGCTCTGTCTAAGTTTCTAACTGTAACAGGAGGTAAACAAGAAATTGAGAACAGAGTCTCCTTCGGATATGCGTGCCATGATAAACCAAGGACAGAGATTTTCAGACGAGATGTTAAGGCTATGCATAGCTCGCATTGAAGATAAGGTGGCAAGTGTTAATCTACGCTCTTTAGGATTCAACCACAAAGTGGCACCTTGTCGGCTTGTGGTGCCATTCCAGGCAATGTTGACACCAATATTACCAGCTAGCCATGAACCTGAATACTTGAAGGGTTTTAGGGCTTTCCCTCGGGACCCTACGACAGTGGAAGGTAACACCCCTTGACCGTGGCTTCTATATGAACTGCGTCACTGATGACTATCAGCTATACTCGACGATGCACAGGTCTTAAATTCTCTCCAGAAGCCACGGAGAATAGGCCTCCGAGGCTCGGATGGAAGGATATATAATATTCTCTGCAAACCCAAAGATGACCTTCGCAAAGACCAACGTCTCATGGAATTTAACAATATGATAAACAGGTTTTTCAAAAGAGACGTGGAATCAAGCAAGCGGCGAATGTGTGAGTACCTGGACTCCAATTATCATTTCTTAGGTTCATTCCTTGCCTGCTCACTTTGGCGCCGGCACACAGATATCAAAACATATGCTGTAACACCCTTGAATGAAGAATGCGGGCTCATCGAATGGGTCGATAATCTCCGGACGCTGAGAGACCTTGTCATCAAGCTCTTGAGAGAAAGGGGGATTGCACCAAATGTAAGCTGCTCACCTTCAAGAGTGATAGGACCTATAGTGGCTGAACTGGATCTACTACAGTACAATGAGATCAGACAAGATCTCAACGAAGCATGCTCCGATAATACCAAGCTCCATCTTTTTACGACAAAAGTTCTGTCAAAGTAAGCCTTTGGAGCACCTACTTTTCAGTCAAATGCCAGTGCTAACATCGATGTAGGTTTCCTCCAGTCCTACATGAATGGTTCATTGAAATGTTTCCTGAAGCGGGGGCATGGTTTGCAGCGAGACTTCGCTATACTCGATCATGTGCTGTCATGTCTATGGTCGGGCATGTCCTGGGGTACGTTGGTTTCACCACTGCTGGGCAAGCTCCCTGAAATTCATCTCTCTACAGGCTGGGTGACCGCCATGGTGAGAATATATTATTTGAGGAAGGGACCGGTGGCTTGTTACATGTCGATTTCAATTGTCTTTTCGACAAGGTTAGGCGCCAAATACAAACTGGCCACTGCCCGCCCTTCGGCGCTCAAAGCTGACTTCAATAGGGGTTGACATTTGATAAGCCTGAATTGGTCCCCTTTCGCCTAACACAAAACATGGTTGATGCTTTTGGCGCTTACGGATACAATGGTCTGTGCTAATTAATCAACATGTGTCCAACTGTTAATGCTATTGATAGGACCATTCCGCAAGACATGCGACATAAGTCTTGGACTGCTTCGTCATAATGAAGATGCACTCATGACTGTCTTGGAGACGTTTTTGCACGATCCTACCACTGATTTTATTGGGAAGAAGGTAGGAACCACGCAGAGCATGGAAGACCCACCCTGCTAATAGATCGAAGCGTCGAACACACGTCAGCGTCCCAGAAACACCAGCTGGCGTTCTTGAGAATGTTCGCAATAAACTCCGCGGCCTTCTGCCTGGTGAATCTGTTCCACTCTCAGTGGACGGCCATGTAGATGAGCTGATTGTACAAGCAACCGACAAAAGGAATCTAGCTGCCATGTATATTGGCTGGTGTGCTTTTTTCTAAGGCTCGCCTCGGGGCAGTCCTTCCTTTCATATCCTATCTTTGATAAAAGGAAGAACAGAAGAAGAAAGAAGGGAAATGATGCGGGATGGAAGGAAACGTTATGCCCGAGGCACTCAAGATACGGAGTAAGAAAGCGTTCAATAGATTTCTCGAATGCCCTACACAACATTACACCAATGATTCTGTGTCAATCTTGCAATATTATTTATGGATGTAGCGTTCCAATGGCTTGTACTCCACCGTTACAGTCCCGTGCATTTGGGATTTAAGAAAAACGGAACACTCTTCATTACGGCATATTGTCCTGAATCTCCTATTGACAGGAAGAGCCCGGTTTCAGCGCAGATCGTGTCAATGATGATCTCTACTTGGACTCAAACTCCGGTCCCTATCGCTGCGACTGCTATAACCGTAGCTGCTGTAGCTAGGACTGCGGCGACGGCGTCGACGGGCATCATATCCCCTCCTTCTCGGTGGAGACGCTGAAAGAGACTTTGAAGAGGTGGATCGAGAGCGACGTGGCGATCTAGAGCGGGATAGAGACCGCGGCCTATAAATGTCATGTCCCTCCATATGCCGAGGACGGCGGTACCGTCTAGGAGGCGTCGATCTGTGCATATACGGAGAGGCATGGGAAGCGCGGCTTTCCAACGGAGGTCCACGACCATGTCCCTGTCGGCTAAGGCTTCCTCTACTGTTCTGGACGGGTGGCGGCGAGCGCGAAAATGCTCGTCTGGGAAGGACAATAGACACGTTCAAAACAGCACCGTCTAGTTGTGCTTCATGCATGTGCGCGATAGCCGCTTCTGCGTCCGCAGGATCGTGGTAGTGTATGTATGCAGTGCCCCTGTTCATCATGACTAGTAATGGGTCAGACCAGAGATGAAGGTGAATTTGATCCCGAGGCACCTACAAGCTTTATTCATAGGAAGATCAAGACTTTGTATGTCACCAAAACCACCAAATATTTCCCGAAGGTGCGATTCGGTAACATTTTTGGTTAACTTCTCGACAACTATCTTTTGATTTCCATTAACTTCAGCACCGCAGGCAGTTTAATGTATCAGGGCGAGCACCACCGACCTTTGAACTTCTCGAAGTATTTGCAGATGGGCTTGGGGTCCGACTATACTCTCGTTTTTTGTGGCGTCTGGAGGTCTCGCTTCGGCTTCCACTACGAGATAACACCCTATGCTGCGATGGAGACCGCGACCAGCTTCTGGAAGGGTGACCATTGCGACGGACAGCTCCACGCTCGACAGAATGGCTTCGAGAGGTACATCTTGACTCTGAGCGAGGGGACACAGAACGTTGCAGGGGTGTGGTCCGGTCAAAGGGTAGTAAGCGGGCTCGAGAGCGTCCCCGAGAATAGCTTTCAGACATGCTGCAAGAAACGCTCGGTAAAGGAAGCTAGAAAACCACCTGGAACAAAATCTATACGAAACAAAAATGGGAAAGCACGGTATCATAGAGGTTGTGGAGACATAAGTCTAAGGCGGGTGGGAATGTCCAGTGAGGTGGACCGTCAGTAGGCAAGGTAGAGGGACTAAGAATGACAGCTTTCGGCATGGGTCACAAAGAAGGCTAGGGCCATGTGTAATATTGCTGGGTGTTGGCTCAATTCAGACAAACTCCAATTTCGCTTGTTACGTTACTGTCTTTATAAACACTCAAGCGCTGCTTCTAATGAACATTACATGTTGAGGGGACCTTTGCTGATTTAAACTGAGAGGTAACCGCTCATCTCCATATATCAAGAAATCCACTGCCAGGCACCTTGTGTGGCGCGCTTAAGCCAACGAGGTAGCATTGCATTCATGTATCATCTATATAACCAACGGTTGGCCCTACATGTCAACAGAATCGCCCCACCGTTCGTATTCTTCGATAACTGCTGCTGTTATCTGCCTTTTCACCTGCTTGAGGGCAGTTTCAAAATGCTCCCATCGTATGTCCTGTGCTTGGCCTGTCTCCTCTTCTTCATCCAAGGCAGCATCCCCGGCTGTCTCACATATACTCACGATTTCAGCCCCAGAATATCCTTCCGTCTTCGAGGCTAATACATCCACCTCAACTTCTGGATCGATAACAGATTTGCGGAACCATATGTTCAAAATCTCCTTCCGCGCCTCATAATCAGGAGGTCCTATGTATAGTATGTTGTCAAGCCGACCAGGGCGCATCAGGGCCGGGTCTATCACATCGGGCTTATTTGTGGCAGCAATGACTAGGACGCTTTTCAATTCCTCAATGCCATCCATTTCGTTGAGAAGGGTAGTGAGAACATTAACACCTCCCTGTGATGCACTGCCACGTTTTGAAGCGATCGCATCAATCTCGTCAAAGAATATGATGCTGGGTCTTGCAGAACGTGCTTTCCGGAAGATCTCTCGTAGTGCTCGTTCTGATTCTCCAACGTACATGCTAAGTATCTCAGCCCCCTTAACCGCCAAGAAATTAAGCCCTGCTTCCGTGGCCAGCGCTTTCACTGTCAACGTCTTAGAGCACCCTGGCGGGCCGTACAGGAGTACGCCTTTCTTGCTGTTCAAATTAAGCCTTTTCATCCGTTCAGGGTACTGGTGGCTTTGTCAGAACTGCATTAGAATTATTGGAAGTGAAATTTTACCTTCAAAGGCCTCTCCACTGCCTTCTGTAAGCGTCTTTTGATTTCATGCTGTCCACCGATGTCCGACCATTTCACTCTAGGCGTCTCCAAGAACACTTCTCGCATAGCAGTAGGTCGAGTTTCCTGTAGGGCTGATAGGACATCAATTTCTTCAACCTTGAGCCCTCCAACTATTTCCTGGGCAGGCAGGCTTTCAACTATATTGTCGGCAGGTGTGATATCCTCGGGAGAGGAAATCCCATCTCCCACCATTTGCCTTTGCCGTGCCTTGCGACAAATTAATTGGAGCAGAGCGAATAGATCGGCTCCAACATAACCATGTGTCTTTTCCGCAATCATGTCTATGAGGCTTTCACTCAGTGTGGGGGACGGGCATCCACATATAGCACGTAATATTTGAGCTCGATCTTGTGCTGTCGGAACTTGCAGCTCGATCTCGATTGCCAGGCGATGTGGGGTCCTCAGGGCATCATCGACATCATTTGGATGCCGAGTCGCAGCCACGATCAGAATAAGCCCACTTCTGGCATCATCGAGGCATTCACAGAGAACTGATGCCAATGACTGGGCGTCGAGCGATGTCCGTCTGGGCGCAAGAAATTCCACTTGGTCAATGATGACTGCACTTGGTTGGCAGCGTTTTGCTTCTTGAAAGACATTGCGCAGCTTTGATTCAGCGTCCCCAATATTCCGGCCGAAAGTGGAGGAACCAATATGAAAGGTTTTATTCCACCCTGCTGCTTCAATCTGTGCAAGAAGCGCCGTCTTACCCGTTCCCTTTGGACCATACAGAAGTATGCCACGAGTGTGTTCATAAAATGGCGGCATTACTAAATTGACTGGGCCAAGGTTAAAATCAGCAAGACTTTCATTGATGCTCTCAACTTGCCGGTCCACCCCACCCAGGCCAACAGGCCGCACCTGGATGTTGGGGGTCCCGCGTTCTAATTTTTTTTCCAGATCATCGCCCATTATTATCCTGCTAGCTTTAGTAAACTTGAATAGGGTATTGGCGGCACTTCCATCTTGACTTGAGATATCTGCCACTTTGAAGCTCCGACGCTGATTCCTAAGCTCTAGTTCAAATACTAGGCCGACAGTGATGCCATCGCAATTCTGGAGAGGATGCTCCAGAGACCAAGACCAATGGTCTATGTCAGAGGGATGGATTTCGCCGTACTTCGCAACCCTATCACTATCCGAACACTCCATTATAGACACTCTAGTGATCTCGTCTAGAGGCCCGTCGACCTTGGATATAGTAATCTTCTCGCCGATTTTTATTCCATAGCATTCTTGCAGGGTCCTCGAGGTTTGAACAACCGTGTTTTGAATGTTCTCGGTCGCATTCCAAGCTATTGCAGTTCTCGATGGTCCGCCAGCGGGATAGATATTGCATGGGTCTCCCGCTCGGAGTTTGAGAAATGCCAGCGATGACAACGACAGATAAACGCGAAAGGCATCTCGGTGATCATTCCTGGTCTGTTTCGACAGCGGTCGAACTGTAAATGATCGTGTTTCGGACATATTGTGAGCAGCACTTGGGGCTTCTTTGGTTCTATCCCCAAGCTTTTCTACTGCCGCAGAGCGAGCCTGTCTCTTACAGTATCATATCCTGCAGGTATCGCACAATTTAGAATAACTTGAAGTGCCAAGGGGAATGTTATTATATTTTAATATGGTAGTCATGCCATTGATGTACCTACAGTTTTGCTGGTGCAAGAGAGTAGGCGGATTTCGTAAACTTGCAAAAAAGAGACGAGTCAATAGAGACGAAAGAGGGAAATGGGAGGGTAAAAAAGGAAGTGCGATTCCCCTGCAGGATACGAGAATCTCAAAGAAGCGGAAGGGGTAAAAAACTGAAAACAGTGCTGAATATGAGACCCGACAGAATCTGTAGTCTGTACGGAGTATGAAAGATTGGCTTTCCAAGATATTTCGGATACCCACACTGCCCCACATCAGAGCATACATAGTACACACAGTATTCGGTTGATGCCCATTTAGGTACCTAGTACGGAGTAATCCGCGCACATTAGATTATTATAGCATGTGGTCAAGTCTTTCTCCTGCAGTATATATACACCATAGCAATACCATTGCGTGTAGCTGCCGGATATCTAGTTCTTAGATCATCAAACGCACAATATACAATTTTAAACCCACGATATACATATGCAGAAGTACAAAGATGGAGAGGTCAAGAATATCAGCCAAATGTGAACATGATCGCCTTTTCCCTCTCTTAGAGGGTAGTAGTAGCTTGATGCATAGTCTATTCTAGTGCCTTCTTTTGCTGTGTGCCCCTCTCGCATGTTACAGTTATGCACTTGCAGTATGGAGTCGCCCATGACCATAAAACCTATCTACGGGGTACTCGCTAATATCATCTAGTACCATACAGTTCTAGCCATATTTTTGTCAGGGAGTTCCCTAACGTATATTATGTACGTCAAGGTGCTTGTCAGATACTTTATGCCTAATATCACCGGCACTAATAATTGAATACAACAGAAGAAGAACGCCGCCTAAGAAACTCTAACAGCAGGAATGGATGAAAACGCAGGTGAACCCAGGACAAAGAAAATGAAAGACATTCACAATAGCCATAAGCCCCTACCTTCATTATCAACATACGTAGAATAGGAGCACCATCAACCAATCAGCTTCCCTGCATCTATTCAAACCTCGAAGGTATTGATGTTGAAGCTGTGGCACACAAACCTGTAACACGCAAAGGAAGGCACAGAGTCGTAAGGAAGAGCAGTAACCCGGTGTCGACATGGTAAGCGGTGTCAAATTAACAGCACTTCCCTCCCGCATTGCCGTTCAACCCAGAACCTTGCTGGTCTATGCTCACGCCCTGAGAGCCAACCTGTTCAGACTTTGATGTATCCATTCCTTTCTTGATATCAGAGGCCAGGTCATAAAAAGCCTTCTCGATGTTGATGTTGTTTTTTGCCGAAACTTCAAGGAACGGGATTCCAAGCTCATCAGCCAATTGCTGTCCTTGCTCGGTTGATACGGCCCTCTTCTCTTCCCAGTCACATTTATTGCCAATGAGAATTTTATGAACTCCTTCGCTTGCGTGTTGTTCGACATTTGAGAACCAAGTACGAATGTCTAAGCAGGTGGATCAGCGCCGGGTTGTCTTTAAACATTCAAGGGGGTCCTTACTTTGGAATGACCGTTCATCAGTGACGTCGTAAACGAGAAGGATGCCCATCGCTCCTCTATAGTAGGCTGTTGTAATAGTCCTAAATCGCTCCTGCCCGGCCGTATCCCATATTTGGAGCTTCACGCGCTTGCCGTCCAATTCGATAGTACGAATTTTAAAATCGATTCCGATTGTGGTAATGAATGATGGAGTAAACGAGTCTTCACTGAACCGCAATAGACAGCATGACTTTCCTACCCCAGAGTCCCCAATCAGCAGTAACTTGATCTGCAAAGAACGACACTTAGCTTATTTGTCACTCAAGACACATGTCAGCACTTACCAAGAAGTCGTAATTCCTGGTACCGGCCATCTTGGTGTTCCAGATTTGAGCTATGCAGAGGGTGAGGGATAAACGGGGTAGAATAGGACCAAGTGCGGCGTTGTGATAACCCTACTCGATATTGGATTAATCCTCTGGTGTTACTCTCCCCTCTCCCTCTGTGTCGGACTTTCTTCGTCCTCTCTCTTTTCCTCTTCTCCCTTTGAGCCTTTTTATACCTGGGCTGTTACCTCGTTGTATGTGATCAGCCTTCGCTTTACTTGATTTATATGTTGGTCTTCTTCGGTGGTACTGACTGCAGTTCTCTTGCAGTCATCGAATAGTGGCAGGTGCTAGTTTCAGGAACTTCCACGGAACCAAGCGCCGGTCCGGAGAATGGGGTCAGGGGACGGGACGGGACAAGTGTTGTATCGGAGACCCTTTGTTGAGGTAAGGAATTATCCGCGACCTTGGGTTCCCTGGATATCAAAAAAAAAAAATGAACTGAAGAGACAGCTATTCCTAGCTTATGAGGGATGGTAAAAGTGAGTAATTTCTTAGAAGCCTTAGCTCCCAGAGTAAGCTAGGGATGTAGCAGTAACATGCGTGTCCAGATCAAGCCGGAGTAGTATGCCAGGCACTTGTGTAATCGCCTAGTATTGTCCTGCCTAGGCGCACCCCACGAATTGATGTACCAGCCTTATACTACGCAAAAACACGCTTGCAATGAAGCTGTGAGTACAAAGACATGGGAAAATGACTATGATTGTAGGTATAATATTTTTTTTTACTGCAAATGCTTAGTCTCCTTTAGCTTAATTGTACTGTGGCATCACACATCTCAGTACCCAATAACTAGAGAAACATTGGATAATGAAGCCATGCGGGTCTCTTCCAGCTGTAAATGAAATGAACGGAAGGTAGCCGTGTTTTCTTGACGGTCTTCATGAGCCGGACATGGAATTTCAACACCCTAAATCGCTACTATTGAGACACTTAGATATATCTTTAGAGGTAGAAGGAATGATACAGGTGAAGCATATATTCTGTGGTCCTGATAAGCCGCAGGATAACCTTGAGATACCTAATGGCTCCCAAGTAAACGTGTCAGAAGTTCAAAACGACCCCCCGGTTGTTGTGCGCACGTCATAACCATCTTGAATAAACCCAACCCATCCGTTCAACAACCCTGAGTTGCCGGTCAACTCTATCCCTGTCGATCAAATCACTAATATCTTCCTGAAAGGAACGAAGATCAGTGCCTCTCAAAATGGTCCGCGCCTTTGAAAGTAAGGCTTCAGCATTGCATATCAGGAGACCATAATCTCTGAAGGCGAGAATACCACCAGTAGGAGGGGCTGACAGTGTCAAAGTCCGATGGACAGTCCTAGGGCAAAATATCAGGCTCAGATCAAATCATTTCTTTGGAATCGATCCACAACTTACCGGAGGGCATGCCTCAGTTCGTTCTGCTGCTTACCCATTCTCAGGCCTTTCCTGTTGCCAAACAAGCTGTAAAGCCAACGAAGAGATGCATATGACACCAATATACCAGGAGTCAGTCCAATGAACCTGCAACAAGTTAACGGCTATTTCGTTATCCTTGGTCGTACTTCATACCCGAAAACTAGCTCCTGGCTTCTCAATAAAGCGTCAATCCCGCCAATAGCAATCTCGACATCTACTTTTGTCTTCTGTATCTGTATCAAGAGCGCCCGCACCAAATCACCTCGAACGGTCCCGACAAAGGGACTACGCAGGTCTTTCTCATATGCTTTCAGAACGGGTGTCAGATCACCTTCCCTAACTTTTGCTGTGATGGTGTTAGTATTATATACTTCATTATCATTGCTGCTTGGTTCACAACGGTCAAGGACGAAATCCACGACCATCCTTTCCAAGCTCGCTCGGTCTGCTTCCAAGCTGTTCCTACTCATTAAAGCAATTTCACTCGCTTCATCATGTCTTATAGTCCCAATAAGTCTCCGAAGTGGGTCTACAACCCAATTATTCCAAAATTCGATGGTAGTTGAACCAAGGTCTGCGACCCATCTCAACAGCTCATGGCGTCTGTTTCTCAACAGCTCCAGTAATGTACTTGTCGAGAGAAGTGCAAAAGAAATTGGCAACCAATAACGTACTAAGTAATGAGGACGTCCAGAGTTGCTGATTGTTGTTATTGATGTTTTAGCATGGCCCGGAAGAAGCTCTCCGAGTATATAGGTGAGTTGCTGAATGACGAATTTTGGCCCTTCCGAGGATGAGTCACTACAGTAACGCAGCCGCATTGATGTGACTTCTTGGTCGATCGCCATGGTGCTCTCTTCTTGGTGGCGAGTAACTCTGCCGTTTGCCGCATCTTCCAGGAGCGCCTTCATCAAAGCCACACTCTCAAGGACATTAATTTGCCACTCTTCACTGAATGAGCCATAGCCACTGGCGCTGGAGAAACCATCGTCAACTTCACGTGAAAAACACTTGCGTATAAGAAGGCCTATAAAGCTGGCTTTCATATCCATCATTAAACTCAGTGATTTCCGCTTCTGCCGTACTTCTGACTTTGCTGTTGTAAGGGGTGAGAGAAGACTTCGCCAAGGATATATCCTTGGGGAAAGGATACACTGGCGTGCGATTCCATATAATTGTATCCATCCATATGAAACAGAACCCGCGGGTTTATTCCTGGGACTAGTATTTTTCCAAGTTGAGAAGGCCACCCCGAGCCGGTTCCACAGTACCACGGGAGATGTTTGTAGCATGTATAATCCCAGGCACCAATGAGACTCTGAGACGCTATCCCAGTAGATCACCTCCTCGTTGAGGGCCAGCACATCCTCTGAAAGGGTGTTCAGTATGATCCCAAGAGTCTGAGCTGCAGCTTTAGCAGCTACCAGCCAAGAACTGTCTATCGCGTATGTTAGAAACTTATTTATGTCTGGAGATGTATGATCAACGGCGAGCAGATCCTCAGGGAATGCAGCAATTAGATTCAAGACTTGCTCTGAGCGCAGCATTGGTTGAGATTTGGATGTTATAGAAAGTGAGTCTAATATCCTCTCCAATGTTGCCACATTTTTAACAGGGTTAACTGTTTGAAGTGCATGTTCGTGGCGGTCTAACGAAGAAAGACATGAATTATCCTTAATTCGCTGCTGTATTTTATCAAGTCGGGCATCCAGATGGTAAACCCTGCTACGACACTATGAGACAAATGCGGAAGAAGAATGCTTTTGTGGACTTACTTGTTGACAGCATACATCGTGAACCGTTTGAACCAAGTGGCAGAGCAGGGCTAGCATTGATATACATGAAAGGTAGACGCCAGGCTTGAAGACCAGTGGTTGAAATAAATGGCGTCATGCACACTAAACAAATCATACAAACATTAATTCGGCTTCCGTACGATCTTTTTTATGTACCCTGTACTCTGTACATTACCGTACTTTGTAAAAATACTATGTTCTATGTACACTTCGTCCTACTTGCTGCCTGCTTGAGCTCTAGTATACCATATGAAGGTGGCTAGTTCTGTGGTGTAATGATGATGCGAAAAAGCTGTAACGAAGGTAGATCACTCACTCCAGATTGGAGCAAATGGCAGATAATCAGAATACTGCGTGGCATGTAAACACCTACAAAGTAACAAGGTATTTCGACCTAGCATTTGAAGATACTGATATATGGATTGAACATGTTCTCAGTGCGCATATGAGATCAATGACCTACGATATTGACTGCGTTTAATGAAATACATTGTGTTCGGCCAATTGATAAGTTGGAATGCATTCATTGTACGGAGTAAGAAATAATCTGACTATTACTAGAAAGAGGACGATGAGGAGGAGGGGGGGTGGGTAACAGTAGATAAACACCTAGATAGATATCTACCCTTGGTAAAAGTTGAATTACTTCAGGCTAGCTGGGAATCGGAAGAATTGATAATCAGATCAACATCAATGGACAAGATTAACCAAGGAGGGCGGATGGTTTTAGTACAACCAAGTGGAGCTAGTATCGGTCCCAGTCGGCTAGCCAGTGGTGCCAGAAAGGTCAAGGCCAGGGGGGAAAGGTCTCGCCACCTCGGGAGTCCTGATCGCGCGGTTCTTCCACTGGTGTTCCTGAAATACCGGCCGAGTACCACCACCAACTCTCCCCAGCCAACATTTCGTTGCCTGTCTCTTTGACACTTAAATAATTCCATTGGGAATTGCCTCATTGGCCATATGCCAATTGCATTGCGACTAGCCAAATATCTTACAGCTTCCTTGCTTGTGCATTTCCACAGCCCTGATAGCCAGGCTTTACTTGAAGGATACCTGAGATAATAAAGGAAGACCCAAGGGCCGGTTTACATCCCAGGATAATGTGAGTTATCTACTATCTGTCACTATTTTATAAACGGGGTCTAAGAGAGGATAGGAATTCCACCTTGCTTTCGGGGCCAGAGACGTACTGGGGCCAATTCGAAGAAATTTCCAAGTATAATACCCACTTAAATGTGGTCGAAAGACTATGGACAGCATGGTATGCGTGGATGCAAAATGATGTTCTTGCAACTGGAATCATGTCCTTTGTAATGCATGAAATTGTTTACTTCGGGCGTTCCCTTCCCTGGATCTTTATAGACAGTCTGGGTTTATTCAAGAACTACAAGATTCAGAGCGTGAGTATTATACCCGCCAGGTCTAACTTCTGCGATTCTAACTGGCCCGCAGAACAAGGTACCATCCCTACGAGAGCAATGGGATTGCGCAAAATTCGTTCTTCTCAGTCACTTCACTGTGGAACTGCCTCAAATCTGGTGAGGAGCACGCAATAGAGCCAGCGCCCTTACCATTCGCTTACTGATAATCTTAGGCTATTCCACCCAATGGCTCAGTTCTTTGGCCTTTCAACCTCGGTCCCCTTTCCTTCTTTGTGGACCATGGCCTATCAGATCGCCATATTTTTCGTCTTGGAGGACACGTGGCATTATTTTTCCCACCGTGCTCTTCACTGGGGGCCTCTGTATAAAGCCATTCACAAGATTCACCACCAATACTCTGCACCTTTCGGTATGGCGGCTGAATATGCTTCCCCTATTGAAGTGATGATCCTCGGATTCGGTACTGTTGGCTGTCCCATTCTATGGTGTGCAGTGACCGGGGATCTACATATTTTCACGATGTACATTTGGATTGTCTTGCGACTTTTCCAGGCTATTGATGCCCACAGTGGTTATGAGTTCCCCTGGAGTCTGCATCATTTCCTCCCATTCTGGGCTGGAGCAGACCACCATGATCTTCACCACGAGAAGTTTGTAGGAAATTATTCCAGCAGCTTCAGGTGGTGGGATTACGTTTTGGACACCGAATATTCTCCAGAGGCCATCAAGCGGAGAAGGGAGAACAAAGCTATGAGGGAAACTAAGAAAGCTCAGTGATGTTTTGAACTTGACAATTTCTTCCAAAGTGGGTTGCGTGGCTTAATCCCGAATGAACTCACTGGTGTGTCTTGATGTGGTTCCCACCTTGCTTACCAATGATTATCTGAAACATCACCTTACGATTTATACTTGATAATATAGAGATATAGCTTTTAATGGAGATTCATTCTTGTGGGCTGGCTGACTTCTTCATGTTTTGGCTTTTGAGCTGTGGACTAAACGGCTGTTGTAGCCTGTGTGTGACTAAATACACCATATGCATTGTTCACACAGTCAAATTACAACCATAGCCCCAACTTTGATATATAGTCTATAGAATTCTAAATTTTGTATGTAATTCTGTTGCTGCGTTAGAGCCCTGTTATATGTAGCTTATGTGGTCATCCCTATTATAAGGCTCTAATCTATAGTAAACCAAGAATAGGTGTGAGGCTCTAACCTCACATGTCCCACACGTACTGTGGTATGTGTCAAAAAGATTGTAACGTAATCCACAAGCGAGCGGGCCACCTCTCACTGAATCTAACTATAGTCAAATATAAGGCTATTTAAAACCACCAAAACATACATTTCTATAATAAATCTAATTACGACTACGATTTGAACACTGCAATTATCTATACTTAATAATATAATATTTATTATAATATAGGGGTGATTGTACGCGGCACTACAATATATTTAATATATTTAGTTTTTATAGTATAAGTCTAATCTATATAGCCTCTTTGATCTGATTCCTGCTCTGTATAAATATATGGTTTTCTTGAATTAAAAAGTCTTTTATAGAAGTAATCTGTGTTAAAAAATCTATTTTTCTTTGAAACTTTCTTTTAATAAATAGTTTATAGATCCTAGTTTTCTTTTATAAAAATAATAATTTTATTAAAAGTTATTTTAAATTCTTTCACAAGCTTATTTAATGCTGTTTTTATTAGGCTAGAAAAACTTTATATATAATATTATAATAATAAATAATTTTTTAATTATAAATACTTATTTATCCAATTACTTAATATTATATAATATTTTTAGTATAAAAGTGTCACGGTACCTGCCTGCCTGCCTACCTGAACCCGTGTGGTTGCCTGAATCATGCCTGAATCCTGTTCCTGAATACTCTTATATAGCGTGCGCAGTGTAAAGCCATTGGTTTTACATCCTAGTCCTTTTGCTGATAGTGCAGCGGGAAGTACCTGGAATGCGCACCCAGTATGCCCCGTGACAATAATAAAGGGAAACATAAGTAAAATAATAATTAATTTAATAATTATAAATTATATAAGTAGATTCTGAATTATTATAATAATAAATTTATTATAAATAATACCTGGAATCACAAAGAAAATCTTATTAGAAAAAAATAGTAAATAATTATAATATTTTATATATAATAATATTTAATATTTTATAAATTATTATTCTACTAAAAATAAAAAACTTAATTTATTAAAAATTATTAGTTTGTGATAGAATGGTCTGGATTGAGGCCTTATCTTATCAGCATTGGCCCGACTGATGTCTTGGCCCTATAATAAGCCATACTAAAAAGATTATAGTCGTAAGGTCATCAACTTATATACTATAATAATTTATTAACTTTTATATAATAAAAAGATAGAGTCGTACTATCTGATCCTTTAAAGATTAGTTTATCTTATAAATATAGACTATCTTTATTATTACAAGTAGAATTTTATATATTTAATAGCTAGTTTTTTATTTAGTTAATAAATCTTTTACTTTAACAAGTAGATTCTATCATATTCTAGTTTTTTTTGACTATCTAAGGAAGATACTACCCAAAAATTATAAAAAAATAAAAATAGTTAGTAATCAAACTAATTTAAAATTATTATTAAATATTATTTTTACTGTTAAAGAGATTCAATAGTTAGAAGATTATATTTATTAATTAAAATAAATTAATAATTTATAATAAAGAATAGTTTATTTTCAGGAAGATTATTTTTCTAATAAAATCCTATTTAAATATTATTAATTTTTCTTTAATAAAGAAAAAGAAGAAATTAAATTTAAAAATAATCTTTATTATATATTAAACTTTAATCTTTAAAAATATCAGAAATAAATTATTAATTTAAAATATATATTTTAAAGAACTTTTGAAAAATATTTTATTAAAAAATATAAAATTTTTATTATTATTAGCTACATAAATCCAGTATATAAATAAAAATAATATTATTTTATTAATAATAAAAATCTAGAAAAGAAATAATTATTTAAGAAATTATTATTTTAATTTAAAGACTAAATACTTATTTCAATTTAAAATATTATTATTCTCTAATTAAATACTATAGTTTAATTTAAATAAGCTTACTAGTAGTATAACTAAGAACTAAAAAAGTTTTATATCTATTTAAATATTTTAAAGTAATATTTTCTTTATTAAATAAAAAATTTTTTTATTATACTTCATTAAGTTATTATTAGATTTAAATTATTATATTTAAGAATATATCCCGTATATATCTAAGAAACAAGAAAAAATAGTATCTATTACTATCTACTATTATAAATTATAAAATAATAGAGAAAAATATAAATAAAATAATAATAAATTTAATAGTTATTAACTATACAAATAAGTTTCAAATTATTATAATAATAATCTAGTTAAGAATAATATTCTAAATTATAAAAAAAATCCTATTAAAAAAATAATAAATAATTATAATATTTTATATATAATAGTATTTAATATTTTATAAATTATTATTTTATTAAAAATAAAAAAAATTTAATCTATTAAAATTTACTAGTTCTTATTAGGGCCAGAGGAAAAAGTAAAGAAATTAAAATAAATTTTATAATTTTAATTTTATTATCTATAGTAGAAACTACTTATTTTTATATTCTTATTTATATTTAAAATAGTCTTGAAATCTTTATAGACCTAAATAACTATATTAAAATAAATATTATTAATTATTAATTTATTAAAATTTATAAATTTTAATATACTTCAGTCACTGCACCTAAAATTAAAGTAATTAATTAATTTAATATTTTTATTTATAATATATAAAATGTATTTATTATTATTATTAATTTACGAAAAAGTACTTAAACTTTTAAATAATATTATATAAAGATTGATAAAAATCTTTAACTAAATAATAATTTTATTTTATTATTAATAATTATATTTTAAAATTTATATATTAATTTATCAGTACAGAATCATCTATACTAATTTAATATATTATGAATTTCTTTTTTTTACTACTAAATTTATTAAAGTAACTTAAAATTTAGTAAAAATATTTTTTATTATTTAATTTTTTAAAGATATTTAGCTATTTTAAAAAATCCCTTATAAATTATTATTAAATTTAAAGATAATATTAATTAAACTTTAGTAATTCTAGGATTCTTTTTTATAGAATTTTTTTAATAATTATCTTTTTATAGTCCTATAAATTATATTATTAGTTTTAAATCTAATAAAATACTTTTATATAGTCTTATATACCCCCTTTTAAAAGTTGAATTTAAAGTCTTATAGAAATATATTGAAAAATCTAAAATTAGATTAAATATAATTTTTTAAAAGTCCTACGGAGACTCCCATTCTTTTTATATTAAAAAAAAATAATAATTTATACTTCTATATAAACTATAGGAATTTTAATAAGATTTTTATTAAAAATTATTATTTTTTATTTTTTATTTTACAGATCCTTAATAGAGTTATAAATAATAAATATTTTTTAAAGATTAATATTAAGAATGCTTACTATTAAATTTATATTAAAGAAAAAAATAATTAAAAAATAATATTATATATTTATTATAGTTATTTTAAGTATATAGTTATATTTTTTAAATTAATTAATATTCTAGTAACTTTTCAAATATATATATATATTATATTTCATGGACTTCTTAATAATTTTTATATAATATATTTAAATAATATCTTTATTTTTTTACTAAATAAAAAATCTTATATAAAATATATTTACTAAGTACTAGAAAGATACAAAAACTAAACTTTATATAAAATTATTCAAAATACTTATTTTACTAATCCTAAATTAAATTCTTAGAATATATTATTAATATTAATAATATATCTATAAATCTTTATTAAATAAATAATATTATTTTATAATTATTATTTAAAAATTATCATAATGTCCAGGTCTTCTTAGAATTTTATAATTTTAATTAATAATTTAAAATTATTTTTATATTATATTACTTCTTACCTCTTTACTCTGTAAAATAGTTAATGGTTGAAAATCTAAAAAAATTTAATTAAATTTATATAAATAAATAATTTTTTATTATTTAATTATTATTTTTTAATAAATATTTTTATTAATATATTTTAGTCCTACGAAGCCCCGATGTTTAAAAATTAATATATTTAAAGAAAAAATAAATAAGATTTTATTTATAACTTAATAATAAAAATATATTCTATTTAATTATTTTTTAGTTATATAAGTTCTCTAGTATTAAACTAAATTATAATATTTTAGATTAAGAATTATTATTATTTATTTCTTTAAATAATAGTAATAATATTTTAAGGAAACTTTTTAAATAATTAAAATCTTATTTAATTATTTAAACTTATAATCTTCTATATATTAGACTAGAGTTAATAAAAGATAAGCCTAATAATTTATAAATCTAATTTTTTTTAATTTCATTATTAAATATAAAATAGAAAAATTAAATCTAGTAGACAGATCCTCTAGAATATTTATTAAATTTTAAATAAAATCTATTTCTTAAGAGAAACTCTTAATCTTAATTTAAGATTATTTTATAAGTATGTTATTTTTAATAATTAAAAATTTAATAAATATAAAATTTTAATTTAAATTTTAAGATACGTAAAGTTATCCTAGATTTAATATCTATATAATATTAAGTTTAAAAAACTCTAATAGTCGAGCTAATATAAAGATAGTTAATTAAATTATTTAAAAAAATTTATTTTAAAAAAGATTTATTTCCCAATCTATAATAATATATATATATATTATAAAAGTTTTGTACTTAGATATATATAATTCTAAGTTTTAAAAAATTATCTTATATTTATAAAATAAAGATCTAGAAACTTAATAATAATAAATTATTATTTAATAAAAATAATTAAATTAAAAATACTAGATTATCAAGATTACTAGTTATATTTTATTTTTTAAAATATTATATTAAATACTTATCTATTTATACCATAATAATTTATTAGCGGGATATTTTAAAAAGATTTAAATAAAAACTTTATTATATAGAAAGTTCTATTAGAGTAGATTATATAAAAATATAATTAAATATATTTAAATTTATTTAATATATCAAGATAATATAGCTTTAAAATATTAATTATATAGTAATCTTGAATCTTTACTAATTCTATCCCATTTTTTTATAGAATTAATAATAAATTTTATTATAAGATTACTTTTAATTATTTAATATAAATAAACTATTAACTCTATTTTTATTATTATTAATTAATTTTTGAAATACTTTTTTTTAATATTCTATTAATTATAATAATTCTAAATCTAATTAAATTATTTTATTAATAGGTTAAATTAGTTTTCAAACCCCTTAATAGGATTATATCTAATTAAATTTAATATTTATTAATAAATTAGTTAGATCTATCTTATAATAGTTATATAATTTTAAGATTTTTTACTATATTTTATCTATAAATTAATAGCTAAATAGAAAGAGTAAACTAAATCTTAAAGTATTACTTAAAGTATTATTTTATTAAATTTTATATAAATTAGACTATAATATTGCTAATTATCTAATTTATTTAAAATAATATAAATAATATAATTACTAAATAATTATTTAATAAAATTTTATATAACTATTTACCAGATTTCTATATTAAATTTAAGATTAATTTTTAATAATAAGAAGTCCTAGCTATATAAGATAAAATTAAAAAATTTAAATAAGTAAGAGAATAACTCTAAAAAATTTAATAAATAATTATAAAAAAATAAAAAGAATACTATAATAAATATAAAAAACTATTCTATTTTAAAAAAAGAAATTTGATTAAATTATTAACCTAAAATCTATAGTTTAAGGGATTGAAAAAACTAACTCTAAAATTTATAAGATTTTTTTAGATTTTAAAATAAATTAAATTATAAGTATACCGCCTCTACTAATCTAAGAAATATAGATAAATTTATAATATATTTTATATCTTATTACTAAAATTATAGAATATTAATATAAATTATAAAAAAATATTACTAATACCAGAGCTAGACAATAAGAAAAAAATAAGAAATTAAAAAAATCAAGAACTACTAATGATATAATAGCTAAGATTATTATTTAATTAAATAAAAAAAGTCTAATAAATATAATTAATAAATATTTAAAAAAAATATAAATAATATATTCTAAGCTATTTATAACTACTAGGAAAAATAGAAAGGGCTAAAATAAATAATAAAATATTATTAAAATAATAAAATCTTAAAAATATTACATATTTAACTTATTAATATAAACATTAGATCTATAAAATCATTTTATTATTTTCTTATTAATATTATAATTATTTATAAGGAATCTAGTTTAAATTATATAAAAAATATAAAACTTATTATAAATAGTAAACTATATATTAATAATCTATACTTAAATATTTAAAATTATAATTATAAGTTTTTTTAAAAAAAATAGACATCTAAACACTTATTAAATTATAAAAATATAAATAAAAAAATTATCATAAAAAATCTAAATTTTTAAAATTATTATTATATTTTTCTTTTTATCCAAATTATTGTCTGAATTGTTTTTAAAGATTATTAGAATATTAAAGAAATACTTATAAACTATATTTATTATATTATAGAAAAAAATAATAATTATTATTATTTAAATTATATAGTCTGCATCCCCCAGTAATAGATAAAGAAGTATCTATTTATTATAATAATAAAACTTTAAGTGGGATATATTAATATTAGAATATAAAATTTAATAAATTATAATATTATACTAGATAGCTAGATACTATTAATAACTATAAATATTAATCTGGTATTTTATTAATAAATTATCTAAAAAGATTATTATTTATTAATTTATATTTTTCTTAAAATCTTTCAGGTAAAGATCTATAATATAAATAATTTTCGTATTTTTATAAGGTTTTTATAAAATTAAAGTTACTAGTATATAAATAAATATATAACTTATTACTTCAATCCTTAATATCAAATAATTTATTAATTTATTAAAAATCCTTTATAAGATCATACGCGTTTTCTAGTATTCTAGTAAATATCTAATTATATTAATAACTAAATAATATATTAATAAGTAGAATATTTATAGGATCGTACTTTTTATTATTCTAAAAGTAATACTAATAAAAGATTAATATTTTTCTATTAAAAATATATTAAATAATAGATGGAACACTAGTAACAATATTATATTTTTTAAAATTTAAATAAAAATAATATATATAAAAAAATATATTAGCTTGATAGCTATATTATAAATAATTTAATAAATATATAAAATATTATAATTACTTTCTTAGTTAAATAATAATAAAAAAGCTTAGGAACATAATGTAATTAATAATAATAAAAAAACTATAATATTAAATAAAAAAAATAACTACAAAAAATAAAAAGTATAGAAGAGAAGAAAAAAAACAATAATATTAATATTAATATTATAATAAACTATTATTAGATTTTAAAACTATTTTAAATATAAATAGAGATATAAAAACAATAAATAATATCTACTTTAAATAGAAAAATTAAAATTATAATATTTATTCTAATTTTTTTTACTTTTTTTCTCTAACTTCGATGAGAATTAATAGGTTTTAATAGATTAAATCTTCTTATTTTTAGTAGGACGATAGTTAATAAGATATTAAGTATTATTATATATAAAATATTATAATCAATGATTATTCTTTTTAATAAATTTTTTTATAAATCAGGGTATCATCCTTAATAAGTCTATTATCATAATAACTTTGAATTTAAAAAATTATTAAATTAATTATTATTTCATTTATATTTTTCTTTATTATTCTATAATTTATAATAATAAATAATAATATATATTATTTTATTTTATTTCTTGGGTAGGTGCGGAATGTATTTTTAAATATAATAATTTAAATTCAATAATAATTTAATAAAATATAATAAAATTTTCTTCCTTAATAGGAAAAATAATATTTTAAAATATTAAAATAAATATAATTTTTTTTAGATTTTAGTTATATTACTGGTAAGCTTATTCAAGTTAAACTATAATATTTAATTAAAAAATAACAATATTTTAGATTAAAATAAAAATTTAGTCTTTAAACTAGATTTATAATTTCTTGAATAATTATCTCTCTTCTAAAGTTTTATTATTAATAAAATGATACTCTTTTTATCTACATGCTAGATCTATGTAATTAATAATAATAAAGATTTTATATTTTTTAATAAAATATTTTTTTAAAGTTCCCTAGAACATATATTTTAAATTAATAATTTATTTCTAATATTTTTAAAGATTAAAGTTTAATATAAAATATAAAACTATATTTCAATTCAAGAAAAGATTAATAATACTTAAATAAAATTTTACTAGAAGAATAATCTTTTTAGAAATAGATTATTTTTTATTATAAATTATTAGCTAGGTCCAAACAATGAATATAATCTTTTATTTATTGAAAATTTTTAATAGTAGAGATAATATTTAATAATAGTTCTAAATTAATTTAATTACTAACTATTTTTATTTTTTAAAATTTTTAAGAAATAGTATCTTCCTTAAGTAAGAACTAACAAGAGAAAAATCAGAATATAATAGAATTTATTTATTAGAGTAGACGGCCTATTAACTAGATAAGAAGCTAATTACTATATATAAGATTCTACTAATAATAATAAGAATAACCTATATTTATAGGATAGATTAATCCTTGAGAGATCAGTGGTTTAATATTAAGAAATATTATTTTATAAAAAATAAGATTTATAACTATTATTGATAATCTTATAACTTTTATAATTACCCTAATATATCATCCCAAGGATCTTGATCCTGATAGCTAGGCTATTTTCAAGCTATCCTATCATAATTTAATATAAACTTATAAATTTTTATTTTTTTTATAAATACGATTAGTTTCAGAGTATAAAAATAAATATAATATAGTCTTATTCTCTATAAATACTCTAGTAAAATCTTTAAATTATTGTAATGATTTTTTTCTTTTAATTTTTATAAATCTTTTATATTATTATTATCTAAATCTATTTTATTTAATATTTTTTTATGAAACGTCATTCTATAAATATATAATATATTTGAACTATTTTAATCCGATAAAACCTAAGATAATAATGATTAAATTTTTAGAGAATATATTAATAGTATTCTTAATATAATTTTTTAATATTAAATATTATAATTATGATATTCTAATATTTTTCATGAGTACTTTCCATATTTTTAATTAAATCTTTTCCGTTTTTAAGAACCTCGTAAGTATATTTATAAACATTGAATTTTGTTAATTTTGTATAAATATTACTAGTACGAGATGTATCTTAATATTTTTATCAATTAATACTTTTATATTGTGAAACTTATCTAGAATCTTTTTTATAAATAATTTTTTTATATTCATAAGTTACAAGATATTATAAGATATAATTGTTAAATTTTTTTAAAATTTATGTATATAACTGGTTATTCTTTTATAATGAATCTTTTTATATATCAATAATAATTTACTTCAATATATTTTATCTCTTTTTATTTATAATATATTAAAATTATAATAACTATAATTTCACTAGCTAGTACTTATAAGAATACATTTAAGAATTTCTTTTATAGTAATATTATTATAATTTTTTCTATAAGTTATATTAGTAGAGATACTACATTTTATTTATAAAAATATAAATCTTTTTATAAACATTCTAGTTTATTATTTAGCTAGTTTAAATTTAGCTATATTCTTATTAGGAAAACTATTAAATCTTATATATTAATTAAGAAAAACTAGTTTTTCATAAAGCTTTTATTAATTATTATAAAAAAAGATTTAAGGAATGGATAAAACTATACTATTTTTAATTATTAGATTTTATTTTCTAATCTAATCTTTATTTTTTCAAATATTAAAGATATATGAAGTCTTACTTTTTATATAAGATTACTATTAAAATTTATAATTAAACTTCCTATTTTCTATTATTTAAATTCTTTAATTATATTTCTAATAATTTATAAAGTCTAGTATAATCTTATGTATAATAAATTATCGCGGTCTCTTTCTATAATAAGTTATTAAAAATATAATTTAAATATATTATAATATATAGCTATTATTTCTTCTTTCAATTATTTATTTTTATAATTAATTCTTACTACGTAATAAATAATTAGTAAATTATATAATTATAAATATTACATTATTTATTATTTTATTAAGATTTTATATAAATATTAATATATTTGTCACAGTAATACTCTGCGAATGATTTAAATTATTAAAAGTTTCTTTTATTCTTATAGTAAGTTATTCATAGAGTTTATTTAAGAAAATCTATATTTTTTAATATTTTTCATAATCTTCCTTAATAAGCCTTCATGAGGGATATTAATAGAGTTTTCTAATTTTTTATAAATATAGCTTCTAGTATTTTATATAAATATAGTTTAATAGATTATCTTACAGGTTCATGTGATAAGATTATAAAAAATAATATAGAATAATAATATAGAAAATAAATTTATATAAAAATATATAAAATATAAGATTATATTTTTTATAATATTATCATTAATTTCGTAGCTAATGCTCCTCGTAGATACTTATTATCTATAAAACGCTTATAGATTATGTAATTATAATATCTTATTAATTAAGATCTAGAAAGGTTTATTTTAAATAAAAATATTTCTTATGATAAGTTTATCATGAGTCTTATAAGAATGTAATCTCTTATAATGTATTAAAAAATTATTCAATTTTTAAAATCTCACTTATAGTTAGTTCTAAGTTATATTTTATTTACTTATCTATATATAATTTGAGTAATAACTAGTCTAGTATCTAATCAAAGTATTAATTATTATTAATATTTACTATCTATCTATTATTAGAATTTATTATTTTATTAGTCCAATTTATTTATATTATAATATACTATTCAAAATATAATAATTATATATTAAATTTAATTAACTATTAAGATTGTTTACTAATTAATTAATCTTTTAACTATAGGAAAAATTACTAATAAGAAAAATTGGATATTAATTAAATATATTAAAATCTTATAAATTAACATACCTATAATTGATATTTTTATTTTAATTCCAGAATTTATTACTAAAGAATCTATAGAGTATAATTGTATTAATTAATCTTAAATATTAAATTTTTATTTCTTTTAAATATTTATTTGATTTTAATTTTCTGAATACCATTACTTAGATTTAAATTATTTTATTCTTAAGTTTAAAATAATAATACATGTTAATTATAACTATACGATAAAATAATCTAGCTATCAGGTTTGGAATCCTAGGGATAATATATTAAGATAATTATAAACATTATAAGATTATCAATAATAGCTATAAATCTCTTTATTATCTATAAAATTCTATTTCTTTAGTATTAGATTATTAATCTTTTCAAGATTAGTTTATCTCATAAATATAAGCTATCTTTATTATTATTAAATAAATCTTGAGTATTCAGTAGCTAATTCTTTACTTAATTAATAGGCTTTTCTTTTAATAAGTAGATTTTATTATATTATAATTTTTAGTTATTTAAGGAAAACACTACTTGAAAACAGTAAAAAATAAAAATAAATAATGATTAAATTAATTTACATTTATTATTAAATATGATTCTTACTATTAATGAGATCAAATAGTTAGGAAATTATATTTATTAATTAAATAAAATTATAACTATAATTATACTATTACTCCAGAAAAAAAGAGAATCTTTTTATTTAATCCTTTATATAGTATATCCTGGAATAAATTATAAATCTTCTATAAATAATTATCTAAAAATTTAAAAAAAATTATTTATCTAAGCTTATTACCCACTACCTTACTAGTTCTCTTTATTAAAAAATTTAGAAAAAAGATTTAGATTCTATATAGATTACTATATTTTAAATATAATTTTTATTAAAGATTACTACCCGCTCCCGCTTATAAAAAAATCTTTAAATTATTTAAAAGAAATATATTACTTTACTAAAATTAATATTATTAGTATTTTTAATAATATCTAAATTATTAAAAAATAGAAATAGCTAATAGTATTTTATACCTATTTTAGATTATATAAATTACTAGTAATATTCTTTGAATTAATAAAAATCCCAGCCATCTTTTAATATTATAATAATAATATACTCTAAAATTATCTAGACGTCTTCTATATAGTATATTTAAATAATATTTTAATTTATAACTATATTTAAATAAAGTATATAAAGCATATTCAGCTAGTCTCTATAAAATTATATCAAACTAAATTTTTTATTAAAATATTAAAATATAAGTTTATTATTCCTGAGATTAAATTTCTAAATTTAATTATAGGCTGTAATAAATTCTATATAAATATAAAAAAATTAAAATTATTATTAAATAATTTACCTTAGTCTATGTAATAAATATATAAATCTTTTTAAGATTTAGTAACTTCTACCACCATTTTATCTATAATTTTTTAAAACTTATTATTTCTTTTATATAATATATTAAAAACATATTCTTTTTATCTAGATTTTTATATATTAGAATATTTCAAATTATGTAAAAAATGTTTTACAGAAAATTTAATACTATAGCTATTTAATTGGACCTAAAAAATAATATTAAAAATTAATATTTTAAATTATATTTTTATTAGAATTTTATCTTAGAATAGTAAAAATAAATTATTATATTTTATAATTTTTTTCTCTAAGAAATACTACTTAATTTAATATAAATATAAAATCTATAATAAAAAACTACTTATAATTATCTACTACTTTAAGTAATACTCTAAATTTAAAGAAACTTTATTTCTAATCTAGATTATTATTAATTACTATAATCTAAAATACTTTATATTAATTAATTTTTGATTAGTATTAAATTTAATAATTAAAATTTTTATTTTATTTTAATTTTATAATTATATTTTGTCCTGAGCGCTATAAAATTAAATCTAATAATTTAATTAAAAGATTAGAAAATTTTTTTAAAAAAAAATAATTATTATATTAGATCTAGACTATACTAAAATTAGAAAACCTAGATTGTATTTATTTATTTATTTAGATTAAGGAGGACCCCGAACCCGGAACTACTAAAAGAAACCTTATATTTAATAAATATAAAATATTTTTAGATTTTAAATAATTATTTATCCAAGCTAAGAAGGACCTTAAATGTAGAATTACTAAGAAAGATTCTAAATTTAGTAAATATAAAATATTCCTAGGCTCTAAATAACTATTTAAATAAGAAAAATCTAAAAACTTTTTTAAGAATACCTTAGTTCTAATAATCTAATTTTAGAATAGTATTACTTCTAAAAATAAGAATTATAACTATTACCGGAAATCTAAACTACCTTATAAAATATATATAAAAAAATAAATAAGTATAAAATATACTAAAAATATTAACTATTAATAAAAACTACTATCTAGATATTTCCTTAATTTTTTATAAGAGAAAGAAAATTTATAATTCTATAGAATTATCTCCAGATCTCTAACTATAATAAAATAAAGCTAAATTAATTTAATTAATATATAATAAACTATTCTTAAAATATCTAAAAAATTTATATATATATCAATTTTTAATTTAAGAATATTACTAGCCCAACCTCTACCACTATATAAAATAATAAATAAAAATTATTATATTTATTATTATATTACTCTATTTTAGATAATTAGATAAAATATTTTAAAATTTTTATTAATCCCTGAATATGTCTAGCAGGATATATCTATAAATTTTATTATAGATTTATCTTAAAAATTATAAATATAATATTATACTAGTAATTATTAATAAATTTATTAAAATTATTAAATCTGATATTCTATAACTTTATTATTAATATTATTAAAGTAGCTATAATATATATATAATATATATAGAAACTATATAGTTTTCTTATATTTAGTCTCTAATTAAAGCTTCTAGTTTATAGCTAAATTCTAGAAATATTTGGTTTAATATCTAAATATTACTAATTAATTATTTCTTATTTATTATTTTAAAATTGATAGCCTGATAGAACAGATAAATATTATATTAAAATAATATTTTTATATTTATATAAATTATTTATAGAATAATTAGAGTACCTAACTTTTCTTAGCTAAGTTTATTTTAAATATTATATATTCTAATATTATTAAGACTATATTATTCTTTACTAACTATAGCTTTTATCTATAAATAAAATTTAAACTTATATCTATCCCCAATTAACCTACTATTGAAGACATGGAGTAATTTATTATAAAAATATATATTATTATAGAATTTATAAAAATTAAAATAACTATAATTTAAACTAAACATATAGAATAAACTAATAAAAAACACTATTTTAATTAAAGATTTTAAAAAAATTAAAAAGTCTGGCTAGACACCTGATTTATTAAAAATTAATAATTTAATAAGTAATTTACTTAGAATATTCTAGACTTTTATCTAATTAAAAAAATTATTGATTTTTATATATACTACTTAGAACTTCTACTGAGTATGAAAATGTATCTAATATTTAATATAAATTTATTTATTTTTATTAATAATAATTAATTATTAAATTAATATTAATCCTTTTTCTCTTATATCAAGGTCAACGGAACTAAAGAATGAAAAATTAAAAATATATTAGTTTTTTTTTACAAAATTATCAGAGATAAGGCTGCCCCCAATTAATATATTTTATTAAATTAATAAAATAAAAATATATTAATTTTATTATTAAACTTGTAGAATAACTAGAAAATATTTAATAAATTATTAAAAATTTTTATTATTATTATTTATATAAATTCTAATCTTTACTTTATAAAAGTTTAATTTAAAGAAAAAAAAGTACTATCATAGTATAATCTTCTAAATTAGAAAAAATTTAATTAAATCTTACCGCCAGTATATAATTTTAGATATAATTAAAAATAATTTATTTCTCAAACTCTATCTATAGTCTTAAGCTATATCTTATCTATTAATCTATATATAATTTAATTAGTAGCTAGCTCAGTATCAAATCTTAATTATTATTATTATCTGAACCCTGCTCGCCTGTTAGAACCCACTATCCTACCACCCCTACCTGCCTGCACCTTGACACTAAGGATATATATATTCTAGAAAAAACTAGACTATATCTTATATAGATACAGTCTTTATATATAGTATTAAGATGATCTGCTTACTCAAGTAGTCTATTATAATAAATATAATATTAAAATTATAATAATCTTCTAAGAATATTTAGAAGTCTATTAATCAATATTATCACAGGCAATCTGAAATTAATAAAACTTATAAAAGCCCTGGAGAAAGATTCTATTATATATTCTTTTACTTATAAATTAAATAATTATTTAAGTAATGACGTACATCCCGATTCTAGATATTCTAATAATATTAGTATTTTATAAGACTTGTGTTAATAATAAATCTTATTTAGTAGTTGGATATATAGGTCTCTATTATCTAAAATTATTAATAGATTATTAAAGAATAGAATCTATTTTTTAGAATATATCTTCCTTTATTATAATGGGCTCTTTCTTAATAAATCTCTAAAAAGAGATAGTTCTAGTTAATTATTAAAAATTTAATCTATAATTTATAAATATTTCTATATAAAGATAAAAATAGTTAAAGTTTCAAGAATAATTATAAAAAAATATACTTTATTTTTTAAATATTTTAGAAATAATAATAATACTTATTTATAATATTATACTAGAGCTTATTGTTTATTATTTTTATAAATTAAAATATTTATTAGGACATTATACTTACTAGAATAAAATTAGATTAAGAAATAATACTAAGAGAGAAGCTTAGTCTACTATATTTAAGTAATATTTAATTATTGGATTATTATAAAGTACTCCAGGATTCAATAATTAATTAAAATATTAAAATAATTTATATATTAAAGTTTTTCTAGTTCTAAATATTATTTTTTTAAATACAAATAATCGCTAGTAGTTTCATATTATAAATATTATAATTATATTCTATGGCAAATATAATCTTAAAATAATAATTTATAAAATATTAAATTCTATTTTTTGATTAAAAATATACTTTTAAAATGATTCTACTAACTAAATCTATTTTAATATAAGTAAGACGCATGGATTTATAATAAATAAAATAGAAATTAAAATTAAAATATTTTTAAATATTCTAAAAATTTCAGTATAGGTATAGTTCTAGTTAAAAATAATTTTTTTTAAAGTTATTATATAAGAGATTATACTATCCTATTATAAGCTTTAATAAATCTGTAATAGAAATTATAAAAACCTAAAAATATTTAAATCTTTTTTACTATTATTAAAATATTTTAATTAAAATAATAATAATTTTTATTGGGTCCATACAGATACTATTAATAATAATAATAAATTTAAAAGCTTTCGTCTTAGTAATATAGAACTTATATTTATAAATAATAGTTTATATAAATCTGTGGCTCATAACTTCTTAAATATTAAATAAATATATAACTTATATTTAGCTGTACTATTACTATAAATTAATATATTATTATTATAGATTATAATAAATTTATTTAAATATTTCATTAAGATTTTATTAATAAGTTGCTGGAAGGTAGCAAGCTTATTAATAAATTTAAATAAAAAAATATAATATTTAAATAGATTATATCACGTTTTAAATATTATAAGATTTTTTAAAATAAGATTTACTTAAATCTAGTAAAAACTTTATTATATATTAATTTTAATAAAAATCTTAATATTATAAAAGCGGTCTATTATCTTATTAATAAAAAATAAATAATATAAGTTTTCCTTAGTTAAGATATTTATTTTTTTATAATTTATATAGAAATGGAGACTTTCTTTAAATTTTTGAATTAATAAAATAGAAAAAATAAAACGCATATAATTTAATATAATAAATCTTTTATTTACATTTTGTCAAGGTGCGGGCAGGCAGGGGTGGTAGGATAGCGGGTTCTGGCGGGCAGGCAGGGTTCGGATAGTAATAACAACTAGGATTCTAACTGGATGCGGGGCTGGCTACTGGTCAAGTTATATATAGATTAATAAATAAGATGTAGCTTAAGGTTACGGATAGAGTTTAAAAGATAGATAATTTTTAATTATATCTAAGATTACGTGTTGGGTGGTAAGACTTAATAATACTTCTCTCTTTCTAGTTAGAAAGATTATACTGTAATAATACTCTTTTTTCTTTAAACTAAGCTCCTGTGAAGTGAAGGTTAGGATTTATATAAATAATAGCAATGAAAGTTCTTAATAATTTAGTAGGTATTCTCTAGATATTCTACAGATTTAATAATGGGATTAGTATATCTTATTTACTTGATAAAATATATTAGCTAGAGGTAACCTTATCTCTAGTAATTCTAAAAAAAATTTAAATAGGGGGGCGTCTTTTATTAATTTATTATATATTTAACTTAGATTATAGTTATTTTAATTTTTATAAATTTTATAATAATATATATTTTTACTGTAAATTATTCTATATTTTTAATAATAAATTAATTAAAAATAAATATAGATTTAAATCCTATTTATAGATAGAAGCTGTAATTAATAAAAAATAATATAATCTTAATAAAATTAGAATATATAATATTTAAAATAAATTTAGCTGAAAAGAATTAAATACTTTAATTATTTTATAAATAATTTATATAAACGGGGAAATATTATTTTAATATAATATTTATTTATTTTATTTAGCTATTGGTCCTAAGATAATAAATAATTAATAATTAACTAATAATATTTAGATATTAGGTTAAATATTTTTAAAATTTGATTATAAATTAAAGATCTTGGTTAAAACCTATAGAATAAAAAAATTATATAATTTCTATATATATTATATATATATTATAATTACTTTAGTAATATTAATAATAAAATTACAAGATATTCAATATTTTATTTCAATAAGTTTACTAATAATTATTAGTACGGTATGATATTCTGAATTTTTAAATAAATATATTATTAAATTTATAAATATATTTTACCAGGCATATTTAAAGACTGGTAAAGATTTTAAAATATCTAATTTAATTTTTTAAAATAAAATAATATAGTAATAATTATAGTAATTTTTTATTTATTATTTTATATAATAATAGAAATTAGATTAATATTTCTTTTCAAAATTAAAAATTTATATATATAAAACTTTCCAGGATATCCTAAAAATAGTTTATTATATATTAATTAAATTAATTTAGTTTTTAATTTATTATATTTAGAGATCTAGATGTAGTTTTTATAAAATAATCAATTTTTTTTTATAAAAAATTAAGAAAATATCTAGGTAACAGTCTTTATTAATTACTAATATTTTGAATATATTTTATATTTATCTATCTTTTTCATATATATTTTATGAAATAATTTAGATTTCTAATAGTAGTTATAAACCTTATTTATCTTTAAAAATAATACTATTTTAAAATTAAATTATTAGAATTAAAATATTCCTAGAAAAGTCTGTCCTAAGTTTTCTTATATAAATAGTTGTTTAGGATCTAAGAATATTCTATATTTATTAAATAAAAGAGTTTTTTAATAGTTTTAGGTTCGGGGTCCTCCTTAGTCTAAATAAATAAATAAATAAAATCTAGATTTTTTTACTTTAGTCTAGTCTAGCTCCAATATAATAATTATTTTTTTAAAAGATTCTCTAATCTCTTAATTAAATTATTAGGTTTAGTTTTATAGCGTCTAGAATAATATATAATTTTAAAATTAAAATAAAATAGAAATTTAAATTATTAGGCTTGATAGCGGTTCAGGAGTTTAATTAATATAAAAAATTTTAAATTATAGTAATTAATAGTAATTTAGATTAGAAATAATATTTTTTTAAGTTTAAAGTATTACTTCTTAAAGTAGTAGAAAATTATAAGTCACTCTTTATTATAAATTTTGTAGTTATATTTAATTAAGAAATATTCTTTAGAGAAAAAAACTATAGAATATAATAATTTATTTTTATTATATTAAAATAAAATTCTAGTAGAAATATAATCTAAGATATTAATTTTTAATATTATTCTTAAGTCTAATTAAATGGCTGGAATATTAGAACTTTTAAAAAAAATTCTTTTATATAATTTAAAATAGTCTAGTATGTAGAAATTCAAATAAAAAAATATTTTTTTAATAAATTATATAAGAGAAGTAGTAAGTTTTAAATTATATAAGAGAAGTAGTAAGTTTTAAAAAATTATAAATAAAATAATAATAGAAATAATTAAAATTTTAAAAAGACTTATATATCTATTATATAAATTAAAATAAATTATATAATAATAATCTTAATTTTTTTAGATTTATATAAAATCTATTACAGCCTATAATTAAGTCTAAAAATTTAGTTTTAGAAGTAATAAACATATATTTTAATATATTAATGAAAAACCTAATCTTATATAGTTTTATAAGGAGTAACCAGATATATTTCAAATATTCTATTTAAATATACCTATAAATTAGAATTTTATTTAAATGTATTATATAAAAAAATCCAGATTGTCTTGGAATATATTATTAATATAATATTAAAAAATAATTGAAAATTTTTATTAATTTGAAAATATTATTAGTAATTTATACAAGTAAAAATAGGTATAGAGTATTAAAAACTATTTTCTTTTTATAATTTAAATATTATTAAAAGCGCTAATAATATTAATTTTAATAAAATAATATATTTTTTTAGATTATTCAGAGTTTTTTTATAAGTAGAAGCGGATAATAATTCTTAATAAAAATTATATTTAAAATATAATATTTTATATAGAATCTAAACTCTTTTCTAGATTGATAAATAAGTCTAATAAGATAGCAGGTAATAAGTTTAAATAAATAAAAATTTTTTAGATCCTTAAGTAATTATATATAGAGGGCTTATAATTTATCTTAGAATATATTATATAAAAGATTAAATAATAAGATTCTTTCTTTTTCTAGAGTAATAATATAGTTATAATTATAAGAAATTTTTTTTTATTTTTTCAAGTAAAGAAATATCTATAAAAGTTTTAAACTTATTTAATAGTATAGAATCTCTAGTACAATAATAAAATAATATTAATTTAATCTATAATAATAATATATATTAGATGATTTTAGTATGTATAAACTATCTAAATTATAATAAAAATTAATTATATATCCTAATTCTTTAAAGACAGGGAAGATATAATATATATTAAATATATATATATTGAAATATTATATAGAATATAGATTTTAATTAAATAAATAAGCATGATATAATGTTAGTAATAATATAAATTAATAAATTAGATAATATACTTACTAAAATCTATTTATAGATTATAAGTCTTTAGCTAAAATAGGCTAAATATAATCATAAAATAAATTAATTAAATAATTAAAAACAAGATAATTTTTTTATTAAATATAATAAATAATTATCATTATTTCACTCTCTTAGATATTAAATCTTATCATTCTTATGATACACTTTAAGTACTTTAAAAATATAAAAATTGAATAATAGATTTTTATCTCGTTCTTATCCATGAGATATAATATTAAATAATTAATATTAAATATTACCGTGTAGTGATGGCCTGGTTCGGTTTTTTAGGGCGGTTCGGTTAAAAGACGTCCAAACCGAACCGCGCTAGTCCATCTATATAGGAAGCCCACAGCCACCTTTAAGGATGGTTCGGTTAGAAAATGTCCAAACCGAACCACGAAATGCTATCACTAATATTACGTATATAGTAATTCTCTGGTTATTAGGATTTAGTATAATAAATATAATTAATGGATTAGTTCTTTAGAGTTCTTTTTTAATGGGGAATCCTTTAAGAGTAATATTAGAAAAAATATAAATATATAAAATAGTACTTTTCTAATAATAGTTTAAAGTAAACACGGTCCTTTTAATTTTTTATAAGAATTAGAAGAATATAATTTTTTAATAATATTATTATTTTTTAATATAGGTCTAATATAGAGAATCACATATTAAATAAATTTAGGATTTTTTTTATTAAGAATTTAATTTATTCAAATAGTAATTAATAACAGGGAGAAGACTAGATATATTTTAATAAAAATAAATAATATATATAATTAGTTTATTAAGCTAAGATATTAAGTTTAGAATAGTTATAAATCAAATAATAATTAAAATTAAAATAAAAATATTATTCTTTTTTTTTCCGGGAGTCCGGGTGATCCTAGAATATAAAGAAAAATAATAAATAAATAATAAATCCATAAGATTATAATCTAGAATAACTAATCTTTAATTAAAATTTTTTAAAAAAATTTCCACAGAATACTTTTAATAATTATAAATATAATATATTAAATATTAGTTAATCTCCATGGATAATTTTAAAGATTAAATTTATATTATAATTAATAGTTGTTTAGATTCTGCAGGAATTAGATTAGATTATAATAATTTTTTAGAAAATATATTTTTTAAAAATATAATATTAAATTCTTAATTAATATTATTCTCCAGAGTGGTTATCAGAGAATTAAAATATAAATAAATTTCTTAAGTAAGTTTTTTATATTTAGTAAAATATATAGTAAATTTACAAATTTCTTATTATAAGTAATATAATTTCTATTAAATATTATAAGCATAGTTAGGCTTTTTAAAAATATATTTAAATATATTTAAAATATTTATAAGATTATTCTAGGTATAGTTACTCTTTTTTATAAAAAATTCAATCTAAATATAAAAAATTTATTTAATTAATTAATTATATAAACTTTACAAGTGGAAGTAGTAGTATAATAATTATAATTAATATTTACTCTAGAACTTTAAACATAAGGAAGGAAAAAGGAAAATAAAAAATATTATTAATATTTATTTAAAGAAAATAATAATAAATAATAATAGTGAAACAAATAAA